TTTACTTTTGCTAGGTTGTGATCACTGTATCTCTTGCTTTGTTATAAACATGCATGTGAACTGGTCTTGTGACCGCTTGCTTGTGCTCGGAATTTGTGTGGAATCCTTGAGATCCACCCTGAGCTTGCTTTGCTTTGCTTTGACTGGTCTTGTGACCCTGTGGTTGTCTCCCACTGCGCCTATGGGGGTGTGTCAAACATTGCATGTTTATATTGTGTAGGCTGTAGTGGGTTACACCTTAGGGGGTACACAAAGTTAGGGTTTCCTACTTGTACCAAACTCTGTGCTAGTTCATTCCATTCCTGCTCAGTTATTCTGACATTGTCCACCTTCGAGTCAGTAGTCGCAGCAGCAGAACGCGTCGACGCAGTACGAAGCCGACGGGGTCGTGACGATCGCGATAGGGGATTTAATAGACCGATCAACGACGCTCGATCGAGGGACGGACCATCGCCCATGGAGATTGGTGCAGTTAACAGTGACGGTTCACAGCGGACGGGTTTTAGGGGGAACTGTTACTACTGCAAAAAGCCGGGTCACATGAAGCGGGACTCTCCACAGTTCAAGGAGCAGCAGCAGGGAAACGGAAACCGCCAGTAGATAGCGGGTCGCTAGCTGGTGTGGAGGTTCCCGTACCCGCCACGTCTACCAACGTAGAGGAGACGGCCTTGCAGCAGTCATCTACGGAGACCTCGGTAGACACTGTTGATCGTCCAGTCGTGCTTCTAGGGAAGCTTCGCGGAGTTCCTGTTAAGATTCTCGTTGATAGTGGAGCTAGCCACTCGTTCGTTTCGTCTTCATTAGTTAGTCGTCTCCATCTCGAAGCAGATACGGCAGTCAACTTCAAGGACGCTCGCATGGTAGATGGGACGCCGCTTCACATAGGACCAGTCATTCGCAAGTTGCGCGTAGTGCTAGGACCGATCACGGTTAGACGTGACTTCGACTCTGCGACGCTGGACGGATACGATTTCATCTTCGGGAGAGATTGGCTACGCACGGTTAGTACTCAGTTCGATTGGGCTCAGGGAAGCTGTAGCGTCAAGGTAGACGGGGAGTTCCGGGAGCTGCCACAGTGGAGCGATGGGGCCACATCCTCCACAGCTATCATTAATGCTGTTCGTGTACGACAGTTAGTGAAGCGAGCGGCACGGATCTTCGCGGTTTTCCTTGAGGAGGTGGAAGCTGAGGAGGGGAAAGGAGGGAGTGCAGCAGTTAGTGAGAAGACGACTCTTCCTGCTGAGGTGAGTGCACTGTTAGCGGAGTTCGCAGACGTCTTCCCTGACGAGTTGCCCCTAGGGCTACCTCCCAGCCGAGCAGTAGACCATCGAATAGAGTTGGAGCCGGGAAGCAGGCCAGTAGCGAAGCCGCAGTGGAGGTTGAGTCCAGCAGAGACAGAGGAGATGACGCAGCAGGTTAGGCACTTTCTCGCGCAGGGGTTCATACAGCCATCTAGATCGCCTTGGGCCGCACCGATCCTGTTCGCGCCTAAGAAAGACGGAGGGTTACGGATGTGCATAGATTACCGCGCACTGAACGCCGCCACCGTCAAGAACAGATTCCCAGTACCGAGAGTAGAGGACCTCCTAGATGCATTACAGGGCGCTAGAGTCTTTTCCAAGATCGACCTTCGTTCGGGTTACCACCAGATTCGCGTAGTTCCAGAGGATCAGCACAAGACGGCGTTTCGTACGAAGCAGGGGTTGTACGAGTTTAGAGTCCTACCGTTCGGTTTGATCAACGCACCAGCGACGTTTCAGACGCTCATGAACACAGTCCTCTCCGAGTTCCTAGGTTCGTTCGTCGTAGTTTACCTAGACGACATCCTAGTGTTCTCTAAGACGAAGGAGGAGCACGTGCAGCACTTGCAGAAGGTCTTTGAGGTCTTGCGGAGGGAGAAGCTGTACGCGAAGCAGTCGAAGTGCGAGTTCTTCCTCCCCGAGGTCGAGTTTCTAGGTCACGTCGTATCCGCTAGTGGCATTAGGACCGACCCGAAGAAGATCGCAGCCGTACAGGATTGGGTAGCACCGACCTCAGTCAAGGAGTTGCAGAGCTTCCTCGGTCTCGCGAATTACTACCGTTCAGGGTTACGCTTCCATCGCTAGTCCACTCACCGACCTACTTCGGAAGGGCGTAGAGTACGTTTGGGGTCCAGCGCAGCAGCAGGCGTTCGAGCAGATGAAGCAGTCGCTCACGTCTTCACCGACACTGTCGTACCCCGATCCCACTCGCCCATACGTTGTAGTGACCGACGCTTCAGATCAGGCCATAGGTGCAGTCCTTCTTCAGGACCAGGGACGCGGGTTGCAGCCGATCGCGTACGAGTCGCGTAAGCTTAGGGGAGCAGAGTTGAACTATCCGATTCACGACAAGGAGGCGCTCGCGATCATCCATGCGTATAAGGTGTGGAGGTGCTACCTAGAGGGGGCAGATAGTGTTATACGCACGGACCACTGTTCGCTTCGCTTTCTCAAGTCGCAGCCGCAGCTGAGTCGTCGCCAGGCTAGATGGATGGAGTTCATGGAGGGGAGTTTCCACTACAGGATAGAGTACAAGCCAGGCGTGCGCAACCCAGCAGATCCGCTCACTCGCCCTAGTTGCCAGCTCGCTAGCCTCACAGTCACTGCCGGCCATCCACTTCTCACAGCACTCTTCGAGCACGGTTACACAGTAGATCCCGACTTCACACCGCAGCCGCCCGCAGGAGCAGAGGTGCAGGGTAGTGTCTACATACGGAAGGGCACAGCACGGATTTGGGTTCCAGCCTACCGCCCTCTTCGACAGCTCCTTCTCTCAGAGGCGCACGACGTAGTTAGTGCAGGGCACTTCGGAGCAGATAAGACGGCTAAGACGCTTAGTCGCACGTACTACTGGCCAGGGCTTGCAGCAGACGTAGAGGATTACATTCGCTCGTGCGACACGTGTCAGCGTACGAAGTCCTCTCGCCAGCGCAAAGCAGGACTCTTGCAGCCGATTCCACCGCCCGACCGCCCTTGGCAGGTAGTTACCATGGATTTCATCATGGCTTTACCGCGCACAGTTAGGGGTTACGACGCCATCTTTGTTGTAGTGGACAAGTTCTCTCGAGCAGCGCACTTCATCCCCACGCACGGCCAGGTCACAGCAGAGGAAGCCGCGACGCTGTTCGTAGATAACGTAGTCCGACTGCACGGGGTTCCAGATTCCATCATTTCCGACCGCGACCCTAGATTCACCTCGAAGTTCTGGAAGCAGCTTTTCGCACTGTTTGGGACTCGCTTAGCCATGTCGTCAGCGTACCATCCAGAGACAGACGGACAGACTGAGCGCGTGAACCAAACACTGGAACAGATCCTTCGCAGCATCACGATGCACGACGCAGCAGCATGGGACAAGAAGCTGAGCATGGCAGAGTTGGCATACAACAACACGCACCACTCTGCAACAGGCATGTCACCGTTCTTCGCACTGTACGGTCAGCACCCCAATGTCCCCACTCGTGTCGATCTCACACCCACTGTCCCTCGTGCGGACAACTTCCACCAGCATCTCACCATTATCCATGATCACGTGAGGAAGCACCTTGAGCTCGCAAATGCACGCATGGCACGCACCACCAACCGCAGTCGTCGTGAGGTGTCGTTCACAGTCGGCGACCGTGTTCTTTTGGATAGCCGCAACCTCCGACTGCCACAGGACAGCAAGCTTCGCCCACGCTTCATTGGTCCATTTGTCATTGAGCGCGCACTTGGTCCAGTCGCATACCGCCTCCGCCTTCCCGCTCATTTCCGCATGCACCCATCATTCCACGTGTCTCTCCTTCGGCCTTACACCGATCCCAACGCCACCTTCTCGGGCCGTGATCGCACTCCACTGCCGGTAGCTGTTGACACCGACGAGCCCGACTACCAGATCCAGCGCATCCTCAGGCACCGTCGCCGTCTCCAGGGGGGTGTCTCTTTCATCGACTTCTTGGTTCGTTGGCGTGGTTACGATGCAGCCGACGACAGCTGGGTTCCTTCGTCCTCGCTGTCTCCCGACAACGCTTGCCTCCGAGCGTACCTTCAGTCTGCAGGCGCCGCGGACGTCGCCTCCTTGGGAGGGGGGTAGTGTTAAAGGGGGATTTACTGTTCCCTTTGAACAGTACTTTCCCAACCCATCCAAGTCATCCCAATCCTTATCTTCTTGGATTTCCTAGTGCCACGTGGCACTCTACTTTTCTAGCTTCACAATTCCTAGTCCCACAATCTACTTTCCAACCTTGTTTCTTGCATGCTATATAAACCTTGCTTGTATTCCCTCATATCAACCAATTCTCGTTCAACTCTTTCATTACTCAGTAACTCCTTCGCCTATTTCGCCAATAGTCTTTTCGCCAAAGTCTTCCGCCACGTTTTATCCTCGACTTAGTCGACCCCGCTATTCGTTAGCGGACTTAGGTTGTCGGGCCTAACACTGTCTCTAACATCCACTTCTAACTGGAATGATGAATATGAAATTTACAGATACACATGTTTCATTTCAGCGATACGTAAACTAGTGTTCTTTTCTGAATTTTTTTAGTTCGTCTCAAGTATAGCGAGACAGCACCCCACCGCCAGAAGGCTCAGGGCGTGTTACATTTTCGATTTTTCCGGACTGTCCGGACAATCACCACTCTGAAACGTATTGAAACCTTCTTGAACCAATTGTCCGACAAATTAACCATTTTAAACCGTTCGGACTGTCCGGTCCAGTCCGGAAAAAACCGAAAATGTAACACGGCCTCATTTCTGGACCTGAACTCCAATTTTACACCTAGCAGTTCTCAATAAGCCAGCCAGAGCTTACTATTTCAGGCAGACTGAATTGTAGGGGCACTAGCTGCTGACATTAGCAGGCGACTTTTTCCGTAGCAGTATCAGCGTGCGGTTATGGCGGAAGACCAGATAATTCCGGGTAACTCAAGTTTACATAATTTGATTACGACTCATCCACCTACGAGATGCCGTGTAGTCATCGATTCGTCGCTCTTAACGCGAATGCAGCTTTCCCAGGGGCTCAGCCACAGCCTGATTGCGCTGCCACGTCGCATTAGTACCGTCAGCCAGCTGGCAGCCCATGTGGTCGAGTCGTTCGGCTTGCAGGATTCATGCAAAGCGGGAGTGGCTCTACAGGTGCGATACACCTCCTTTTGTTTAACCGAGGCGCCTTAAAGCGAAGAATACGAGAGTGATTTGTCTGTTGTGCGTGCATTTATAGCCTTTTACTGGAGCCTATCACAAAGGAAAGCGAGTTCTTTAGTGAATACTTAATGTGAAGGTAAGAATAAGGAGGTATTCGACATTTCGAAGCGAGTTTGCTTAGCAGGGGTGCCACGATACTTAGCTGTCACTCTAGAATTATGCTGGTTCCCGTTTCACCAGCTCTACTGCCACGTGGATCATTCCCTACTATGCCACGTGTGTCACCCCCCTGCTGCCCCATCCTGCCAGGTGGATGGATTCGTGCTGCCAGCGTGGCAACCCCTTTCTGTGTTGGGCCACGATGACGTCATCAGGTGAGACGCCGGTAACTTCTGTTGCTCTTTCCACGCTTAAACCCTGTAACTCGGTAGAACCCTGGGCTGCAAAAAAAACAAAAAGAAGAAAAAAAAGAAACGCTCCTTTCATTCTTTCTTTCTGCCTTTTTTTCCCCCCTGTCGCCTCAACAGGGTTTGCCGAATCGACCACCAAAAGCCACTCACACCACACACCAACTCCACTCCTCAGCACCGCACTCCACAGCGTTCCCAACACCCTGCATATGCCCCTCCTCAGTCCCACGCCCTTCCCCATGTAGGCCACCCTTCTCCAGATCCCACCTCCCCGTTCCCCGCCCTGGGGTGGGTGGTATCTGGGGAGGGTAAGGAAGGGCGGAGTGGGAGGAAGAGAGGGAGCAGTAGGAAGGGAAATAGGAGTGGGAAGAAGCGAAAGGAGGGAAGGAGGGATGAGGAGGGAGAGGGGGTTGAGTTGGGGAGGGGGGAAGGTGAGGTGGAGGAGAAGAAGAAGAGAAGGGGAGTGAGAGAGAGGTTGGAAGGGAGATTGGGCGGAGAGAAAGGAGGGGGAGGAAGAGAGAAAATGCATTTTGAGAAAGATGGAGGTATTAGAATGGGTGGGGGAAAAGAGGGGGGAAGAGGCGTGATAGGGGATGAGGTGGGAGAGGGAAGAGGGGAGGGAGAGGAGGGCAGGGATGGGGAAGAAGAGGAGGAAGCGGAGGGAGTGGAGGAGGAGAAAGAGGAGGAAGAGGAGCAAGGAGAGCAAGAAGAGGTAGTGGAGAAGGGGTACGTTAGAAAAGAGAAGGAAGAAGGGACTTTAGAGACTTCTGAGGAGGAAAGTTCTAGTGAGGAGAAAATGTGTTCCTCTGACTCGACTGAGGAGGAGGAAGAGAGGAGGAGGAGGAGGAGGAGGAGGAGGAGGAGGAGGAGGAGGAGGAGGAGGAGGAGGAGGAGGAGGAGGAGGAGGAGGAGGAGGGGGTTCTAGTGAGGAGGAAGGGGAGTGTAATGAGAAGGGAGAAGCTCTGGGTTTGATAGAGGGGGAGAAAGGGGAAGGGGAGGGAGAGGAGAAGAGAAAAGGAGGAGGAGCAAAGAAAGGAGAGGGGAAGAGAGGAGGGACGAAGGGAGAAGCAGGAGGGCGTGAGGGTGTCGCAGGGTTGAAGGATACAGCTACAGGGGCGACGAGAGGGGCTGACGCAAAAGGAGCCCATGCTGCTGCTTTGTCTGTTAGGAGGGTGCGTCTCAAGGGAGTGTGCTGGGTGAGTGTTGGGAGTTGTGTAGGTAGTGTGCTGGGCGTGAGGGTGTTGACTTTTGAATCGACTCAAAAGTCAACTTGGGAGTTGTGTTGGTAGTGTGCTGGGCGTGAGGGTGTCGCAGGGTTGAAGGATACAGCTACAGGGGCGACGAGAGGGGCGCATACTGCTGCGACGAGAGGGGCCCAGCCCATGCTGCTGCTTTGTCTGTTAGGAAGGTGCGTCCAATGGGAGTGTGCTGGGAGTGTGCTGGGAGTGTGGTGGGAATGTGGTGGGAGCGTGCTGGGAGTGTCCTGGGTGGGAGGGATCGTACTGCCTTAATTACTCCTTCCTATTTACTGATGTTCCAGTCTCCCCCTGACATATGTATTGTGGCGCTTCAGCACCGCACACCACCCTGCATCACCTCACCCCACCATCGCCTCCATCTCCCCACCTACTCCTCCTCGCCTCACCATGGCCCTTCGCGCAACACGATTCGGAAGAGGGCGAAGGGGAGATGGCCGGCAAAGCAGCGGCAGCCGGTGCACAGGGGTGCTTTTCTCCTGCCGCTTTCGCATTCCTCTCCTCAACCACTTCCTCCCCTCCCCACCTCTCCCTCTCCCTCTTCATTCTCCCTTCCCCAGGGCCCGTCGCGCAACACGATCCGCAAGAGGGCGAAGAGGAGATGGCTGGCGAAGCAGAGGCAGGCTGCAAAGGTATGAAGTGCCTGTGTTGCAACTTGCAATGACGATAGGATGAAGTTTGAGTCGACTCAAAATACCCGGACGTTGTAATGTGGACGAGTCACGAGATATGATCGTAAGTATGAGATGGGTGGGTGGGTGTCACTAGTGAGTTTAGTGAGTCTTTTCAAGAGGGAGGAGGGGGATTGGCCAGTAGGCACATGCAGTTCCGGGTAGGTGTGGATCTGCAAGTTACTGGTTCGTACTGCTACCACTTGGTTCGTCCTGTTCTGTACCGCATTGCACTCCCCTCCTTTCCCACAGGACGCCCTGTACATGCAGCTGATGTCAGGAGCTGGCACGGCGACAGTGACAGGCACGGGGACAGGCTTGGGGACAGGCTCGAGGACAGGCACAGGAGCAGCAGCAGCAGCAGCAGGAGCAGGAGCAGAAGCAGGAGCAGGAGCAGTGACAGCATCCGAAGCTGCAGCAACAGCAACAGCTGCTTCAGCGGGCGCAGGAGCAGAGGAGGCAGCAGCAGTAGCAGGAGGGAGAGGGGAGCAGCACGGGGATGGGGAGGAGATCAGGCTGGGTGGGTTGAAAAAAGTGGAGGTGAAGAAAGGGCATGTCAAGTTCAGGACGGGGGATGAAGGGGAGGAGGAGGAACAAGTTACGAACTCACGGCCCTTGGTGAGTTTTGTTACAACCAACAGTCGTTTGAGTCAGTCTAAAATGTGGAGGTGAAGAAAGGGCATGTCAAGTGTAGGACGGGGGATGAGGGGGAGGAGAAGAAACAAGTCACAGACTAATGTCCGCTGGTGAATCAATACAGAACCGGTATTGCCACGTGAAGAAAGGAGTGTTTTAAGACGTCTCAAAACCCTCCTTTCTTCAAGTCACAGACTAATGTCCGCTGGTGAATTAATACAGACTCGGTATTTGGTCTTCATAGAAACATTTAGGGTTCTGGTTCCAAAAAGGGTAAGAGCACAGCAAAGCACGGCTCATTTAAGAACAAGAGGAGGACAGCCGACCTTTGCTGATTTTGCTTTAGCCCCTTTTAGCAAGTGTTTCCTCTTTAGCCCCCTGTCCTTCAACCACCTCTCCCCACTCCCTCCCCCCCCCCCTTCCCCCACTTCAGCCCATTATCAACATGGGCACAGTCAAGAACAAGCGGCGGGGGCAGGCGTGGGGGCAGCAGCAGCAGCAACCCAGTCTGGAAGGGCGCTTGTTCCGCGGGAGAGGGGGAGGACGGAGAGAGGGAGATTCTGAGTCGCTTGGAAATCAGCAGCAGCGGCATAGTGAGGGGTATTTTGGAGATAAAACGGGAGGGAGATGGGGACGGGAAGAAGAAGGAAGGGGTGACAATGAGAGAGCAGAGAGAGGGAGGTGGGATTGGGGGACAAGTGAGCGTGTGGGAGGAGGTAGGGGAAGGGGGAGGGGGAGGGGGAGGGGGAGACGAAGAGGGAAGGACAGAGGGAGAGGGAGAGAAAGGGGGAGTGAGGGAGCGGAGAGAGGAGAGAATAATTGGCAGACGCAGTCGATGGAAAGTGAGGGGGGAGAGAATGTGCAGCAGGATCAAGAGCAGCAGCACCAAGAGCAGGAAGAGCAACAACAGGAGAGGCAGAGCAAGCTTGAAGCATTGCCACCATTGGAGGGTGCACCTCAGGTGGGACCCTTCTTGGGTTGCCTGATTGCGTTATTAAGGGACTTAAATAATGAGCTGATTAACGTTTCAGCGACGTTAGAAATTAAGCTGTATTAACTGAGACCTTCAGATTAAACTGGTCTGATCAAACTGGTCGGTGATACAGTCTCTGTGAGATTTGAGACTTCCAGATTAAACTGGTCTGATGAAGTCAGCATCGACTCGCACTTCTGTGTCTCCCCCTCTGTGTCTCCACATATCCCTCTCCCTCTCCCTCTCTCTCCAATCAGCCTGGTGACACACTCGCATATCGCATCATCGCTCTGTCACCTCTCACATGGACACCCGAGCCATCATCATTGCGGGTAAGCCTCGTTTTCCCTCTCTTTGGGGTAAGATGCCTCTGTTTAACTTGTTCCGCAAGTTGATGGTTGATGTTCCGCAACATCACACAACCTCAAAAGCAGACTCTTTGGGGTAAGATGCCTCTGTTTAACTTGTTTTTGAGTCGACTCAAAAGCAGACTCTTTGGGGTAAGATGCCTCTGTTTAACTTGTTTTTGAGTCGACTCAAAAGCAGACTCTTTGGGGTAAGATGCCTCTGTTTAACTTGTTTTTGAGTCGACTCAAAAGCAGACTCTTTGGGGTAAGATGCCTCTGTTTAACTTGTTTTTTAGTCGACTCAAAAGCAGACTCTTTGGGGTAAGATGCCTCTGTTTAACTTGTTTTTGAGTCGACTCAAAAGCAGACTCTTTGGGGTAAGATGCCTCTGTTTAACTTGTTTTTGAGTCGACTCAAAAGCAGACTCTTTGGGGTAAGATGCCTCTGTTTAACTTGTTTTTGAGTCGACTCAAAAGCAGACTCTTTGGGGTAAGATGCCTCTGTTTAACTTGTTTTTGAGTCGACTCAAAAGCAGACTCTTTGGGGTAAGATGCCTCTGTTTAACTTGTTTTTGAGTCGACTCAAAAGCAGACTCTTTGGGGTAAGATGCCTCTGTTTAACTTGTTTTTGAGTCGACTCAAAAGCAGACTCTTTGGGGTAAGATGCCTCTGTTTAACTTGTTTTTGAGTCGACTCAAAAGCAGACTCTTTGGGGTAAGATGCCTCTGTTTAACTTGTTTTTGAGTCGACTCAAAAGCAGACTCTTTGGGGTAAGATGCCTCTGTTTAACTTGTTTTTGAGTCGACTCAAAAGCAGACTCTTTGGGGTAAGATGCCTCTGTTTAACTTGTTTTTGAGTCGACTCAAAAGCAGACTCTTTGGGGTAAGATGCCTCTGTTTAACTTGTTTTTGAGTCGACTCAAAAGCAGACTCTTTGGGGTAAGATGCCTCTGTTTAACTTGTTTTTGAGTCGACTCAAAAGCAGACTCTTTGGGGTAAGATGCCTCTGTTTAACTTGTTTTTGAGTCGACTCAAAAGCAGACTCTTTGGGGTAAGATGCCTCTGTTTAACTTGTTTTTGAGTCGACTCAAAAGCAGACTCTTTGGGGTAAGATGCCTCTGTTTAACTTGTTTTTGAGTCGACTCAAAAGCAGACTCTTTGGGGTAAGATGCCTCTGTTTAACTTGTTTTTGAGTCGACTCAAAAGCAGACTCTTTGGGGTAAGATGCCTCTGTTTAACTTGTTTTTGAGTCGACTCAAAAGCAGACTCTTTGGGGTAAGATGCCTCTGTTTAACTTGTTTTTGAGTCGACTCAAAAGCAGACTCTTTGGGGTAAGATGCCTCTGTTTAACTTGTTTTTGAGTCGACTCAAAAGCAGACTCTTTGGGGTAAGATGCCTCTGTTTAACTTGTTTTTGAGTCGACTCAAAAGCAGACTCTTTGGGGTAAGATGCCTCTGTTTAACTTGTTTTTGAGTCGACTCAAAAGCAGACTCTTTGGGGTAAGATGCCTCTGTTTAACTTGTTTTTGAGTCGACTCAAAAGCAGACTCTTTGGGGTAAGATGCCTCTGTTTAACTTGTTTTTGAGTCGACTCAAAAGCAGACTCTTTGGGGTAAGATGCCTCTGTTTAACTTGTTTTTGAGTCGACTCAAAAGCAGACTCTTTGGGGTAAGATGCCTCTGTTTAACTTGTTTTTTAGTCGACTCAAAAGCAGACTCTTTGGGGTAAGATGCCTCTGTTTAACTTGTTTTTTAGTCGACTCAAAAGCAGACTCTTTGGGGTAAGATGCCTCCGTTTAACTTGTTTTTGAGTCGACTCAAAAGCAGACTCTTTGGGGTAAGATGCCTCTGTTTAACTTGTTTTTGAGTCGACTCAAAAGCAGACTCTTTGGGGTAAGATGCCTCTGTTTAACTTGTTTTTGAGTCGACTCAAAAGCAGACTCTTTGGGGTAAGATGCCTCTGTTTAACTTGTTTTTGAGTCGACTCAAAAGCAGACTCTTTGGGGTAAGATGCCTCTGTTTAACTTGTTTTTGAGTCGACTCAAAAGCAGACTCTTTGGGGTAAGATGCCTCTGTTTAACTTGTTTTTGAGTCGACTCAAAAGCAGACTCTTTGGGGTAAGATGCCTCCGTTTAACTTGTTTTTGAGTCGACTCAAAAGCAGACTCTTTGGGGTAAGATGCCTCTGTTTAACTTGTTTTTGAGTCGACTCAAAAGCAGACTCTTTGGGGTAAGATGCCTCTGTTTAACTTGTTTTTGAGTCGACTCAAAAGCAGACTCTTTGGGGTAAGATGCCTCTGTTTAACTTGTTTTTGAGTCGACTCAAAAGCAGACTCTTTGGGGTAAGATGCCTCTGTTTAACTTGTTTTTGAGTCGACTCAAAAGCAGACTCTTTGGGGTAAGATGCCTCTGTTTAACTTGTTTTTGAGTCGACTCAAAAGCAGACTCTTTGGGGTAAGATGCCTCTGTTTAACTTGTTTTTGAGTCGACTCAAAAGCAGACTCTTTGGGGTAAGATGCCTCTGTTTAACTTGTTTTTGAGTCGACTCAAAAGCAGACTCTTTGGGGTAAGATGCCTCTGTTTAACTTGTTTTTGAGTCGACTCAAAAGCAGACTCTTTGGGGTAAGATGCCTCTGTTTAACTTGTTTTTGAGTCGACTCAAAAGCAGACTCTTTGGGGTAAGATGCCTCCGTTTAACTTGTTTTTGAGTCGACTCAAAAGCAGACTCTTTGGGGTAAGATGCCTCTGTTTAACTTGTTTTTGAGTCGACTCAAAAGCAGACTCTTTGGGGTAAGATGCCTCTGTTTAACTTGTTTTTGAGTCGACTCAAAAGCAGACTCTTTGGGGTAAGATGCCTCTGTTTAACTTGTTTTTGAGTCGACTCAAAAGCAGACTCTTTGGGGTAAGATGCCTCTGTTTAACTTGTTTTTTAGTCGACTCAAAAGCAGACTCTTTGGGGTAAGATGCCTCTGTTTAACTTGTTTTTGAGTCGACTCAAAAGCAGACTCTTTGGGGTAAGATGCCTCTGTTTAACTTGTTTTTGAGTCGACTCAAAAGCAGACTCTTTGGGGTAAGATGCCTCTGTTTAACTTGTTTTTGAGTCGACTCAAAAGCAGACTCTTTGGGGTAAGATGCCTCTGTTTAACTTGTTTTTTAGTCGACTCAAAAGCAGACTCTTTGGGGTAAGATGCCTCTGCTTAACTTGTTCTTGAGTCGACTCAAAAGCAGACTCTTTGGGGTAAGATGCCTCTGTTTAACTTGTTTTTGAGTCGACTCAAAAGCAGACTCTTTGGGGTAAGATGCCTCTGTTTAACTTGTTTTTGAGTCGACTCAAAAGCAGACTCTTTGGGGTAAGATGCCTCTGTTTAACTTGTTTTTGAGTCGACTCAAAAGCAGACTCTTTGGGGTAAGATGCCTCTGTTTAACTTGTTTTTGAGTCGACTCAAAAGCAGACTCTTTGGGGTAAGATGCCTCTGTTTAACTTGTTTTTGAGTCGACTCAAAAGCAGACTCTTTGGGGTAAGATGCCTCTGTTTAACTTGTTCTTTAGTCGACTCAAAAGCAGACTCTTTGGGGTAAGATGCCTCTGTTTAACTTGTTTTTGAGTCGACTCAAAAGCAGACTCTTTGGGGTAAGATGCCTCTGTTTAACTTGTTTTTGAGTCGACTCAAAAGCAGACTCTTTGGGGTAAGATGCCTCTGTTTAACTTGTTTTTGAGTCGACTCAAAAGCAGACTCTTTGGGGTAAGATGCCTCTGTTTAACTTGTTTTTGAGTCGACTCAAAAGCAGACTCTTTGGGGTAAGATGCCTCTGTTTAACTTGTTCTTTAGTCGACTCAAAAGCAGACTCTTTGGGGTAAGATGCCTCTGTTTAACTTGTTTTTGAGTCGACTCAAAAGCAGACTCTTTGGGGTAAGATGCCTCTGTTTAACTTGTTTTTGAGTCGACTCAAAAGCAGACTCTTTGGGGTAAGATGCCTCTGTTTAACTTGTTTTTGAGTCGACTCAAAAGCAGACTCTTTGGGGTAAGATGCCTCTGTTTAACTTGTTCCGCAACATCACACAACCTCGTTCTCTTCCCATCAACTATCATCACTCTCCCGCCTCTCACATGGATACCCGAGCCTTCTTCGTTGCGGGTAAACTTCTCTTTCCTCCTCTTTGGGTGTTTTACCTCTGTTTAGCTTGCTCCGCACCATCACACAACCTCATTCTCTTCCCAACATTCCCCGTCTAACTTCCACTCCCCTCTGACTGCTCTCCCCTCCATGCCCCCTTCTCCCCACTCCCAATCACGCCCACCCTTTTTCCTTCTCCCCTTAACAGCAAGGCCGAGTAATCAGTTTCGACTCCTCCTCATCTCTCATCCACCTGGCACCTGTGGGCTCTGAAGCAACAGCTGGCGGCCCCTCATTGGCTGAGGCTGGTGGTGGTGGAACAGCTGGCGGTTCCGCATTGGCTGAGGGCGAGGGAGGTGAATATGAGGTGGAGGCTGAACCGCCCTATGATGAGACGGGTCATTTGAAGGTGAGAGTGTGTGTAAGTGTGTGTGTGTGTGTGTGTGTGTGGGTGTGTGTGTGTGTGTGTGTGTGTGGTCATTTCAGATTGACCTCTCCTCTCTTCTTCACATTCGCCTTGTGCCACGAGCCAACGCTGCCGATGGTGTTGTGGTGGAAGTGATGCTGCTGCTGTTATACTGATTGACCTTTGGGAACTCTCAAAGACGTTTCGCGCTTCTCTCTTCTCCCACTGCTTATCAGGTTGAACTTTCCTCGCTCCTAGACATTCGCCTTGTGTCTCGAGCCAACGCTGCCATTGGTGGTGCTGCTGCTGCTGCTGCTGCTGCTGTTGCTGATGGCACTGCTTCTGCCGCTGCTGCTGTCCCTCCAATTGCTAGTGCTACTGCTGCTCCTGCTGCCGCTCCTGTTGCTCCTGCTGCTGCTCTTGCGACTCCTGCGACTCCTGCTGCGGCTCTTGCAACAGCAGCTGCTGCTACTGCCACGACTGCCACCCCTGCTCCTGCTCCTCCTCCTGCTGCTGCTCTTGTTGCTCCTGCTGCTCTTGCTACTGATGCCACCGCTGCACCACCATCACCTCTTCCTACTGCTGCTCCTGCCACTGCCGCTACAACCTCTCCTGCTGCTGTTCCCACCACTGCCGCTGCATGCTCTCCCGCTGCTGCGTGTGGAGTGGCGCCCCATAAGTGGGAGCAGTGGGCGAGCGTGGCAAGACTGCTGGAGCAGAAAAGGCGAGCACTCATGGGGGAGACGGCAGGAGGGGTTGATCTAGAAAACCGTCAGAATGAGATGGAGATTGACAAACAGTCGCAGCAACATATGAACCAGCAAGACCAGCAGCAGCAGGAGCAGCAGCAGCAGGAGCAGCAGGAGCAGCAGGATGGTGTGGGTCCAATCGGCTCTGCAGTAGCTGAGTGTGTGAGCAACCACACCCCTTGCACCCCTGTGCAACCTGTAACCAGGTCTCCTCCGCTTGTAACCAGCCCTGCTCCAGATGTAACCGGGCCTGCCCCAGATGTATCCACCCCTGCTGCAGGTGTTACATTCACAGCAGCAGCAGATGTTCCCAGCTCTGCCCCTCTACATGGGGCCAAAGGTGGAGGCAGGGCAAGGGGTGTGAATGGTAGTGGGAGTGGTACTGGGGGCAAGACCATCAGGTACAGAGGGAGAAAGGCAGCTGGGCTGGCAGCGACACTCGCACTGATGAGGCAGGGAGGGAGGACATGAGGAAAGAAGCTGAAGGGGTGGCAACAAGTGGTAGTGGAGGCAAGGCTATCAGGTACAGAGGGAGGAAGGCAGCTGGATTGGCAGCAACACTTGCTTTGAAGCGACAGGGAGGGGGGATGTGAGGAAGGATACTCTCTAGGTCTTCAATCCAACCTGCTTATTTAGGAATTTGTGTTTCAGGTTGTTGTACGGTAGTAAGGATGTGAACTCGGTCATGTTGTTGGTATACCAAGAGCAAGGAATCTTGACAGACTCTTCAAAACGGATTATCACATGAACACGTCACATGTGCCATCAGAACTAGCTCTGATTGTCCATCCCTTTTACCGCAGGCCGGTTGTGATGTAACAAGACAAAAAAAGCACAGCACATATTGAGGTGTACATTTTTCCTGACATGCTTGAGTTGAGCAACTAGAGGGATTGTATGGGAACCAAACTAATTCATAATCTTCCACTAGTTCCATTAGATTCAGGGATTGTACTTCTAGGATCTTCCAGTACAAAGTACAATCCTTCAAGCAAGGCTCTTCCGCTGCTGCATTTCCAGCAAACAGACCCTTCCAGTATCCAACAAACCCTCTTCAAGCTGAGACAGTGTACCTCTCTGGTGTCCTGCAGTGTGAACAGATGAAGATAATGCAAATCTTGGATACCATGAGGAGGGGTAAATGTGACGAGAGAAGGCAGCATCTCATGCTGTAGGCTGTAACAAGGGGACTTCGCGGAATCCCAGTTGACTTAAAACAACGCTCGCAACATTCAACATCCCATGCATTCACTTGCTCACTCACTCACTCACTCGTTCATTCACTTGTATGCTACATGTGATGAACACGGAAAGTGCAGTGCACGAATTATATCATACCCACGCATCCTCAAACTCTTTCTATACCTCAATTGATCTTACAGATATTGAAGCTGCGCAATAAAGAGGCTATATCACAATTTCTTAGGGTGGTGACCATAATGGGCCATAACATGCCATAACATGCCATAACATGCCATAACATGACATCACATGCCATCACAGGCCATCATCTGGGTGGTGCGGTGACCACCCTTCCTTAGCATGACATCATACAAAATGCCATGATGGGCCAGAACATGTCATCACAGGCAATCGTCTGGCATCATATGCCATTATAGGACGCACCATGCCATGACACACAATCATGCCATGACACACAATCATGCCATGACACACAATCATGCCATGACACACAATCATGCCATGACACACAATCATGCCATGACATACAATCATGCCGCTAAGCCATCGTATCAACTCACCTGCCGATAACAGATGCAGGCGCCACGTCATCGCTGCTCACTTCCTCCTCAAATGCAAACACCAGATGCCGACCCTTCACCTCCTCCCTCACCTCCTCCAACCCCTTAATACCGCTCGTGTCAAACCCTAAAATCACCTCTCTCAAAAACTCCACCCTATCCACCATTCTCCCCTCTTCCCTCTCTGTTACCGCCTCTCTTTCTACACCCTTCTCTCCCTCTCCACCCCCAATCCCCTTTCTTTGAAAATCCTCTGTGATTCTTCTCCCCACTGATCTGCTCTCTTGCTCAAATTCTCCCAAAAGGCCAGCTCTCTGCCAGCTATCTTTCAACCCAGTTGTTCCATCAGCCTCAGTAGCTGCAAGAACGTGTCTGCGTAGCCTCATCTGAATCGATTCAGAAGTCACCTCATGACCTTCACTAGCTGCTGCAAGAACGTGCCTTCTAAGAGACAGCAGCTCCCCCGTTGTATCTGCACTATTGCCTGAGTCTGAAACCCTATGTAAATCCTTGTCACGGCCTTCCAAACCACGATCTCCATGATCGCCACCGTTGATTCCTCCTATCCTCCCGCTTTCCGCTTCTTGCTCCCCTCCCCTTCCCCCTTCCCTTCCCCTACCCTCTCCCCTTCCCCCGTCCCTCCCTTCTCCCCCTTCCACTTCCGCTTCCAGCCCCCCTCCCCCGTCCCATCCGCCCTGCTCTTCCGCCAAAAGCCTCCGTTTCCCCGCCACCATCCCTGATCCCCTTCCCTCCTCACCGCTCGCCTCCCTTCCGCCACCACCACCACCCCCCGCACCATGAGGCTTTACACCGTTACCACGGTCACCATCCCCATCTCCGTGACCATGAACAAGGCTATGATCATGGCTACGGCTGTTAACATTATAATGCGTCCCGCGTCGCTTGACCCGTCGCGTCGTTCTCACTTCGATCGGCCAGTCCAACTCCCCGTCCATGTCCGTCCGCCGTCTTATCCTCTTTATAGACCGCACGTCTATAGGCACGTCTTGAATGTCGTCGTCTTCCGTCACGGGGTGCCATATCCGCGACCGATCCGAGTGCCCGTCCCCGATACTAGCTTTCATCCGTCTCCGTTTGGTGTTATCCACTACAGCAACATCTTGACGAGCGTAATTGTCCAACTCATCTCCCCCGACCGACAGCCGGTCCCCCAGATCCCCGCCTACTGCTACGCGCGTAGCATACCGCGAACTCCCCCCACCGCTGCTAACCCCGCCGTACTCCCTTCCACTCCTGCCGATCGTAATCTGGCTGTCGTACCCCGCTTCCTTAGCCGCTGCCGCTTTCGCCGCTGCTACTTCTTTCGCCTTCTGCTTGCCAGCCATAGATTCCTCCCACCAGTCGCCCTTCTGCGCTTGCGCGCGCTGGTCCGGGTTGGAAGCTTCCTTCTGCGCTTTCTGGATGTTCCAGCGGGCCGCTTGCCACGTCAGCCCCACCGCGACCCACATCAGCGCGACGAGAATGACCAACGCGCGATCGATGACGGTTCGGGGGGTCCGCTGTGGGCCGCGCATCATCATGCGGTTGTCCTTGATCCCCATTTTGCCGGCGGAGATTAAATAGTGACGGAAAGATGTGGATAACTACAGGTCTAGAGGGCAAGCGGGAAAATGACTACGACGAGAAGCGAAAAAGGGTTACCACTGTCACAAGTTAATCGCAATCGCAACCTGTTCAGTTCGAAGCCACGTCTTCAAAGAACTAATACTCGTGATCTAGACGAGATACGGAGCGCAAACAAGTTGCTGATTCGCTGCTGCACGCCCGTGAAAAACGCCGCGACGCACCATCGGGATCATCCGTCTCCTTTAACATCTTTGATCACGAAACGGGCAACTGGGCTCGTACGCAATAAAGAGAAATACGCGGGCCGACGCAACAACAAGAAAACCGTATGGCAAGGGCCCGTTTCCTTTCAAGCGACCGAGAACCCTGAAATGGAGAGAACGGGAAAACGAATCGAAATGAAGATGTGACCACAGGTGCCTCGAGGTGCAGGTGTTGCCCAGGAAGCCGGCAATGATTCACTGGCCGGCACAACAACAGCTGTAAAACGCGAGCGATAGCCGACAATGACGATGGATGGAAATAAGCAGAGCCTTGGGCAGGTCGAGAATAGTGCCTAGCGAAATGATGTCGCGAGTTATGGTAACTGTGCTTCGAGAAATAGTAAATTTGGCCAGGTAAAAGTGGCTTGGATTTTCTTGATGGGGAAAGACGTGGAAGGTTTGAAGTGGGAGAGGAAGGGAGGGAGAAAAAGCAAGTTTGGTGAGGGGAAGAAATGGTTGGAAAGGAAATGGTTGGTGGCAGAAACCTGTTAGCGCGTATGAAGTGCAAAACGCAAACACGAGGAGTTGTAAAAGTTAGAAGGCTGATAAATTGACCGACACAAATCCAAGCACTAGTACTGGTTTGTCACTTCCGTACTTGTGTGCGTTGAGCTTGGCAAGGGCGCTTTCGAAGGCGCTGATTAGCCCCAGACGGGCTTGGAGTTGATGTGATTTAGCGGATTCAGACCACGCCCATTTAGCGCGCTGAATATATCACTGACATCATGGATCGATCTGGTAGGTCGTACGACGCACGCCGTCATAGTTCGTTGCATCCATCCGTCCGTTCGTCCGTCGTTCACTTCATTCGTCGCCCAGTGGATCCGTTTGTCGTTCCGTCGTGCCTTTCATAGGTGTCGTCGCTTGTGGGCGTTTGGGTAGTTCCGACACGATTAGTGCCTACGCGATTTATTTATGAGCTTGCACGTCGTTCTGCATGGTGTCTCGATCTCTGCAAGACTACCTTTTTGCTATACTACCGAGCAATCATACACCCAGTACCCGTTTCTTCTCTCCTCGCAGCAGCAGCGTCGAAGCAACGGCAATCTGCCAAGCAACAGAAGGCGCCTCAACCTGCTGAACAACAAAGCCCTCCTGCCCCACTATTTTCTGGACCGAATCTTCAGAAGAACCTCGCCGCTGTGAACCTCAGGTCCGGTACCTCAAAAACGCACCTCGGACGTTGTTGTTCGTGGAAATCTTTTTGATTCCAGCCTCGTTCTGGCTTCATCGTTCGCCATCGAGAAAATAACATGCTTTCTGTTTTCTCTTTTACCACTCCCCCCTCCCTCCTCCTCCCCCCCCCCCCCCCCCACCCCTTCCTTCCTCCTCGCCCTCTTCCCCCCTCTCCCATCCCCTCCTCTACCCCCCACCCTCCGCCTCCCCCCCCCCCCCCCCCCCCCCCCCCGTTTTACCCATCTTACCCTCATGCAGTCGCACATACCTTGCCATAATAGCAGGTGTAGTGGCAGGCATATTAGGACTGACAGGAATATCAGGTTTCCTTTGCTACATATTTGTCATGGCCCTTGGGGCTGTCGGCCTGTTTATCAAGACTGGGTTTCACATAAACAAATACTTTGACACTTGGCAACGGATAGGTGGAATGGATGGCCTCACGCAAGGTGCCATGGTGAGTCCTATTCTCATAGCAAGCGGTTCATTTGACAACGGGGGCATGTTGTCTTTCAGTTTTGGTGCAATAGTTGTGTGAAGTTTTCAAATCACCATATGTGCTTGTTATCCGCCGCTTTCATTTTCCCTTGGTATTCTCCATTGCCCTCTCTCTTGATTTTTCTGATCACTGATGCGTGAACATTGACACGTGGTGATAACATGGATACCGCAACCTGTCAGTCATTCGTGCTCTTCTGGACGTAAGTGTCCTCTCCATTGCCAGCTCGTTTCGCCATGTTCTCCTGTGCCCAGTTACCTCCCAACTTCACTTCTCTCTGACTTTGCATTCTTACATTGTGCAGGCTTGCCTATGATTTCGTTCATCTTTTCTGAGTGCTGACTCGATTACCGTGTCTTGAAAGGTCGTGCAGCTGGTTTGAGTTGATGTGTCCTGTTAGTTGGTTATCATTAATAAAATATTATTTCTTGAGCACTGCAGTGCCTACGTGGTGCTAAAACAGAAGAGACGGTGCTGCGATGCTCTTGAGTTAGGAATGCCTCAGCATGGTAGCATGTGGCTGGACAGCACCAGTAATAGCTTATGTGGGCACCAAGATGTCATGAATGACCTCTGAGCCACTGAAAAGGAATACCATGGTCGGCAGGAGCAGAAGACACACCACCACCACCGTGCCAATCAAATACAACCTGTCATTCCTGGCGGGCTTGGTAGCATACGGTGTGTGGATTAGCCTGTTCACAGCCTTCACCAAAATTCTCAGCTTCTCCGCTGGTTGATCGGCCAATTGGAAATCACCACATAAGGAATTATAGAGTTCAGCTGATTTGTCGGGCTGGCATAATGTCGCCTCCTCAACTCTTTGAAGAAAGGCCAACACGATATCCTTGGTTGTGGGACCGCTGCAGGATTTGACTTCAACTTCTGAACCGTCAACGACCTGATGAACGGAAAAACTGTTATTTGCCATTTCACGTTCAGCGCTTTGAGCTGGAATTTCTCTCAAGCCTGCCTGAATATCCTTCGTTGAAATAACTTCTTCTGGATGACTGATTAGTTGTGAACCTGCCAGTGAGTCCAACACGGGAACAGCAAGATGCTCGCCCGTGCCGTTCACGACTTCTGGAGTGTTGTCCTTATTAGTTCCTTTCTCCGAGAAATTAGTAGATAGAATTGCTTTCACCTGCGTCATTCACATTCCTCAGTTGGCCGCAAAATGTGTAACGAAGAAAGTGACGGGACAGCAAAAACCAAAACGATAAAACAAACCTTGTCAGGTACTGGGCTGTCCTTCTCACTACGAGCAGCTGCAAGAATCTTCGCAACATTGACACTTTTTGGAGTTGAAAGCGTCTTGGAATTAGGCTGCTTGTTTGGTTTAGAAGGCGCCAATGGAAGCCCTCTACTCCTGTCAGGCTCAATGCCACTCCGCCGATTAGCTGGGAACAGGTCTGAGCTAATACCCATTGCGGCTGTAGGTACAAACGTAAATTACGGAATCTGACAAACCAGCCGTTCTTGAGGGGAAGTCACATCTTCGTTGAGATAAATAGACAGCTGTGCAGTGGGAGTGGCAGAAATGGGGGAAGGCGAAGGGAAATCCGCATCTGCGTTTGAGAATACCTTGTTACGGTCAAGGACCCAACTTTGTTCATATTGTTCTACACGTGATGTGCATTTCACTTTAATTCAGTTTGTTACACAGCTCATAAAATTCACAAACCCCTAAGCTCTTGCTATTACATAATAACACGCAAAATTTTCATATTATAGTAATGATTTGCGTTTATGAATAGCACAGCTCATGTTTTTTTTTTTCATTGGTGTCTCATGTTTTCTGTAGTGGATCTTTATCGCGAAAACAAGCATACCAATTGAACGCTTAGACAGTGTCGGGGACCATCATTCGCATCTCTATGGAGAGCTTCTATGAGCTTCTTGGGACTTGTGCTAACATACCCATCTGGAGGGAGTTAGATTTCCTACATGGACGCACTCTTTGCCGCATATGCGAGTGACGATGAGGAATTTGACGAGGCCCTGAAAGAAGATAAGGAGCAGGAAGACGGGTCTCTTGGAAAGGGTAGAGGAGAGGAGGCAAAAGTTGCAGATAGACGGGAAGGGGAGGAGGCGAACACCGTGAATGATGGAAAGGGGTACGCCTTATTTAAGAAGAGACGAATGAATCCAACAGACCTGACGAGCGGTGGAGCGCGGGGAGAGGAAGTGAAGAAAGAAGCCGAAAGGAGGAGAGACGTCGAAGAGAGGAGAGTAGTCGAAGACAGGAGAGGAAGCGAAGACACAGCTGCCGAAAGGAGCGAAAATGCCGATGCTCTTAGAACCAACAGGCGTGATTGCGCCGACGACAGACGGAATTCGTCAGCGGTGATGAACGACAGACAGAACTCGTCAGACAGAATGCATGACGGAGGGAGTATGCCACCTAAGATCGGCGGCAAACAGGATAGAGATGCGACATTAGCAGAAAGACGGACAGGCTCAAATGATCAGACTCGGAGAGTCTTATTGCCTTTGTCATCATCGTCACCAGCAAGAGCAGCAGCTGCCGCACCAGCGTTGCTTCCACCGCCTCCAGATGACCTCTTTGCTGATGTACAAGGTTGGGCTTTCTTGTTCCCTTCAATCGTTCTTGATCGTCCTCATCTATGTGTTCCACTTCAATCCCAAGTCTGTCCTTTGTTCCCCAGCCTGCCGGTTACTATTTTCCTACCAGCGTTCGTGTCTCTTAGTTTCACCGCTCGTACTCTTTCACTCCTCCTGTACCCATACCCACATTCACGCTTTCTCTCTCTTCGCTTCCCTTCATCTCCCCCTTACACCCCCTACCTCGGGCTTTCCATCTGTTTCACATGCACGTCTGTCCGCAGGTGAGGTGGCGAAAGGGAAGGTCAAAGCGGATTACGGAGGGAGAGTGCGAACGTTCCCCCATGTTGAGGGCAACTTCGCCGTTCATGTGTTCATTCCAGGCGAGTATGACCGAGCTGGCTCCTGGCAATTTGAGCCTTAAGGCGTCTCAGATTTGAATTTCCCCTTTCAGGTGTTCATTCCAGGCGAGTGTGACCAAGCTGACTCTTGACAATTCGTCATTCAAAACTACACAATTGAAGCGTTTTTGTTAATTTTTAAATCTCTCAACCAACATCTCCACCCTTTCCCCATCATTGCTTCCCCTATCCAGCCACTGCTCGAATCACACCTCCTCTATGCAACCAGGCCCGTCCCTTCACTTACATCCGACTCATCCGCACCCCTCTCCATCCTTCCCAACCTTTTCCAGGGAATGCCTGTCTCACCTGCTCTTATGCTTCTCCGACCATTCCCTTCTCGCCATGCCACACCCCGCTGCAGTGCCCATCCCTGCCTCTCTGCAACCACTACTCGAGTCACATCTCCTCACTGCCATCAGAGCCCTCCCTGCACTGTCTCCCGTAGACCCGGACTCTCTTAAAGCTGCTCAGAAGCAATCAGGGGCTGTGCCAGTGGCTGTAGATGCGCATACAGCAGGAGGACGGTTCGTTGCAGGAGCAGTGCCGATGCTGGATGAGAGGGTGCATGGAACATCTACATCGGCACTTGGAATTGCACCTGGTGCTGCTGCTGCGGCTGTTGCTGCTGCAGTGCATGCCCTGGTTACAGGGGAGGTTCACATGACGGCTGCTCGCACTGTCCCCATCCGCTTCCATCAGATCGACTCCCTGCTCAGCCTGCTGCGCTTGCGACTCAAGCCTTTAAAACGGTAAGATAGGAGGGTGATTAGTATGATGTTTATCCTGCTGCTATTGCTCTCTCCCTCCCTCCTTCCCTCTCTCCTCTTCCCACTCTTCCCACTTGCTTCTCAGCCAAATTGACAATTGGATAGCGTTTGTTACCAACAAGAAGACTCAATCTTTGACCCTCCCCCTCTCTTCTCGTTCCTGTCACTTTCCCACCCTCCACGGCACCAGCTTCCACTTGCATTTGGACAAGTGGACAGCATTTGTCAACGATGAGAAGACGCGCTCCTTCCTCGCCCTAGAAGGGACACGGGAGGGAGTGCCGGAGGTAATAATTGATAAGTTTTTTTTTTTTAATTGGCATGCTGTAAACTGGAAACAGATCCGAACGAGAAAACGGTTTGCTCTTTCCTTGCCCTTGAAGCTGCACTGGAGGGAGTGACTGAGGTAAGATCGAATCTCGTTTGCCCTTGGCTCCTCTTCAATTCTGCTATGCAGCACTCGTCGGCCCCCTGCGCTTTTTGAGAGACTCGTAAAAACTAGACCGTTCTTTGCCTCTGTTGATCATCGCTCCTCATTCCGCCACAAGACCAGTCAGTTTGCATCAGCCCCTCTTCCCTCTCCCACCGCTGTCCTGTCTGCTCGATCCCTCCCAGCTTATCTTTTACGGTTCCTCAAACCTCTGTTCAGGGGTACAACACTCCCCATATTCCCATCATCACCTCTTTCCCTCCGCTCACCACTGCTCTGTCTGCTTGCTCCTAGTTCACCTCTCTGGTTCAGTGCATCGATCAGGCGTATGCCGTTCACGGCCTTCCTCCGTACTATGATGTACGTTTCTATTCCCTGCCCTTCTGATTTTCCCTCTGTTTCCGTTCCCTGCTCCTCGTTTTTTCTCCTTGTTATGAATCATTTTTCATCCGTGCATGCGACTGCTCCTTCACGCATCCCTATTATCCACCATCCACACCCCTCCATGTACCTCCCTCCCACACCCCTTTTTTCTCACTTTCCATAAACCCCCCCGGCACACCTGTGGTTAAAACCCTATGCTCATACTTACACTCTCAAACCTACCATGTCAATGTGCCCATATGTCAATTTCAGAACCCACGCCCACACGTCTCCCTGCTCTGGGTTGCTGGTAACCACCTTGACCAGTTACTTTCCATCGCTCAAAGTTTAGAGATGTCTGCTTCGGCAAGCTTGTGTGGTGGTGTTCCTCTTTGCCTAAGAGTGAATGTAAGCAGGGTGGTTTGTAGAGTGGGGCAGAAAGTACACACAGTATGGGAGGACAATCGTAGATCATTGTTGTAGAGATGAAGTCATCAGGTTAATAAATTCTGCATACCACTTGTGTAAATTATTCTAGAACGTATAAAACCGTAGTCATTCTCAAATGCAGCGGCTGTCTAAGCAATAATCGGGGTATCGGGTAGGCCTCTAACGCGCTGCTTTCTTCCCAACAAGGATACGGTGGCCCTGTGCTCATAGCAGGGAGATTCTGCCTTCCGCACCGCGATTACGCTGATCAACTTCGACGTCCCGATCCCATGTGGCGCCCTCTTATTCGCGCCGCCAGGCTTCGCCTTGCCGCGGCGCGAGCCGACGGCAGAGTCAACGACGCCCGGCTAGCATCCCTGGCCGGCAGTTTCCTCCTGCCGGACGTCGAGAAACTAACGGACAGCCGTTATGGTTGTTATGATAGGAGCGGGTCCGGAGGGCGAGCTTCGGCTGAAGAGAGATTGCCGGAGTATCAGAAGATTCCAAATCCGGCTTTAAAGCCATACAGCGAGTCGCTTCCATTGTCTTCTAGCTCTCGCTTCGATTCGCGATCGATCAGGACTCAGATTTGTCGTTCTTCGGAGATCCCAGGATCCTCACAGGGACGCGTGGCGGTTGCGGAATGGTCGAGGCGATTCAGTATAGGCATTGCTCAGGCGAGCTCGAAGGCCGGAGGCTCAGGGGCGAAGGGATCGGCGCAAGCGGGGAAGAAGGAAGCGGAGAATGCAGGAGAGGCGGGGGAGGCGGGGGAGTGTGACGTCATGTTGACGTCAGTTCACCCTAAAGAGCTCTTGGATTTGAACGAAAACACCCTGTTCGAGCTTAGGTAAGCTTGGGTGAGGTTAGGTACTGTTAGGTAAGGTTAGATAACGTCATGAAAGTTCAGGTATGTTTTTAACATCCCTTTTGAGTTTAGGTAAGCGTTAGCGCCATGCTGTCTGTTAGGCTGGTTTGTCTTCTTACACTCACGCTCCGACTCCCTCTTATACCCTCTCATTCCTAGTCGCTCACACTCTCACATTCTTATTCACTCACACAGTCTCCACAACCTCACACTTACTCTTTCTACCGTATAAGCAGCTTCAATAATATTTCACCCGGGCGCCTTCCTCCTTCATCCCCACTCACACACTCACTCTCCCTCTCACATTCCCTCACAATCACTCTCTCACACACTCTAAAGTGAGGAGCATTAGCAGCAATAATTTCCAGAGTGTCTACATCCCACATTCCCACTCACTCACACACTCACACATTCCCTCCCTCACACTCACTCTCACATCCCCTCACACTCACTCTCATTACAGTGAGGAGCATTTGCAGCAATACTTACCCGAGGGTCTTCCTCCTTCAGTTGAAAAAGAGTTTGAGGCCTCTAAGTCCCGTGCCATTCTTCTTCGGGCAGCCACGAAAGATTTCATCCACAAGCTTCAAGCTGCCCGACATCACCAGTCCGCCTCATCAGATTCTAACAATCTCGTGGAATCTTCCTCCTCTGGCTCGTTTCTGCTCCGAGGCCATCCGGGCAGCGGAAAATCTTGTCTTTTGCTGACCGCTGTGCTTTGGGCCCGTGCAAACGGGTGGTTGGTGTTTTACGTGCCTAAGGCGAGAGAATGGACGAATAACGGTTTGTACTACAAGCATCCTGAGACTGTGGGGGTGGAGGGGGGACAGGAGAGAGGGAGTTTGGAGGATGGAGGAGAAGGGAGGGTGGGAGCTGGAGGGAGAAGAAAGGCGATTTGGGATACCCCCATACAAGCACAAGCAGCGCTCAAGGTGAGATGATCGTCAATGCAATTAGTACGGTTTTCAGCTGCTTGAGTGGTTTGAGTGGCATTATTGAAGTGAATCATCACTGAGTTTATGCAATGCAAGACGGGTATTATTATTCATCTTCCCTTTTTTCTCTCGTTACCACCACCCTGCCACAGTCATTTCTTGCAGCCCACGAGGACATTTTGTCCTCTCTGCCCGTTCAGCTGCCCGAACCTATCACTCTGGGGGAGGGGCCAGGCATCGGCTTGGCTCGGGGCAGCCAGGTCGTATCGCCGGGCTCTGATTGGTCGCTGGGAGATCTCGTGAAATATGGAGCTGACCACTCACATGCCGCCACGAGTGTTGTGGTTCGGCTGAGAGAGGAGCTAGCACGAGTGACTTCTGTTCCCACCATGATCGCTGTTGATGAGGTGAGATGAGGGAGTTAGAGTGGGGAAGAGAAGGAGAGCAGAGAGAATATGGTGGGGACGCAACCACGAGTGTTGTGGTTCGGCTGAGTGAGGAGCTAGGAAGGGTGACCTCTATTCCCACCATAATTGCTGTGGATGAGGTGAGAGTGAGGGAGGTAGAGTGGGGACGCAATCACGAGTGTTGTGGTTCGGTTGAGGGAGGAGCTTGGAAAAGTGACTTCTGTTCCCACCATGATTGCTGTTGATGAGGTGAGAGTGAGGGAGGGAGAATGACAGGGAGAATGGGGAGGGATAGAGTGTGGGTAGAAGGTGGGAACACTATACCACTGCACTGGTTCAGCTGAGGGAGGAGGTGGGAAGGGTGACTTCTGTTCCGACCATGATTGCTGGGGATGAGGTGAGAGAGTGGGGAGGGAAAGTGTGGGAAGAGAGTGAAGGGAGGGTAGATGGTGTGAACGCTGTCACCAGTTCCTGACTCGGCTGAGAGAGGAGCTAGGAAGGGTGACTTCTGTTCCCACCGTGATCGCTGTGGATGAGGTGAGAGTGAGGGGGGGAGTGGCAGTGGGGAGGGAGAGGGGAGAGGGAGAGGGGATAGGGAGAGTGGGGAGGGAGAGTGGGGAGGGAGAAAAGGGGTTGGAGATGGCGGAAACGCAGCCACGAGTGTTGTGGTTCAGCTGAGGGAGGAGCTAGGAAGAGTGGCTTCTGTTCCCACCATGATCGCTGTGTATGAAGTGAGAGTGGGAGGGGAGAGTGGGGGAGAGTGGGGGAGAGTGGGGGAGAGTGGGGGAGAGTGGGGGAGAGTGGGGGAGAGTGGGGGAGAGTGGGGGAGAGTGGGGGAGAGTGGGGGAGAGTGGGGGAGAGTGGGGGAGAGTGGGGGAGAGTGGGGGAGAGTGGGAAGAGGTGAAGAGGGTTAGAGAGGGAGATGACGGGAACGCAACCACGAATGCTGTGAGCGGGTGAGAGAGAGCTAGGAAGAGGGTGATTTCTGATTCGACTATGGTAGATGTGATGAAGGTGAGATGAGGAAGGTGAAGGGGGGTATAGAGGGATGCTGGGGATGCAACTGCAAGTCATGTGGGTTGTAATGATGGTCATGATGGTCTTTTTTTTCCTTTCTCGCAATGTCATGTTGGTGCACCCACCACCTCCCTTGTTGTTTTTTCTCCCGTTCCTGTGCGTGCAGTTCAATGCGTGGTTCACGTTCTCAGGGTTTTTTGAGTCCACAGGAGACAGAAGCCGGAGGCAGATACATGCTGGAGAGATGCGCATGGTGAGTGGTGGGTGCTGCATGGGTAAGCGTGGTGATGGTGGTGGGTGCACCAATACGGCGTTGTGCAGCAACAACAAGTGCTTTTCTTGGTGTGAAGGGAGCTTCACTGATGTGAATATTTGTCTGATTCAAAACTTTCTTGTGTGCTCCACCCTCCACAAACCCCTCTCTCATCCCCTTCACATGAGCACCTTCTGTCGCTTGCAAGGCAGTGGCATCATGGCAGCTGCATTCTCCGAGTTCATAGCAGTGAGGAGGCTGCCTGCTGTGCTGCCGGGGTTGATGCTGCTTCAGTCACTCCTTTGAAAAGAGATTGTTCTATGCTTCATCCCTTTGTATACCCCAATGTATACCCCAACCCTTGTATACCCCAATGTATACCCCAACCCTTGTATACCCCAATGTATACCCCAACCCTTGTATACCCCAATGTATACCCCAACCCTTGTATACCCCAATGTATACCCCAACCCTTGTATACCCGAACCCTCATTCTGCTCTGTCCCAGGTCAACGCCTTTCGCTCTTTAGAAGCCACTGGCATCATGGCAGCTGCGTTCTCCGAGTCCATAGCAGTGGGGAGGCTGCCTGCTGTGCTGCCGGGGGTGCCTAAGGGCGTGCGGCTGAACGTGCCGCGCTTCACTGTTGATGAGACGCTTGCTCTGCTGCAGCACTACCAGAAGAGGTGCGTCTGCATGAATGAGGCAATTGAGAAATGCTCCCTGCAGTGCTGTTGCAGGTGCCTGAGGGCGTGCGCCTCAATGTGCCTCGCTTCACTGTTGATGAGACACTTGCTCTGCTGCAGCACTACCAGAACAGGTGCGTCCTTGCATGTCTTTGTAGGCTGCTCTAAAGCTGGATATTGTTCGTAGAGGTAACTCAATGCACCTCCCTGCTGTGCTGGCGGGGGCGCCTAAGGGCGTGCGCCTCAATGTGCCGCGCTTCACTGTCGACGAGACGCTTGCCCTGCTGCAGCACTACCAGAAGAGGTACGCCTTGTGTGCGTGTAGCGTACCTGTTTTCTTTAAGGTGATTGGAAAAGACTCCCTGCTGTGCTGCGGGGGGTGCCTAAGGGTGTGCGGCGCGGTTGAACGTGCCTCGCTTCACTGTTGACGAGATGCTTGCCCTGCTGCAGCACTACCAGAAGAGGTGCGTCCGTGTTTTGTTTGTAGGTTTCTCCAGAGCTGCCTTTCGTTCATAGAGGCAACTCAATACAGCTCCTTGCTGTGCTGTTGGGGGTGCCTAAGGGCGTGCAGCTCACTGTTCCTCGCTTCTCTGTTACGTGTTCTTCTGTGTGTGCAGGTGTGTCTGACTGCTGACTGCTTGTTCTTAACTGTTATGTCAAATTAAACTATACAGATGGCCTTTTTGTGCTCTTGCCATACCGTAATTCCTTCTCCCTGACTAAACGTCCCCACCCACCACCCACACTCCCCCCTGCCTTCCGAAACACCTCCTCTCTCTGCATACCCTGGGCTCATCACTGCAGCTGCAAGCTGGGCCGTGTGACAGACGACGAGGAGGCTATTAAAGAGGCTGCAGTGCGCGCATGCATGGTCACAGGGGGGAATGCGGCGCAGCTTAGAAACGTGGCACATTTTCTGTGATAATGTGTGCTTTTCTTGTCTATCTGCAAATGAGTACTTGGTGGCACCAGTGCCTTGAGAATTGGGTTTGCCACTAATCAAAGAGTTTTTTCTATTAAAGAGGGCTTGGTAGGTACCGTAGGTTGAGATGTCAAGGCATGTGCTGCATCTATAATTTGATCTTTTCCCTTTCTAGATATTCACGAATGAGTCCTGGAGATACACTGGTAACAAGGTGAAGATCTACCGGCATACCAGAGCACAGGAGACAGTCCAACAAAGAAACAGTAACTTGATACCAGTTTGGCTTTCTGCACAGTTTTAATTCAGATACCGTATCCCGTTCTTGTTCTGTTTATTGTCTCGAGTCCCTACAACCGATCCCAGTCGTGACAAAACCAGCTGAACCGCGTGTGACGAACTTACTGACTTTCCACGCGAACCGAAAAGTCTTTCAGCCTTTGGTAGTCTTGTCCCTGGCAATACCGAGGATTTTAGGGAAGTGCGGGAAGGGGAGCTCCCACAGAAATCATTGACCTTGAGAACACCGAGCACAGCATCACAGGAGGTCTCAGAAACGGGAAGGGTAGTGAGGTAGGCGGACAAAGCCTGACCGTGTTAGGTGGCTGCGGAGACGTGACTGAGTAACCCTTTTAAGTGATCGTGTCAAGTGGCTGTGCTAAGAGACAGTCTTAAATGTCTGTTGAGTGACAGTTAAGTGAGTGCGCGCAGGGTCAGAGTTAGCTTCTGTTAAGTATCAAGCGGCATTGTCGTCGTTCCTATACTTCCAATCGGCTAGCTTAATTATTGACTGGTTAAGAAGAATGGCGACGTTGAAATGGAACCTAACGCCGCTTACGGACCCAGCTGTTGCTGCATCGTGGAGAGACGGCGACACGACGAAACCGCGATCAAAGATCATTCACCTGGTTCGTTTTATCCCTTATAGTAATTCTCTATGCTTCGTCCGTAGTCGACGCCTCTTCCTGATCTTAATGCACGCTACATAATCTCTTTCTGGAAAAAAAAAGCAATGCCTTGTCGCAGCCAGTCATTCGTGTGGAAATCGCCGTCAAGACTTTGAGAGTTTCGTATCGAGCCGTGAAAGAGCGCGACTTTTTTTTTAGTACTTTTTAAAGTGTCGAGGTCCTGAAAACAACCCACTTATCGTTCCGTGAACCGCACCCCCTTCTTGTCGCGTTCAGTTCGCGTTCAGTTCCCCCTTTGTCATACCGAGAGCTTCTGTGCCTTCAAGAACTCGTTGTCGAGCTATTCGCCATCGCATCCGGCATATGAAGCCTGGCGACTATCTGGCATTGCACGAACGCATGAACAACTAACGAGGTGACTTTTGAGTCGACTCAAAAGTCACCTCGTTACAATGGCACTATTCACCATCCTATCTGGCATATTCAACCTGGCGACTATCTGGCATTGCACGAACGCATCATCGATTTGCATTTCAAAATCGCAATCTCACCATCTCTCACGCACATTGCACGTTATTGCCATCTCACTGACATTGCAGACGCCGCCAGTTCACTGACTTTGCACAGTCTCAGCATCGCATCTCACCGACATTGTGCAAGTCACCATCTTTCCACTTCTATTGGCCCTGTTACCCGCTCAATTTCTACCAAAACACCCTTTCGCTAACGCTCTTCCTGTGGTCAGATTCGTCACGGGCAGGCAGTGCACAATTTGGTGATGGACACGGAGCAGTACAAGCTCGAAAAGTTTCTCGACTGCCCGCTCAGCACTCAGGGATTTGAGCAGGTCTGGTGCTGCAGCAGAGTCGCTCTGCTTCTTTCTTCCTTTATTTTTTTGCCATAAGTTCCAGTATCTACTTTCTGTTTCACGTCGTTTTCTCTCTTGGCACTTGCTTCAAATTTGGTGCAAGCCTCCCTCCTCCCCACTTGTTCCAACCAATCACACCACAGGTAGCAGAGCTGCGCAAGCAAGTAGCAGCTAACCCTCCTCCAGGCTTCCCTGCTGACCTGATAGTCGTCTCCCCCCTGCTGCGGTAAGTCGACACTCGTCCTCTCACCATTCTGTCTCCCCGGCTGCAGTAAGTCAGCACTTGTCATATCACTGTTCTGTCCCCGTGCTGCGATAAGTTAACACTCGTCCTCCTCACTGTTCCGTTGTTCCCTTTCCATCATTCATCCCCTCACCCTCCCCGCTTTCCTTGTCGCCCTCTTCGTCTTTCCCCTCTCCTCTCTCCCCAGCACACTGCAAACAGCAGAGGGCGCCTTTGGCCCCTCTCCACCCTCCACTCCTGATTCCCCTTCCCCTCGTCTTTCCCTCCCTGCCCTAATCAGCACACTGCAGACAGCAGCGGGCGCCTTCGTTTATGGCGCGTACAAAAATGACCCTTTCCCACCCTCCACTCTTGACCCCCCTTCCCCTCGTCTTTTCCCTCCCTGCCCTAAGCAGCACACTGCAAACAGCAGTGGGCGCTTTTGGACCTCCTAACACGGCCATTCCAGTCGACCCCCCCGAAAGACGCGGCTTCCAAGAACCTTCCCGTTGTGGACGGGTGCACAGCGGGAACCAATGGGGTGGAAGCGGTCGTACCTGCCACTGTTGTGACGGCTGCTGTAACACTTGAAGGTGGTAACCAGGTTACCACCACGCTGCCAGCACACATTTTGGCGAACGAGCTTTGCAGAGAAACGCTGGTGAGCTGAGTGGGGCTGAGTGAGTGGGGGTTAATGAGTGAGGTTGAGGATTAGGCAGTGCGGGTTTTGGCAGTGTGGGATTAGGCAGTGCAGTGCATTGTGAGGGGTAGTGAGTGCGGAGTGAATGAATAGATGTAGAGTGATGCTGACTGTATGATACATGCATGGAAGCATGTGCGTTTCACAAGGTCTCCTACCCAGATAACAGCACATTCATTCCGTCTCCTGCTGATGAAGCACATCTCTCCTCAGTTTTTTTCCCACATCGTGCTGCTGCCTACTAGAGAGGTGTGCATGTGGATGCGCATGTGTGCATGTGTGTGTAACCACCTACACATACAGCGTGGTGCTTGTTTGTGGTGTGTGTGCGTGCCTTTCACACGTACATAACTGTGTGTGCACGGGTGGAACCAGCGCCCGACAATCAGAGAAGCATGCATGCGCATGTCCTTGCTCATGCTCCTTTCCACCTCTCCTGTTCCCTCCCCTCCCCACTCCTTTGAGTTTTCTATATCCCATGTCCACTTGTCTACCTATCACTCCTCCCCCCCACACAGCATGTGCATGTGTGCGACAAGCGCCGGCCAATCAGAGAGAAGAAGGACCTCTTCCCCTCTGTGGACTTCAGTCAGGTGCGCTGCTGGCCGTGTTCTTGGCGCGGTGTGTTGTGGTGCTGTGGGGTGCAGTGCAGCACAAGGTGGTACAGAAACGGCATTGTGGTGCTGTGCTAGCCAGTTCCTTTGTTAAGGTGCTGGGCAGTGGCATGAGATGGGGTACATGTCAAGTTCATGTGATCTCTACATGTGATCTACATGTGTGCCATACCACACCACACCACACCACACCACACCACACTACACAACACCACACCACACCACACCACACCACACCACACTACACAACACCACACCACACCACACCACACCACACCACACCACACCACACCACACCACACCACACCACACCGCACTGCAGATCACAGATGACGAGGATGCGCTGTGGAAGGTAGAGCCCAGGGAGACTCGAGTTCTGAGATGTCCCTAAACAGTCACTCATGTCCATGCCCCACCACACCACACCGCACCCCACTGCACCACACCACACGATACCACACTACAGATCATGGATGACGAGGATGCGCTGTGGAAGGTGGAGCCCAGGGAGACTCGCGAGGAGATTGCACAACGAGCTACTGATCTCGCCGCATGGTGCGATTCTCTGACTTCCGGGATCGTGTACTTCATTTATAGTATGCTAGCAGCATGTGGCACTTTAAATCTCGTCTCACCATCTTGCATAAGCCGGTAATCTGGTATCACACTGTCAGCAGCAGCTCTCCCACATGTCTCAGGGTGCTTCTTGTTTTACAACATCTCAGAACATCTGCTGCTTACATCCCAGCCCAGGCCACATCGTCTCTCACATTCACTATTTCCTGCTTCCCCTACATTTACTTACCTCCATCTCCATCCTTCCCTGTTTTTTCTCCCCATCGTTTTCCCCCTCTTTCTTCTCTGGCTCTCTCTCTCTCTTCTCCCCTTATCCCAGGCTGCTTGGACTCAAGGAACAATCCATAGCAGTTGTTTCGCACAGCGGTTTTCTCCATGCCTTCGCCACTGTTGGCCTGCCCGCACATCTACGGCCCGAGAACAAGCTCGTCTAGTGAGTGCACCCGTTCCTCAACCCCTGCTCCTCATCCCCCAGTAATTCCTCACGTTTCTGAGGCATTTGAAAGTTTGCACATCATCATGGGTATGTTTCTCGCTTTTCCATCCCTTCCTTGCCGATTATGCTTTCCCCGTGCCCCCTCTCTGCTGTCTCAGTTTTGAGAACTGCCGGCTACGCTCGTACATCCTTTCGGCAGAAGACTGACATCCTTCCGTGACTGACCAACAGTAGTATCACATCTAATGTTTCAAAGGATAGCTTGAATGTTGTAGACCCTTCGTTTTAACCAATCTTGCAAGAAGGTTATGTAGCTATCACTGTGCAATCAAGCTGCAGTTAGTCACTCTTACCATATAACCAGCAGGCCAAGAAGCCTAAATTGGTTCAACCTTCCTAACTATGGTTGAGTGTGACCCTGGCATCCAAAACCTTGGCCAATTGCATTGCTCACCACAGCCAACCTTCCTAACGTTGAACCTTGGCCCTTGTTTCAAACAAAGATCTGGTGACGCCCTGTTGCTATGTAGTACAAGCTGAAAGGATGAAGTGAAAAGAAATTGACTAGTTACAGTATAGCGGCAGATACAAAATGTACTCAAGGAAAATAGTCACGCCAGTTGTTGTAGTAAGATTCTCTCACTTCCTTCGACATCATTTGGTTCCACTGCACAACAGAACCACAGAAAAACCCATCCCCATGTGAAATGATATTGGTACCAAGCAAAGACTATGGCTAACACGGCGAACAGAATTATCGAACACACAGGCAGCAACACTTTTGACTTGAGGCATTAATTCCATGTAAAACATCCCAGAAGCAAGACGGAAGCGTATAATGAACACGCACCTTAGGTTCATAAGGCTTTCTCTGCCGGCACGCCTTCTTAAATTGATGGTTCTCGTGAATGTACGCCATGTCGTGCCAGCTGAACGGATCGAAAAGGAAGAGAAAGGGGAGAGGGAGAGGTTGGGGAGGGTGGGATTGGTGGTGATGGGAATAGGGGGAGATGTAGCAGCTGAAGGATGGACCGATACTCTGACAATCAGCGGAAGCTGAGATGCCTCGTTAGTTTCCTGACTCACTATCAGCGTGAACCGCAATACGATGAACATGACAATTTGCACGGGTTGTCACATTTCCATTTAAACATTGTGTCAAGGCTCATATTCCGGTGTCATGTTCGCATGTAGTAGGCTGTATGCACCTTTCATCTCAAACCCAGTGCGATTTGTGCTCCAACGTCTGGTGCCTGTGATACAGGTCGGTTATCGAGACGGACGGACTGGACAAACTTACTTGTGCTCCGTTGAGTGCTGCCAATAGTATGGATCGGCTACCGAATAGAGCGAAAACCCGACGGCTCCCCAGAAAATGCCGGAGAAGATGTCTTTATCAGTGTGAGGCACGCCGGGATCGCCCGTATACGCGGGTCCGAAAATCTTATCCATCCTGGATTCTGAAGCTTGCTGCTAGACCAGGAACGACGTGCCCGCAAACTGAGAGGCTCAGCTCACAGTCCAGAGCGAAACTACCAAAGAAGCAAAAATATGCAATAGTTAGACTAGCGGAACGGACCAATCGGAGGTCTAGTTTCCAGTAACTAAAACCAGACCAGGCTATAATCGACACAGCAATTGGTTTGTAGGTTGAAATGCGAGAGAGAGAAGGTCGAATTGAATATGGTTTAAAGCGGTAGCGTACAATGTAGTTCGTTATTGTACGTTTTCAAGGGGATGACAAGCATGGATGTGAGGTCTGTGAAACGGATGTGACGGATTGCGATTGCTTTGTGAAATGAACGGCGGGGATGTGGAAAGCTGATGGCTTTTGGGAGTGCCCTATTGTGTTGACGTGGCAATGACACGTCGGGAACTTTGAGGATGGTGTCCTTGATACGGAATTATTCGATTGGCCCTCGATACAGTACTTGTTCGGCTTGATAGCGCAGACTGGGAATACCTGGCGCTTGTATTCTTGGCCATGCCTCCAGGCGCTTAGGGTTGAGGCTCCCTGACCGGATGCATGCCCGTCTGGGGTTTTTTTTTTTTGCCCCCGGGCAGCGAGCTCCGTCGGGCGTCGACCTGATTCCGCTGAGCTATTTTCGGCGGCCTGTCTATTCACGGACATCTATCCGTTTTCCCTGAGAATTCAGGGTTAGTTGCACAGCACTGAGATTTCCAGGGCTGGTTATTTCCTCGCCCGGATTCCTAACGGATGGCATGGCGAAAAAAATCCCTGACGGGTCGAAACAGCCAATCTGCAACTAGCTGCAAACTAATTTGTATTCGTTTGAAAGGTGCAAAGGTAGACACGATTTGAAGGGTGTAGAGAAATCTTCGGATGTTTGATAAACACCGTCATTCAAAACCTCGTTATGGCTTACTTTCCGACATTAGAACCTTCGTATCGCGGAGTCGTTTAGAAGATTACCCATCATACACTTGTACCCTGTAATCTACACCCTATTTTATGGAATACCCCACCGTCACATGGAGTCTGGCTTTGAATCCTCCTGCAAGCACCACAGTGGGAGAGTGTAGGAAAAGCTTCGGATGTTTGACAAACAACGTCAAAATACCTCGTTATTGCTTCGTTTTCGACAGTAGAACCTTCGTATAGCGGAGTCGTTTGGAAGATTACCAATCACGTGCTTGTACCCTTTAAATTACACCTTCTTTTAAGGCATAACCCACCGTCTTATGGGGCCTGCCTATGAATCCCGCCGCAAGCACCACCGTGCCTGAAGCTGTGAAATTCGTGAGGTGGTCCTCCACAAATACTTCACTGGACAGTGGGAAATCCACCTCCCCATTTGTAACCCGCCTCCCCATTTGTTTACACTCCTCGCTGGGTCAACGAGGTTGTTCTATCCACTCCCAGATGAGCACCTGTGTAACCCCCTTCTGGGGGGCTGGCAGAACACGCCGCAGGGGGGATTTGATCCCGGGACCTCATCTTTCGGAAGTGAACCAGCTAACTAGCTGGGCCACTTCAGGATGGGAAATCCTGGGAGAGGTACTTCATATTAGAACAAATTAAAGAGTGTAAGAAAAGCTTGGGATGTTCGACAAACACCGTCAAAATACCTTGTTATTGCTTCGTTTTCGACAGTAGAACCTTGGTATAGCGGAGTCGTTTACAAGATTACCCGTCCCCGACTTGTACTCTTTAAAATACACATTCTTTTGAGGAATAGCCCACTGTCATTATGGGCCTGGCTATGAATCCCGCCGCAAGGTCCACCATGCTCACGAAGCTGTGAAATTTGTTAGTGAAGTGCTCCTCCACAAATACTTCACTGAACAGTGGGAAATCCCTGGGAGGTAAACTTCATAACAGAAACAATTTGAAGGGTGTGCCCCCTCTTCCTCCCTCCCAACAACACCCCCACAACTCCCACATCCCTCCCCCCAACCCCCCCCCCTCCCCCAGCGTGCTTTGCTTTGGAAAGTGGGTAGCTACTAGTGTCCGTAGTGTGTTGCTCACGCCATAGAAATAGGTCATTGTGGAGAAGAGGTCACTGTGAAGTGGGTCCAGCTGGAAAGTAGCATTTTAGTCGATCAAGTCGGAGAGCAGCCACGTCGAAGGGATTACATAACGCGCTGTTATGACGGCGCTGCGAGTCATACGAGTAAAAGCTAAGAGGTATTAACAGCGCTGAATCCATGTAGTGTAGCTTTTTTCGCTGCTCGCCTCCCGCAGCAATCTTCGAGGACGGGGCACATCCACATTGTAATCGAGGGGGAGAGATCTGCTTCAGTTCTGACCAGCTTGATATTTACGGTATCAGATGTCGAAGTGCCTGCGATCCCAGTAGTGGATGTAGAAACCTAAACCGGCCAGGCAACCTCAAGATTCGCTAGTGTTGTGGCAAAGTAACTTCTAAGAGAAAAGCGCTACTTTCCTTTAGAATCTTCACCAAACGCTTAGAACAGCTAGGAACCCAGTTCTTACTTCGTGAAATCTAGCCGGTATGGCCTCTCCCGTGCCACCATTTGCACAAGCGCCGGGAGCCACGTCAGCAGCGATGACGGCGCCGGCAGGTTCCGCTGGTCCAGCCGGCGGGCCGGTAGACCACTACCCGAAGCCGTTAGCGACGCACGAGGCGATCCTGGGGGATCGCGTGCTGTTCCTTGACTTGCTGGCGCGGTTTCACAACCAGATGGGAGGGTCGCTGAGGTGAGTTCCGGACGTTTCAAAGCTCGATTCTGGGGGATCGCGAGCTGTTCCTTGACTTGCTGGCCCGTTTCCATAACCAGATGGGAGGGTCGCTGAGGTGAGTTCCGGACGTTTCAAAGCTCGATTCTGGGGGATCGCGAGCTGTTCCTTGACTTGCTGGCCCGTTTCCATAACCAGATGGGAGGATCGCTGAGGTGAGTTCCGGACGTTTCAAAGCTCGATTCTGGGGAAGCTCGATTCTGGGGGATCGCGAGCTGTTCCTTGACTTGCTGGCCCGTTTCCATAACCAGATGGGAGGGTCGCTGAGGTGAGTTCCGGACGTTTCAAAGCTCGATTCTTGGGGATCGCGAGCTGTTCCTTGACTTGCTGGCCCGTTTCCATAACCAGATGGGAGGGTCGCTGAGGTGAGTTCCGGACGTTTCAAAGCTCGATTCTGGGGGATCGCGAGCTGTTCCTTGACTTGCTGGCCCGTTTCCATAACCAGATGGGAGGATCGCTGAGGTGAGTTCCGGACGTTTCAAAGCTCGATTCTGGGGAAGCTCGATTCTGGGGGATCGCGAGCTGTTCCTTGACTTGCTGGCCCGTTTCCATAACCAGATGGGAGGGTCGCTGAGGTGAGTTCCGGACGTTTCAAAGCTCGATTCTGGGGGATCGCGAGCTGTTCCTTGACTTGCTGGCCCGTTTCCATAACCAGATGGGAGGGTCGCTGAGGTGAGTTCCGGACGTTTCAAAGCTCGATTCTGGGGGATCGCGAGCTGTTCCTTGACTTGCTGGCCCGTTTCCATAACCAGATGGGAGGGTCGCTGAGGTGAGTTCCGGACGTTTCAAAGCTCGATTCTGGGGGATCGCGAGCTGTTCCTTGACGGCTGGCCCGTTTCCATAACCAGATGGGAGGGTCGCTGAGGTGAGTTCCGGACGTTTCAAAGCTCGATTCTGGGGGATCGCGAGCTGTTCCTTGACTTGCTGGCCCGTTTCCATAACCAGATGGGAGGGTCGCTGAGGTGAGTTCCGGACGTTTCAAAGCTCGATTCTGGGGGATCGCGAGCTGTTCCTTGACGGCTGGCCCGTTTCCATAACCAGATGGGAGGGTCGCTGAGGTGAGTTCCGGACGTTTCAAAGCTCGATTCTGGGGGATCGCGAGCTGTTCCTTGACTTGCTGGCCCGTTTCCATAACCAGATGGGTGGGTCGCTGAGGTGAGTTCCGGACGTTTCAAAGCTCGATTCTGGGGGATCGCGAGCTGTTCCTTGACTTGCTGGCCCGTTTCCATAACCAGATGGGAGGGTCGCTGAGGTGAGTTCCGGACGTTTCAAAGCTCGATTCTGGGGGATCGCGAGCTGTTCCTTGACTTGCTGGCCCGTTTCCATAACCAGATGGGAGGGTCGCTGAGGTGAGTTCCGGACGTTTCAAAGCTCGATTCTGGGGGATCGCGAGCTGTTCCTTGACTTGCTGGCCCGTTTCCATAACCAGATGGGAGGGTCGCTGAGGTGAGTTCCGGACGTTTCAAAGCTCGATTCTGGGGGATCGCGAGCTGTTCCTTGACTTGCTGGCCCGTTTCCATAACCAGATGGGAGGGTCGCTGAGGTGAGTTCCGGACGTTTCAAAGCTCGATTCTGGGGGATCGCGAGCTGTTCCTTGACGGCTGGCCCGTTTCCATAACCAGATGGGAGGGTCGCTGAGGTGAGTTCCGGACGTTTCAAAGCTCGATTCTGGGGGATCGCGAGCTGTTCCTTGACTTGCTGGCCCGTTTCCATAACCAGATGGGAGGGTCGCTGAGGTGAGTTCCGGACGTTTCAAAGCTCGATTCTGGGGGATCGCGAGCTGTTCCTTGACGGCTGGCCCGTTTCCATAACCAGATGGGAGGGTCGCTGAGGTGAGTTCCGGACGTTTCAAAGCTCGATTCTGGGGGATCGCGAGCTGTTCCTTGACTTGCTGGCCCGTTTCCATAACCAGATGGGTGGGTCGCTGAGGTGAGTTCCGGACGTTTCAAAGCTCGATTCTGGGGGATCGCGAGCTGTTCCTTGACTTGCTGGCCCGTTTCCATAACCAGATGGGAGGGTCGCTGAGGTGAGTTCCGGACGTTTCAAAGCTCGATTCTGGGGGATCGCGAGCTGTTCCTTGACTTGCTGGCCCGTTTCCATAACCAGATGGGAGGGTCGCTGAGGTGAATTCCGGACGTTTCAAAGCTCGATTCTGGGGGATCGCGAGCTGTTCCTTGACTTGCTGGCCCGTTTCCATAACCAGATGGGAGGATCGCTGAGGTGAGTTCCGGACGTTTCAAAGCTCGATTCTGGGGAAGCTCGATTCTGGGGGATCGCGAGCTGTTCCTTGACTTGCTGGCCCGTTTCCATAACCAGATGGGAGGGTCGCTGAGGTGAGTTCCGGACGTTTCAAAGCTCGATTCTGGGGGATCGCGAGCTGTTCCTTGACTTGCTGGCCCGTTTCCATAACCAGATGGGAGGATCGCTGAGGTGAGTTCCGGACGTTTCAAAGCTCGATTCTGGGGAAGCTCGATTCTGGGGGATCGCGAGCTGTTCCTTGACTTGCTGGCCCGTTTCCATAACCAGATGGGAGGGTCGCTGAGGTGAGTTCCGGACGTTTCAAAGCTCGATTCTTGGGGATCGCGAGCTGTTCCTTGACTTGCTGGCCCGTTTCCATAACCAGATGGGAGGGTCGCTGAGGTGAGTTCCGGACGTTTCAAAGCTCGATTCTGGGGGATCGCGAGCTGTTCCTTGACTTGCTGGCCCGTTTCCATAACCAGATGGGAGGATCGCTGAGGTGAGTTCCGGACGTTTCAAAGCTCGATTCTGGGGAAGCTCGATTCTGGGGGATCGCGAGCTGTTCCTTGACTTGCTGGCCCGTTTCCATAACCAGATGGGAGGGTCGCTGAGGTGAGTTCCGGACGTTTCAAAGCTCGATTCTGGGGGATCGCGAGCTGTTCCTTGACTTGCTGGCCCGTTTCCATAACCAGATGGGAGGGTCGCTGAGGTGAATTCCGGACGTTTCAAAGCTCGATTCTGGGGGATCGCGAGCTGTTCCTTGACTTGCTGGCCCGTTTCCATAACCAGATGGGAGGGTCGCTGAGGTGAGTTCCGGGACGGTACAAGTCAAGCTCGATTCTCGAATATTCGTGTGAATTGAAGCGGCGTTTGAAACGTCTACGGATATCTCCGTCTTCCTATTGCTTCTCCCTGCTGTCTGCAGGATCCCACAAATGGGAGGGAGGGAGCTGGACCTGCACCTGCTGTACTTTTGAGACGTCTCAAAGGGTTTCTGCTTCTTCCTGTCGCTTCTTCCTGCTGCCTGCAGGATCCCGCAAATGGGAGGGAGGGAGCTGGACCTGCACCTGCTGTACCGTGAAGTGACAGGCCGAGGGGGGTTGATGCAGGTGAGGGGATCGGTGGAGACTGGTGCATGTGATATTTATGTAGATAGCAAGGGGGGAGACTGCTTCACCTTGAAGCAGGTGAGGACTGGTACGGGTGAGAAATTAGAGCGAAGAGGGAAGATGATTCCGTTATAATCGCTGCCTTCTCCCCCTGCTCCCCTTCTTTCTCCTTGCAGGTGATAGCAGATCGCAAGTGGCGGGACGTGACGATCCCCTTCAACTTCCCCCACCACACCACCACCAGCGCCTCCTACGTCCTGCGCAAGTTTTACATCAACCTGCTGCCTCTCCCCCTCCTTCCTCCTATCCCCCCACTTTTCCCCTCTCCGGCTCTCTCTTTCTTGCCCCCGGTACGTACAGGTGATAGCGGATCGCTAGTGGCGGGACGTCACGATGCCCAAACGACTTCCCCCCCACCACCACCAGTGCTACTTTTATGCTGTGCAATTTCCCACCCGGATTTTCCCATTCCTTCCTCCTCTATTCTTTTCCCTCACAGGTGATTGCAGATCGCAAGTGGCGGGACGTGACGATCCCCTTCGACTTCCCCCCACCACCACCTGCGCCTCCTACGTCCTGCGGAAGTTCTACATCAACCTGCTGCCTCTCCCCTTCCTTCCTCCTATCCCGCCTCTTTTCCCCTCTCTGGCTCTCCCTTTCTTGCCCCCATTACGTGCAGGTGATAGCAGATCGCAAGTGGAGGGACGTGACGATTCCATTTGACTTCCCCCCGACCACCACCAGCGCCTCCTACGTCCTCCGCAAGTTCTACATCAACCTGTTGCACCACTTCGAGCAGACCTACTTCTTCAACCGACAAGGGCCACTGGTCCCCCCCCCTCGTGAGTTCCCCTTCCCCCGCCACCACGCCCATCCCCTCCCCCGGTTGTGCTCTGCACGCGACCACCACCAGCGCCTCCTATGTGCTGCGCAAGTTCTACATCAACCTGTTGCACCACTTCGAGCAGACCTACTTCTTCAACCGTCAAGGGCCCCTTATGCCCCCCCCTCGTGAGTGCCCCCTCCTCGTGAGTGCCCCTTTCCCCGCCACCACCCCTCCCCCGGTGCTGCTCTGCAGCGGCCACCACCAGTGCTTCCTACCTACAGCCTCTTCTGTAAGTTCTACATCAGTCTGTTGCACCACTTCGAGCAGACCTACTTCTTCAACCGCAAAGGGCCCCTGGTGCCCCCACCACGTGAGTGCCCCGCGCCCCACTCGTCATTGCCTCCCGCGGTCAGAAACATTTTTTTACAAATGACGGATGGCTCTCTTGATTAGCTAGCTACTTCATACCCTCGTTTTCTCTCCCTCATCTCCCCCCCCCCGTCCCAACATCTCTGTTCGGCCCTCTGTGTGTGTATGCAGCGCTCACTCACTTCCCTCGCAACATCTCTGTTCGGCCCTCTGCCCCTCTGTGTGTGTATGCAGCGCTCACTCACTTCCCTCGCAACATCTCTGTTCGGCCCTCTGCCCCTCTGTGTGTGTATGCAGCGCTCACTCACTTCCCTCGCAAGCGCGGGGCTCGCAGGATGCAAGGCTTCGAAGCGCCTCCCCGTAAGCACCCCCCTTTCGATTCAATGCCCCCCGCCCGCCTCATCGCTACCTTCCATTTCCCCCTTGCTCCATTTCCCCCTTGCTCCATTTCCCCCTTGCTCCATTTCCCCCTTGCTCCATTTCCCCCTTGCTCCATTTCCCCCTTGCTCCATTTCCCCCTCCCACTGCACACGACTGTGCCGCCGTTTACTATCCTTCTCTTTTCAACTTCCGTTTCTCTTCATCCCCCACACTCCCGTGTGTGTGCGCCAGCGCCCCAGCTGGCGAACATCGGGCGCAACATCTCAGGCATCATCCGCTCCAAGTGTGACAACGGCTACTTCATAACTGTGCCCATGGGCGACCAGGTGTGTCAATGGTTGATTGACAGGGTGTGTGAATGGGTGACCAGGTGTGTGAATGGTTGATTGACGAGGTGTGTGAATGGGTGACCAGGTGTGTGAATGGTTGATTGACGGGGTGTGTGAATGGGTGACCAGGTGTGTGAATGGTTGATTGACGGGGTGTGTGAATGGGTGAACAGGTGTGTTACTGGGTGACCAGGTGTGCCGCGTAACAGCCTTGCTAGGTGCCTCAGGCATCATTCGCTTGATGTGTGACGCGCCGAGCTGCTAGCTGCAGACAAAACACGCCCATTCCCTTTCCCTCTCCCGCTTCTCCTCCCCACCTTCTCCCTGACAGGTGCTGCATGACATCCTCCCCCAGCCGGTCTCCTTCCTCCTCAACGCATTCTCCCTCGACTCCGCCCTCATCCGCTCGCAAACCCATGGCCGGCGCAAGAGGAGGAAGAGGGGAGGCGGCCTGAACTGCCGGCTGCAGCCGTGCTTTTAAGTCGAGTAAACAAAGGCAACCCCCCCTACGTACCTTGCTTCTCCCCACCCATTCCTCCCTTCCTGACAGGTGCTGCATGGAATTCTCTACCACCCACTCACCACCGCCTCCTCCTCCCCGTTCGCCCCTCCCCAGCCGGTCTCCTTCCTCCTCAACGCATTCTCCCTCGACTCAGCCCTCATCCGCTCCCAAACACACGGCCGGCGGCGGCGGAGGAAGAGGCGCAGGCGAGCAGAACTCCTACTTTCTCCCTCCCTCACCCATGCACCACGTCCTGCCCCTCCTCTCTCCTGGCAGGTGCTGCAGGGGATTCTCTACCACCCGCCCTCCACCGCCTCCTCCTCCCCGTTCGCCCCTCCCCAGCCCGTCTCCTTCCTCCTCAACGCCTTCTCCCTCCACTCCGCCCTCATCCGCTCCCAACCAAAGGAGCAGACAGCGAGTGAGTTGGCGTCCTTTTGAGTCGACTCAAATCACACCGCCTCCTCTTTCCCTCTGCCCTCCCTTTTCCCCTTTCTCTCGCTCCTGGCAGGTGCTGCACGGAATCTTGTACCATCCACCCACCACCGCCTCCTCCTCCCCATTCGCCCCTCCCCAGCCCGTCTCCTTCCTCCTCAACGCCTTCTCCCTCGACTCCGCCCTCATCCGCTCGCAAATGCACGGCCGGCGGCGGCGGAGGAAGAGGCGCAGACGGGCAGAACTCCTAGCTGCAGCAGCGGGGGGAGTGCCGGGGGTGGTGGTGCCACCGAAGCAGAACCGCACAGGGTACAACTTCTTCTTTGGGGAGCAGAGGATGAAGCTCAAGGCTGACATGCCCGATGTGCCAGATCGTGAGATCAGCCGGCTCATCGGCCAGCGATGGATGGCCCTTTCTCCTCAAGACCGCATTGTGAGTGTGCCTCTTTTGCTCTCTCCATCTCCCCATCTCTCCATCTCCCCCTCTCGCTCCGCACGGGGTACAACTTCTTCTTTGGGGAGCAGAGGATGAAGCTCAAGGCTGACATGCCTGATGTACCGGATCGTGAGATCAGCCGGCTCATCGGCCAGCAATGGATGGTGCTCTCGCCTCAAGACAGGATGGTAAATTCTCCACTTTCCTCCTCCCTCTCTCGCTCCTCTACCTCTCGCCCTCTCCCTCCCCTTCCCTCCACCTCTCCTCCTCCCCCCTTGTTCCCCCAGCGGAATCAGGAGCAGGCAGAGCGGGACAGGGAGCGATAGGTGGCAGATGAGGGAGTACAACGAGAGACGTGTTTGCACCCTCCCCAAACACACCCTGCACTGCACCTCCCGTATTATTCCCCCAGCCATACCTGGAGCAGGCAGAGAGAGACAGGGAGAGGTTTGTGGCAGAGATGAGGGAATACAACGAGAGTTTGCTGCCCTCTCCCAAATCACAACCCCCGCTCCCTCTTTCCCCCCCTCTTCCCCCCCTCCCACCAACTCTCCCCCACTTCCCTGTTTTCTTTTCCCAGCCATACCAGGAGCAGGCGGAGCGGGACAGAGAGCGGTATGTGGCAGAAATGAGGGAATACAATGAGAAGCGCACACAAGCAGGCGGGGGAGCAGCAGGAGGAGGAGGAGATGAAGGGGGAGGGGTAGTGGGAGCAGGAGTGGGAGGAAAGGGAGCGGGAGTGGGAGTGGGTGGAGAGGGTGTTGGGGGGGTGGGAAGCGGGGGTATTGGGGGGAGATTTAGGGATTTGGGGCAGTATATGGCGGATGTTGATAGGGTGATGGGGGGAGGGGGGTTCAGGCGCGGGGGAATGGGGGGAGGCGGGGGGAGGGGAGGATTAGCAGGTGCAGGGTTTGAAGGGGAGATGGAGGAGGAGGAAGAGGAGGAGGATGAGGAGGGAATGGAGGGTGAGGAGGAGTATGAGGAGGAGGGATATGAGGAGGAAGAAGGGGAGGGAGAGGAGGGGTATGAGGATGAAGAGGAGGAGGAAGGAGAGGGGGAGGAGGAGGATGGAATGGAATTCGGGGGGATGACTGGACATGCGGGTCTGCAGGTAGGAGCTGACGTGGATACACGTGTGCAAGTGGGGATGCACACCTCTGAACCCCTCAGCACCGCAATGGCTGCTGTGCCTGTGAGTGACTCTAAGCCCAACAGCACTCTCAAGCCTACTGGGCCCTCTCAGCCTTCTCTAGCAGTCAAACCCGCAGCTGCAACCAGCGCTGCCCCTGCTGCTCCTGCTGCTCCTGCTGCACCTGCTGCTGCTCCTCCTGCTTCTTCTGTTGCTGCAGTCCCTGCTGCGGCTGCTGCTGCTGCCTCTGCCCCTGCTCCTGCTGCTGCTTCTTCTGCCCTGGCTACTCCTGCTGCTGCCACTACTCCTGCTGCTGCTGATTCTGCCGCTCCTCCTGCTTCTTCTGCTACCCCTGCTGCTGCAGCCTCTGCTGCTACTCCTGCTCCTGTTGCCGCTGCCCCAGCTACCCCTCCTGCTGCTGCTACTCCCGCGTCTGCTCCTGCTCCAGCTGCTACTCCTGCTCCTACTCCTATTCCTGCTGCTGCTGCTACGACTCCTGCTCCTGCTAATGAGGGGGAAGATACTCAGATGGACGAGGCAAATCCTCAAGAGAAAGCAAAGGCACCAGCAGAAGGAGATGGAAGTGTGGCAGCAGTAGAGGAAGCAGGAGTAGATGCAGCGGCAAGAACAGCAGCAGGAGGAAAAGAACCAGCAGCAGTAACAGGAGCAGGGACAGCAGAAACAGCTGCAACAGAAGCAGCAGCAGAAGCAGGAAATGTTGCAGGTGGAGGGGATGCAGGCAAAGAGGGAGCAGCCAGTTTCTCTGCCGCATCTGCTGCTGCTCCTGCTGCTGCTTCATCTCCTGCTGTCACTGCTGGTGGTGATGGTGCCGCAGCTACTGCTGATGGTGGTGCTGCTGCCGCTGATGGCAATCATGTTGCGATTGCTGGTGATGATGTTGCTGTTACTGCTGCTGCCGCTGATGGTGATGGTGCTGATGGTGATGGTGCTGATGGCGATGGTGCTGCTGGTGGTGCTGGTGCTCCTGGTGATGCTGCTGCTACAGGTGCAGGCATGGATGTGGATGCACCTACTGCTGGTTCTGCTGATGCCACCACTGTTACTGCTGATACCACCACTGTTACTGCTGATGGTGATGGTGGTGGTGGTGCCGGTGGTGCTTCTGGTGGTACTGCTGGTGCTGGTGCTGTCGGTGTTGCTGGTGGTGGTGCTGTTACTTCTGGTGGTGATGGTGCCGCCGTGAGAGGAAGTGGCATGGATGTGGATAACTGAAGGAGCTGCTCTGGATACATCTGTTGCACATGCACCTGAAGCAGAGGCACCTGGAGCAGATACACCTGAAGCAGAGGCACCTGAAGCAGATACACCTGAAGCAGTGGCACATAAAGCAGAGCCAGAGGCAGCTGAACCTCCTGGTAGCACCCCTGCACCTGCTGATGGGGATCCTGGTGCTCCCAAGAACAAAGAGGAAGGGAAGCCTAGTGAAGGGACACAAGCGGAGTGAGAAAACGATTTTTTAGATCAAGGGCAGTAGGTGAGTATCTGAGGTCTCCGGAATCAGAACAATTGAGAACTGGAAATTGGAGGCATGACAGAGGTTTATGGAAGCCAAGAGCTAATTTACGTATTCGCATAAAGGCTGAGCAGGTTTGCAGCTGAGGGGGAAGGTGGGTGGTGTGGAAGGATAAGGTTGGCAGAACTATTACAGGTCGTAGTAGTTGGTGTTGTGCCACAGTTTTGCCGAAGCCCTAGCTCGTTTTTGTTTTCCTTCGTAAGAAAAGTTGGAGACCGTTTCTTTCACAATCTAAGGTGTAGTTTACCTATGAAACCGCCATCGCCGCTATGGACGGCATCGTAGCCACCGCCAATCTATAACGAGGCACAATTATTGCATCGGGCAGGAGCGACGAAATTGAGTTGGTTATCAATCGAGCTTCACAACAGGCATAATTGTGAGATCATGTGGATATGCGGGCCTCAACATTGTTTTTTCACCGAGCCCAGGGATTTCGACGGGTTTCTCCTGCCGACAATTTGACCGCCAAATATTTTCACCCGGGCGCAATACCCTTTACCAGAGTTTGACTCGCTCTTGATTGGTTATCACGGGAAACACCATTTCCAGAACGCGTTTCTCAGCGGCATTGCGACTCGAGCGGCGGAACCAGAAACTCTTCCGAACCAATTTCCCGCTCCGCTGAACTATACTCCCTTTTCATTCCGCAACTCCTCTACCTTTTCCCGCTGTCATTTGCCGCTCTCCTCAACGTAACGGGGTGTTGCAGTTTGCGATGCACTGCGTCGGCACGGGACGAAAGGAAGGCTCCAAGCAGGCGGGGGCCAAATTCGGGCAATGATTCGGGCAAGGAAAAATATCAAAGAATTATGACAAGAGTTATTTTAAAAGGTTATGTAGTTTTTACAAGAATAATTATATAGACTATACACGTTTCCTGTAAAATTTTAGGGCCCCTGAATTTCCTGGAGCCTTCCACCACCCGTGCCACGAGCCGAGCCGACGCAACGCACCGCGAATTGCAACATGCCGTAATCCTTCTTGGGCAGAGTGGCGGACCCACCAGCCTGCCCAATCCGCCCCTAGACGATTCAGATTCGAGCGTGCGAGGCCAAACGGGATTTTGGCACGTCAGAGAGTTTTAGAATGTAAATCAACCGCTCTGTTAAGCCAAGAATCGTACCAAAACCCCCTGTCACTCGAAGTTCAGTCACACTAATAATTTCTGCTTATCATCAGATTGTCCCTTTGATCCTCCACTTCCCCTTTCTGCCTAATCTCATTTATCATTGGGACCCTCATTTCAATGAAGCAGATTCATGGCGACACACAAAGCCGCAGCTGCATCGGCGATCCCTGGCGGAAGCAGGGGATGATGCGATTGCGGCGCGTCCGCAATCCGGCAATTATTACCTTCAATCGGACGCGTATCAAGTCATGTGCAAGGAAAACAGTGGTTAACCCACATGGTTAACCAGGTCCTTGACGGTACTACCGCTAACTCGACCAAGAACGCGTAACCATCTGCCTCTGTGGTTATTGTATTTGTTTCTGAAGATCGAAGTACCAAGTCGCGTTTCTACCCCTTTATCGCAGCATTGTTTGAGATACTCAGAGCACTATTTCACGAGTTTCCGAGGCGCCTCGGATTTCGTAGCGTTACTAATTCGCCTCTTTTGCCGACAGCTTGTCGACACCCCCGGTTGCTCCGATTGAGAACGCATCGACGGTAGAAAACCGTTTTGATATGGAGTAGAAAAGCCACTAGAAAACAGCATCGGATATTTGACTCAGAGTGATAGTAGCAGCTCTCGACTCTTGAAGACTCTCCTTGGCGTAGCAGCTTCCTCGAATTCCCCCTCGCCGATTCCCTCCGCTGGCTGACTCCCCGCGCCGCGTCCCTCCGCTCGCTGACTCCCCGCGCCGCGTCCCTCCGCTCGCTGACTCCCGCGCCGCGTCCCTCCGCTCGCTGACTCTCCGCGCCGCGTCCCTCCGCTCGCTGACTCCCCGCGCCGAGTCCTTCCGCTCGTTGACTCCCCGCGCCCCTCCACTCGCCGACTCCCCGCGCCGCGTCCTTCCGCTCGTTGACTCTCTCCGCGCCGCGTCCCTCCGCTCGCTGACTCCCCGCGCCGCGTCCCTCCGCTCGCTGACTCCCCGCGCCGAGTCCTTCCGCTCGTTGACTCTCCGCGCGAGTCCCCCCCTCGTTGACTCCCGCGCGCCGAGTCCCTCCGTTCGCCGATTCTCGCCGCTCGCGTTGAATCTTCACCGTTCGTCTTCGGGGTAATTCTGAACTTGGTCACGGGCCCATTTCTTTTGAGTCTCTTCTGAGTCTCGAGACTCAAACGATCGTTTGAGTCGACTCACTTGGTCAAATCCATCATCAAATCCATTCCCAAATCCATTCCCAAGTCCATTCCCAGCCCCCGGGTGGGAAAAGGCTGGTGCCCATTTCCAAGCCCCATCATCATGGGGGGGAACACGCCGTTGGATTGAGCTCGGCGCGGATGCCGCCGCGAATGCCGTCTCATGGCCGCACCCGAACCCCGACAAGGCCAACATAGAATCTGTCCGCCGAAGCCGCTCCATTCGGCGCAATAAAAGCGGTACCGCTGCGGTTACTACCACTGCCGCTGCTTCAGCCGCTTCTGTTTCCGGTACCGCCGCGGGTACAGCCACTGCCATTAGCAGCGGCGGTGGTGGTGGAACTATGGGTCGCAGTCGACGCAGCGCGTGCGGCGCGATTCTCGCTGCGCTTCTTCTTCTGGCCGTCGGCTCGCGCTCGTGTGAAGGAGCAACAGACGCGGATCAAGGTAGGAAGGAGCAGTGGTTTGTTTGTAGCAGCGACAGTGGCAAAGGCACAGGGGAAAGGGACTGCTGTGCTTATCCGTGCCTCACCTCCCGCTCTCCCTGCTCCTCTTCCCCCTGCTCCCTGCTCCCCTGCTCCCCCCTTTCCCTTGCTCCTATGAACCCATGCTTCCCTGCTCCATTCTCCCGTGCTGACCTGCTCTCGTTATTCCCTGCACCTCCCCTCCACCAGTCGCCATCCTCACCACCATTGCTCAGTCCCTCAGGGCCATAACTCGCGTCTTCAGAACCTAGACCAGCAGCGACCCGTGTGGCACTAACGGGGGGGAGTGCTGTGTCCGCCTGCGCCTCACTCCCCACCCACTCACCCCTGCTTCTTTCTCTCCTGCTCCCCCCCACCAGTCGCCATCCTCACCACCATCGCTCAGTCACTCGGAGCAGGCACCTCTGTATCCAAATCCTGGACAGGCAGCGACCCCTGTGGTACTAACAGGGAGGCAGTATGGCGGGGAGTGGGGTGTCCGCCTGCGTCTCACTCCCCACCCACTCACCCCTGCTTCCTTGTCCCCCCTGCCCCCCACCAGTCGCCATCCTCACCACCATCGCTCAGTCCCTCGGAGCAGGCACGTCCTATTTCAGAACCTGGACCGGCAGCGACCCCTGTGGCACTACCGGGGGGGCGGTGTGGCGGGGGGTGCTGTGCTCGCCTGCGCCAGCGCCTGCCAGCAACTCTACTGTCGTCACTTCGCTGTGAGTGCTGCTGTGCTGTGCGTTCTGCTGTGCTGTGAGTGCCCCTGCCCATGTTCCATAGCCCAATACTGAACTGCCCAGTGGTGCTGTGAGTACCGCTGTGCTGTGAGGTGCGTGAAAACAGCTGCTTTTTTTAACAGCACTCCCACCCCACCTTGTGAGTGCCCCTGCCCATGTTCCATAGCCCAATACTGAACTGCCCAGTGGTGAGTACCGCTGTGCTGTTACGTGCCTAGAAACACACTTCCCAACGATTTTGTGCTGTGAGTGCGGCTTTCAGCAACCTTGAAACGAGGCGGAGAGTCCTCCCAACCTCATTCCCAACCCTTAACTCCTTTCCAAATCTTCCACTCCTCCGTCTCTTCTGGTCAGTAATCTGCAGTAGGATGTATTTTCAGTAGAGCTTGGATTGAGAAGAGTTATTTAACCTTTCTATTCACCTTGTCACCCTTCCATCTTCCGCCATTCCCTTCCTCCCTTCCTCCTCCCCCAGAATTTTGCAGCAAGTGGGGATTTCAGGCTCCCCGTGAGCAGAAGTGTTATTAACTCCTCTCAACCCTTCCGAACTCCTCTCTCCTCTCCCTTTTCCCCAGCGTTCTGCAGCAGGTGGACCTTATCGGCACGCTTCCTGCCTCTCTGTTCAACCTCGCTACCCTACAACTGCTGTGAGCGTCCTCTGTGTAACTGTTGCTGAGAATCTGATGTACTTCCAATCTTCGACATATGAAAAAGAATTCACCATCTCATGATCATGCAACCTTGCCTGTAGCCTTGCCTGTAGCCTTGCCTGTAACCTTGCCTGTAGCCTTGCCTGTAGCCTTGCCTGCAACCTTGCCTGTAGCCTTGCCTGTAGCCTTGCCTGTAGCCTTGCCTGTAGCCTTGCCTGTAACCTTGCCTGTAACCTTGCCTGTAACCTTGCCTGTAGCCTTGCCTGTAGCCTTGCCTGTAACCTTGCCTGTAGCCTTGCCTGTAGCCTTGCCTGTAGCCTTGCCTGTAGCCTTGCCTGCAGCCTTTCCTGTAACCTTGCCTGTAGCCTTGCCTGTAGCCTTTCCTGTAACCTTGCCTGTAACCTTGCCTGTAACCTTGCCTGTAGCCTTGCCTGTAGCCTTGCCTGTAACCTTGCCTGTAGCCTTGCCTGTAACCTTGCCTGTAACCTTGTCTGTAGCCTTGCCTGTAACCTTGCCTGTAGCCTCGCCTGTAACCTTGCCTGTAACCTTGCCTGTAACCTTGCCTGTAGCCTTGCCTGTAGCCTTGCCTGTAACCTTGCCTGTAGCCTTGCCTGTAACCTTGCCTGTAGCCTTGCCTGTAGCCTTGCCTGTAGCCTTGCCTGTAGCCTTGCCTGTAGCCTTGCCTGTAGCCTTGCCTGTAGCCTTGCCTGTAGCCTTGCCTGTAGCCTTGCCTGTAGCCTTGCCTGTAGCCTTGCCTGTAACCTTGCCTGTAACCTTGCCTGTAGCCTTGCCTGTAGCCTTGCCTGTAGCCTTGCCTGTAGCCTTGCCTGTAACCTTGCCTGTAACCTTGCCTGTAGCCTTGCCTGTAGCCTTGCCTGTAGCCTTGCCTGTAGCCTTGCCTGTAGCCTTGCCTGTAGCCTTGCCTGTAGCCTTGCCTGTAACCTTGCCTGTAACCTTGCCTGTAGCCTTGCCTGTAGCCTTGCCTGTAGCCTTGCCTGTAGCCTTGCCTGTAACCTTGCCTGTAACCTTGCCTGTAACCTTGCCTGTAGCCTTGCCTGTAGCCTTGCCTGTAGCCTTGCCTGTAGCCTTGCCTGTAGCCTTGCCTGTAACCTTGCCTGTAACCTTGCCTGTAACCTTGCCTGAAGCCTTGCCTGTAGCCTTGCCTGTACCCTTGCCTGTAGCCTTGCCTGTAGCCTTGCCTGTAGCCTTGCCTGTAGCCTTGCCTGTAACCTTGCCTGTAACCTTGCCTGTAGCCTTGCCTGTAGCCTTGCCTGTAGCCTTGCCTGTAGCCTTGCCTGTAACCTTGCCTGTAACCTTGCCTGTAGCCTTGCCTGTAACCTTGCCTGTAGCCTTGCCTGTAGCCTTGCCTGTAGCCTTGCCTGTAGCCTTGCCTGTAACCTTGCCTGTAACCTTGCCTGTAACCTTGCCTGTAGCCTTGCCTGTAGCCTTGCCTGTAGCCTTGCCTGTAGCCTTGCCTGTAGCCTTGCCTGTAGCCTTGCCTGTAGCCTTGCCTGTAGCCTTGCCTGTAGCCTTGCCTGTAACCTTGCCTGTAACCTTGCCTGTAGCCTTGCCTGTAGCCTTGCCTGTAACCTTGCCTGTAACCTTGCCTGTAGCCTTGCCTGTTGCCTTGCCTGTAGCCTTGCCTGTAACCTTGCCTGTAACCGCCGGCGGTGGGTGGGTGGGTGGCTCCGCTGTGTAATGTCTTAAAACTTTCCCCCACCCACCCACCCCCCGCCCCTCTCTCAGTGACCTCTCTTTGAACCAGAAACTTTCGGGCTCCATCCCTCCCACCATCGGCCAACTGACCGGCCTCACAAGACTGTCAGTCCCCCCTCTCTCTGCCTTCTGCCTTTGCTCCTTTGCTTCCTTGTTCAAAGGAGAAGCATGCTCCCTCCTTTGTTCGAATGTGCATGCCCTGTGGGGATCCTGAAGGCGCACTACTGGTCTCTAAATCAGGAGACACGAGTAGAAATGAGCATTGTTGGGTGCCTCCCTAGCAGGGCTCCCTAGCAGCCCTTACTCTTATATACTTGCAGATATATATCGAGAGATACGAGTAGCAACCAACCAGCTCTTGGGGGACTCGCTCCTCTCTTTTGAGGCGCCTCTGTGGGAGTCGTGAAGACGCACCAGTCCCTAAAACAGGACACAACGAGTGCCTGCTGGTGAGGCACGAGTAGATAGGAGCAAGATTTGATGCCCTATAGTAGCAACCAACCAGCTCTTGGGGGACTCGCTCCTCTCTTTTGAGGCGCCTCGAAAGCAGGTTGCTTTCGCCCCTCCACTCGCTTCCCTAGCAGGGCTCTCTCTGGGTGTAGCTTCACGGGTCCGATCCCAACAATACTGGGTGCAATGACCGGCCTTTTATCGTTCAATCCCGCCAACACTGCTGCCCCCTCCCCGTGCCTCCTAGCAGGGCTCTCTCTGGGTGTAGCTTCACGGGTCCGATCCCAACAATACTGGGTGCAATGACTGGCCTTTTATCGTTCAATCCCGCCAACACTGCTGCCCCCTCCCCGTGCCTCCCTAGCAGGGCTCTCTCTGGGTGTAGCTTCACGGGGTCGCTCCCGACTACTCTGGGAGCGCTGACACGCCTGCAGTTGCTAGATCTCAACACCAACCATCTCACGGGACCCATTCCCACAGAGGTGAGTCCATGCCTTTTGAGGCACCTCATGGGTCTTATCAGGCGGCTCAAAATTCAACACTGGCGGCACTGACACGCCTTCAGTTGCTACATCTCAACACCAACCAACTCACGGGACCCATTCCCACAGAGGTGAGTCCATGCCTTTTGTTGAGGCACCTCGAGGGTCGTGTGAGGCGGCTCAGAACTCAACACTGGCGGCACTGACAGGCCTTGAGTTGCTCGATTTCAACACCAACCGATTCACAAAACACGTTCCCACAGAGGTGAGTTGAGATTCGAGTCGCCTGAGACTCTGCACCGCTTCAACCTCCAAGTTGCTGCGAAATACCAACCAGCTCTCAGCACCTTTTCCCACCGAGGTGAGTCCATGCGTGCACATGAGTCTCTGATTGAGTGGCTGTGTGTGTGCGTCGTGTCAGATGAGCTCTCGGTCACTACTGGGGCGCCGCAAAATTCCAGACGCTCCGTCTCAATACCAGCCAAACCGCAGGACATCTTTTGAGAATTCTCAAATCTTCCCGCTGAGGTGGGTCCAATGCAGATAAGTTGCTGTGTGTGTGTGCGTTGCGTCCGATTTGCTCTCAGTCACTACTGAGGCGCTGCAAAAGTCCAGACGCGCTGCAAAGGTCCAGATTTGCTCCATCGGTAGACCAACCAACCCACAGGTAACAAGTCATATGACCACCGAGGTGAGTCCATGCGCACGAGTGGCTGTGTGTGTGAGTCGAGTCATATGAGCTCTCAGTCACCAGTAACCAGCAAGAAACTGCCTTATTCACCCAATGCATTTATATTCCTTTCCCATCACCCTCCTCATCGCCTCACTCACTCGCAGATAAGCGCTCTGAGGCAGCTCACCTACTTTGACGTCACCAGCAACCAGCTGGACGGACCATTGCCCGCCTTCGGTGCTCGCTCACCCAATGCAATCGATATATTCGCCTTTTCATCACCCTCCTCATCTCCTTCTCACCCGCAGATAAGCGCTCTGAGGCAGCTCACCTACTTTGACGTCACCAGTAACCAGCTGGAAGGGCTGGTACCTGCCTTCGGCCCGAAAGTGGTTCACCTGTGAGTGGGTCATGCTATGCTTCTCCTCCTCCCTCCATACATCCTTCATGTTTTGAGACGTCTCACCCACCAGCTGGATAACTCAATCCTGCCTTCGGCCTCGAAGTGGTTCATCTGTAAGTGAGTGATGCTTCTCCTCCTCCCTCCATACATCCTTCATGTTTACGTCGGCCATAGTAACAGGGCAGATGTGTGTGATGTGATATCTAGGACGCTTGGGTCTCCACAGTGTGTGACACTTGTCCTTCATGTATGCTCCATGTTCCGCAGTGTTCCTCACTTCCTCTCGCTGCTCCTCACTGCACCTCACTGCACCTCACTGCACCTCACTATACCTCACTGCACCTCACTGCACCTTCTTCTTCCCCCCCGCCCCCTGCTCTCCTATCTCTCCTCCTACCACAGGCATCTGAGTAACAACTGCTTCACAGCTCTCTCCTATCCTGGTATTTTTCCTTTTCACTGACCTCGTCTCAACCTCTTTCCCCCTCCCTCCCCCCTGCCTGCCCCCCTATCTCCCTACCACCTACAGGCATTTAAGTAACAACAAGTTCATCAGTCTCTCTTCTTCCATTGGCTCGCTTAAGAAACTCATTCATCTGTATGTTAAGAGTTACACACGTCAATCTGTGCAACGAACTTGTAATTGAGCAGTATGGAAAGGCATCTACGTAGACATCAGTGTTATATCGAACCTGAATTCCCTCGTATCTGTAGTTGCCCACTGTACTGTAATGTTTTTGCCTTTGAGTCGACTAAATAATCGGCTCGTTTCTGATGTTGAACACCGTACTGTAATGTTTTTTCTAAACGCTCTCGAGCCAAGCAAAATGATCGAGATACTATGAAACGTTAAGAATGGCTTTAGACTGAGAAATCTGGAGGTCATGTTTCTGAAAACGCTGATGAAGGCCCAAGGTTGTAAATTAAGGCATTGCTTTCCCCTAAGAAAGTATTCCAGTTCTCTCCCCCCCTCCTCCCCCGGTCCTTAGAGACACTGTATCCGGTGGAGAACAACAACCGGTTCCTTTCTCTGAAAGACTACCCTCTTTCTGTCATGTCATCGACGTCTTCCCCCCTTCCTCAACTGCCACCAGCCTGGTGGACAACAACCATCTGAACCACGACTTTCCAGCGTGGATCAATAACTCCAGCAACCTTAAAATCCTGTAATGCTTATCCTGTCTTGGTTAGGTTCTGTTTTGTGTTTGTTCTGTGCTTCGAACCACCCCTTCCCAACATGGATTACTAGTTCCATCAGCCTAGTGCTGTAATGCTTAGCCTTGATTCTGCTTTTGGGTTTTGGAAGCACACCTTTCCAGCATGCATCGCTAGTTGCACCACCATTGTGTGTGTGCGTGTGTGCTTGAATGTGTGTGTGCGTGCCTGTGTGTGTGTGTGTGGGTATGCTTGTGCGTGTGTGCGGGTGCGTGTGTATGTGTGAGTGTGTGTGTGGGGGGGTGGGTGGGTGTGTGTGTGTCGTTTGTAACTTTGTGTGTGTGTGTGTTTGCATGTGCGTGCGTGAGTGCATGCGTGGGTGCGTGTATGTGTGTTCATTTTTGTATGTATTTCTCAAATGTAACAAGTGTGTTACTGTTCCGCTTGTTTGCAACAGTTGTGCATGCTTTATTTTCCTTCCGCTCTTCCTCCTCCTTGTATTGTATCCCATCTGCACAGATATACATACACAGATATATACTTTACACCAAACAAAAACAGCTGAAAAGCATTCCTCTGCTACTCCTCCCCAATATACCCCAGTCTTATTTTATTTATTTGTTCCACTCCTTCCCCTCCCGAGGTAGTGACCTTAGCAACAACAATATAACAGGGAAAATTCCTCCTCTCCACATGTCTCGTTTGGAGAGTCTGTGAGTGTAATTTGGTGACATTTGAGTCAACTCAAGAGTCACTTTGATCTTAGCGACAACAGCATACCAGGGAAAATTCTTCCTCTCAACATGTATCATTTGGAGAGCCTGTGAGCGTGATTTTTTGAATGTAATTTCTTAAAAATCACAAGCCACTAAGTAGCACAAGGCCTGTGACTCTGCCGTTCAGACAAGTACATTGGGACTTGAGACAAGACATCACTTGTGACTGTCTCACCTCTCTTGCTCTCTGCATAAATGCCCATCCCCCCACGATTCCCACGGTCCCCTCGTTCGTGTCTCTCCACAATTGCCCAATCATGTTTAATATCCAACTCTTCCCATTCCAATATTTCACTACTCCTTTCCGTTCCTATCTTCACTGCTCCCATCACCCCCTCCCACAACCACTTGCACCTCCTCCCCTCGCATCACCTCTCCTGCTCCGTCTACTCCCCTCCCCACACCCCTTGCCTTCTCTTCCTGGCCGCCTCCTCTCTCCACTCGTCGGCCCCACTCACCCACCCACTCCCACGAGGATATTTCTGAGAATTCTCAAAAACAGACTCCATGCTAACTACAATTCTCTCATCACCCTCAACCACCCGCAGCCATGTATAAAGTGATTTTTTAGACGTCTCAAATATTCACCTTATACATGAGACGTCTCAAAAATTCACTTTATACACGTGGTTCATCACCCTCACCCACCCGCACCCGCCACGCTTCTCCGTTACATTGTTGTTGAGTCGACTCAAAAGTCAGGATCTTTTTGAGACAGCTCAAAAACAAACCTCCAACTCACCTCTCATACACCCACTACCACGGCAGGCCCCTGCAACTAGCAGATTTCCACCTCACCCTCTTGAGTCGACTCAAAAGTCACCTTGCAACTAGCAGATTTCCACCTCACCCTCTACCCCAGACGTTCCTGCCCCAGATTTCCACCTGCCTTATAAACTCCTCTTGGTTCCTCAGACGTTCTGACACTCGGACCTGTGCTGTGCTGTCCTTCTCACTCCGGTTTCTGTGAGGCCGACTGAACCGCACCAAACCCATTTCCCAATGCCCCACCCACCTGTATTCCCATCGGGATCCTCTGCAACTGCAACTTGCCGCCCCAGGCTGAATCTGTTTTTTTAGAATTCTCAATAACCTTTTGGCCCTCTCTCTCCTGGTTGGTTGCGTGTGGCTGAACCATACCCATTGCCCAATGCCCGTATGCCCCATCAGAATCCTCTGCAACTGCAACTTGGCGCCCCAGGCTCTGCCCTCTTTCAACGGCCTACCTGCCCTTGCCCTCCTGTTTGCGTGTGGCTGAACCACACCCATTGCCCAATGCCCCACCCATTGCCCAATGCCCCATCGCCCAATGCCCCACCCATTGCCCAATGCCCCATCAGAATCCTCTGCAACTGCAACTTGTCGGGCCAGGCTCTGCCCTCTTTCGATGGCCTACCTGCCCTTGCTGACCTGTGCGTGTGTTCGCATCATGCCATGCTATGCCATGCCATGCCATGCCATGCTATGCCATGCCATGCCATGCTATGCCATGCCATGCCATGCCATGCTATGCCATGCCGTGTCGTGCCGTGCCATGACATGCCATACCGTGCTGTGCTATGCCACGATGTCATGCAATTCCGTGCCATTCTGTGTTGTGCGTGCCCATGCTGTGCCCATGCTGTGCCATGCCGTGCCCTGCTGTGCCATGCCATGCCCTTGTACCATGCCATACCATGCCATGGCCTGACATGGCGCGGTGCTGTGCCATGCCATGCCATGCTGTCATGCCATGCTGTCATGCCATGCCCATGCCATGCCACGGCATGTCCCCTGTGTAATCACGTCCTTCAAAATACGAACTTCTCTTCTTTCCCATACTCACCATCACCAACCCCCTTCCCCAAATCCTTTTTCTGCGATGAATGAATTGAACAACAACCAGTTCACAGACCACATTCCCCCCTTCCTCTTATCCGCGCCTCAAAATGTTTCCCTCCCCACCATCCCCGACCCCCCCACCTGCCCTCCCCAAATCCTTCTCTGCAGGGAATTGAACAACAACCAGTTCACAGGGCCCATTCCTTCCTCCCTCTTCACTTCCCATTCCAATCTCGTCACCATGTAAGCCCTGATGTATGCTCTCGCATGTATGACGTGTGCACTCGCATATGTGACATGTGCTCTCGCACGCACGACATGTGCTCTCGCATGCATGACGTGTGCTCTCGCATGTATAACGTACTCTCAGCAGTGCACTCTCAATAGCAGTGGGTTCACTACCCCGTCCCCGCTGACCCTTCTCCCCCACCACCACCCCACCCCTTCCCCACCGTTTCTCCTCCCACACCCCCTTCCCCACCGTTTCTCCTCCCCCACCCCCTTCCGCACCGTCTTTCTTTCCTTCACCATCCCTCCTCCACCCCCACCCTTCCCTCGCCGTCCCTCCTCCCCCACCACCCCTGCCCTCGTCGTCCCTCCTCCCCCACCACCCCTGCCCTCGCCGTCCCTCCTCCCCACCACTGTCTCTCCCCCATCTCCCCCTTGCCTGCAAAAAACTTCAAGACAACAATCTCACGGGGACCATACCTCGTGAAGTAGCCACCACAAGCTTACCTTTTGAGACGCCTCAAATGCCCACCATTCCTCCACCCTCCTTCACCCACACTCCCTTGCCTGCAGAAACCTACAAAACAACCACCTCACGCGGACCATACCTCCTGATGCAGCCACCGCAAGCTTACCCAATCTCTGTACAATGTAAGGAGTTCATTTGATAAACTCTGCTTTTTTTTTAGTCGACTCACAAGCAGGCTCGTTACAATGTAAGAGTGTTCTTCTTTTGATACTCTCTGTTTTCGTTATACCAGTTACTGGGAGCTACAGTAGTTCCTAATAAACACTCTACTCGGATAACACCCGCCCATTCTATTTATGTCTTTAACAGAAGTTTGTACGTCGTCCAACCTAATCAAAATTATTCTCGCTCTAAGGCAACCCTTTTTCTCTTCCCCTGCTTCTGCCATCTCTCAATACTCACTCCGCACAGTTCCCTGTCTGGAAACAATCTGACGGGTCACATCCCGAATCTCCTACATCTTCCCACGTTGATGTTCCTATCTTCCTATCTCTCCATAACAGCCTTTTCTCTCCTTCTGCTTCTGCCGTCTCTCAACACCCGCCACACAGATCGCTGTCTGGAAACTAACTGACGGGTCACATCCCCAACCTGCGGCAGCTCCCTGATTTGATGTTTCTCTCTCTCTACGATAACCACTTCACCCCGTCTTCTCCTGCCGTCTCTAAACACCCTCTCCACACAGATCCCTGTCTGGAAACAAACTGTTGGGTCACATCCCCAACCTGCGGCGGCTCCCCGAATTGATGTTTCTCTCTCTCTACGACAACCACTTCAGCAGTGCTGCGAGCGACCTCCTGACCAACAGAACCAACGACAGACTCCACACACAGTGAGTGGTTCTGCATGTAACTATCTCCTAGAAACCTGCTTGTCCAGAATCTCCTTGGGCGCCTAAAACCCTCTCGCTCTACGACAACCACTTCACCAGTGCTGCGAGCGACCTCCTAGTCAACCCAACCAACAATACCAAGGAAGACCCAGTGAGTTGTTAACAATACAGGGGGTTGGGGGGGGGGGGGGCGGTGGGCAGGGGGGTTGCTTTTAATCTGAAGCAGCTCTCCCGCCTTGATGTTGTTCCTCTCACTCTATCACGACCACTTCACCAGTGCTGCGAGCGACCTCCTAGTCAACCCAACCAGCAGTACCAAGGACAACCTCACGACCCAGTGAGTGGTTGCAAATACAGGAGCGGGGAGCAGCCCTCAAATTCCAAGGCTTTTGATTTGAGGCAGCTCCCCGCGTTGATCTTCCTCTCGCTTTACAGCACAGCAACCACTTCACCAGTGCTCCAAGCGACCAACCTCCTCGTGAACGGAACGCTCGTCGTTGAATTTGCAGACTAAACTTGTCTGCACACAGGTGTTCTTTGAGAGGCGCCTCAAAATTCGCAGACTGAGTTTTGTCTGCACACTTGGAATCCCACCTACGCGGCTTCTCATCTCATGCTAATCCAACAGAGTTTCTGACATCTCGCTGAGCTGCGTGCGTGTAGTAGACTTAGCTAAGGAACAACAGCGGTAGAATTGCGCCTTATGTAAAACTAGTAAAACTAAGTGCTCAGAACAATCTCAGAAATCGCAGACTAAACTTGTCTGCACACTTGAAATTCCACCTACGCGGCTTCTTATTTCGTGCTAACCCAACAGCTCTCGTCCTTCCCCTTCCCTAACCCCCAGCCAACCCATCTCTACACATCTTTACCCCTTTCTACCCCTCTCTCCTCTCCATCCACCCCTCTCCAGGCTCTACGACAATTCCCTCTGCTCGACCTACCAGCCCAGCCTCTTCACCGTCTGCTTCCCTCCCTCGATTACCCAGCGTACAAAATCGACGACTATTGCACAGCCCTGTCCTGCGACCAATTTTACCCCTCTCCACCCCTCTCCACCCCTCTCCAGGCTCTACGGCGATCCACTCTGCTCACCCTACCGGCCCAACCTCTTCACCGTGTGCTCTCCCCCGGTCGATTACCCTGCCTTTTTAAATCGACGACTATTGCACACCCCTATCCTGCAACCAATTCTACCACTATCCATCCCCCTCTCCACCCCTCTCCACCCCTCTCCACCCCTCTCCACCCCTCTCCACCCCTCTCCACCCCTCTCCACCCCTCTCCACCCCTCTCCACCCCTCTCCAGGCTCTACGGCAATCCCCTCTGCTCGCCCTACCGCCCCAACCTCTTCACTGTCTGCTCTCCCCCCGTCGAGTTCCCCAAATACACCTTCGGAGCATACTGCCCGGACCTCACCTGCAACAGCACCTACGAGCCCAGCTTCCCACACTTTGCGCTTTTGAACCACGACTGCCAGTGTGTGACGACTCTCAAGGTTCAGCTGCGGATGCTGGCACCGCAGTACACCACTTACAACGAAGATGTTGTGAAGAAGATTAAGGGGTGGCTGCAACGCAGCTTGCACGCTCACAGCGTGTGGATGGAGTGGCAACAGGTGGGTGTGTGGGTGGGTGGGTGTGTGCGTGGGTGGGTAGGTGCGTTCGTGGGTTGGTGAAGTGAAACTGTTTCTGAGACATCTAAGAAGTTTAAGGGGTGGCTGCAGCGCAGCTTGCATGTTCACAGCGTGTGGATGGAGTGGCAACAGGTGCGTGCGTGGGTGCGTGGGTGCGTGGGTGGGAGTGTGGGTGGGTGGGTGCTCTCTCCTCCCCTCTCCCCCGTTTTGTCCCTCCCACCCCCCCCCCCCATCAGATCGTCATCAGCAGCATCGTGGTTCCCACTGCAATGGACAGCCATGTCATTGTAACGTGAATGTGATTCCTTTCCATCCCTCTCCTCCTTTGCCCCCCTCCCTCCTCCCCCCTCCCCCCCATCAGATCGTCATCAGCAGCATCGTGGTCCCCATTGCCATGGACAGCCATGTCACTGTGGCTCTCATCTTCTTCCCACCCCTCTCTTCCTCTGTCCTTTTGCTCCTCTTCCCATCTTTTCCCCACCCATCTCATCCCACAACCCCATCAGATCATCATCAGCAGCATCGTGGTCCCCGTTGCCATGGACAGCCATGTCACCATGACTCTCATCTTCTTCCCACCCCTCTCTTCCTCTGTCCTTCTGCTCCTCTCTCCTCCCCCTCTCCCCACCCCCCATCAGATCATCATCAGCAGCATCAAGGTCCCCATTGCCATGGACAGCGATGTGACAGCGACGCTCATCTTCTTCCTATCCCTCTCTTCCTCTGCGCATCCCCCCCCGACAACCCCATCATATCATCATCAGCAGCATCAAGGTCCCCATTGCCATGGACAGTGACGTCACCGTCACGCTCATCTTCTTCCCACCTCTCGACGACCCAACCTGGCAGCACGAGCCGGCCATCAGCCAGCCCAGCCGTTTTGTCCCTCCACCCCCCCCATCAGATCATCATCAGCAGCATCAAGGTACCCATTGCCATGGACAGCGACGTCACTGTGACTCTCATCTTCTTCCCGCCTCTGGACGACCCAACCTGGGTGAACGAGCCGGCCCGCACCCAGAAAACGAAAATCCGCAACCTGTTTGACGCCCACAAGCTCTCTCTGGGTTCTGCCATGGGGCCATACACGATTAAAGGCTTCTACGGTCCAGATGGTGAGTGCTGTGAGTGCCGTGAGTAATGTCTTGCGTTGCTGGGAGCTGCTGTGCTCCATGTGCGCGCCTCTGGTCGACCCCACGTGGGTGAACATAGGCGCCTCAAGAGTCGTCTATGTTTTGAGACGCCTCAAAAGCCGTACATACACCATCAAGGGGTTCTACGGCCTGGATGGTGAGTGAGAGCTGGATGCGTGTGGTGTGAGTTCTGGTGAGTGCGGGTGGGGCCGGACTTGGGGTCTGGGATCTGCCATGGGGCCGTACACTATCAAAGGCTTCTATGGCCCGAAAGGTGAGTTGCTGTGAGTGCTTTGAGTAATGTCTTGCGTTGCTGAGAGCTGCTGTGCTCTCTGTGTGCGCCTCTGGTCGACCCCACGTGGGTGAACGAGCTGGCACGCACCCAGAAGACGAAAATCCGCAATCTCTTTGACGCGCACAACCTGTCTCTGGGTTCTGCCATGGGTCCGTACACCATCAAGGGGTTCTATGACCCGGAAGGTGAGTGCTGTGGGTGCCAAGGACCCAGGTTGCAAAAGTGCTGGTGCCAGCACCCAGAAAACGAAAATCCGCAATCTCTTTGACGCGCACAACCTGTCTCTGGGTTCTGCCATGGGGCCGTACACGATTTGAGGCTTCTACGGCCCGGATGGTGAGTGCTGGGTGGGTGTGGTGTGAGTGCTGGTGAGCAGTAGGAGTGGCTTTTGAGATGACTCACTCTGTTCACCTTTCTTTCTTCCTTGGCCATCAACCCCCCTTCCATCAGACCCACCTTCCAACGTCACTGCACAGGCAAAACCAGCATCAGAGGGGATCTCAATTCCAGTGGTGGTGGGTAATAGTCGCAGGAGGACTGGCTTTTGAGATGACTCACTCTATTCACCTTCCTTTCTTTCTTGGCCCTCAACCCACCCTTCCATCAGACCCACCTGCCAACGTCACTGCACAGGCAGCACCAGCAGCGTCAAGCGGGATCTCAATTCCAGTGGTGGTGGGTATAGTGGCAGGAGGAGTGGCGATTCTCGCTCTGCTGCTCGTGGGACTTACCTGGCTGCTCCTGCACCGACAGAAGAAGCGAGGTGAGCTTTAGAGTCAACTAAATCGGTGAGTAATATGAGTCAATCGGTGATTGTCAACTGTACTGATAGCAGGTTGGTGGCAGCAGCAGTGCCAATTCTTGCCCTGCTGCTTGTGGGAGTTACCTGGCTGCTGATATCCCAGTGTTTTTTAGTCGACTCAAAAATGACTTTTGAGTCGACTCAAAAGTCTTGTGGGACTTACCTGGCTGCTGATATCCCACTGCTTTCCCCCCAGCTACCTCCCTTTCTCCCCACTCCTCAAACATGCAACCAGACTGGTGGGGAAAGGAGGACTATGAAGCAATAGAGGGTCTGAACCTGGTGAACGTGCAACGGTTCAAACTGGCAGAGCTGGCAGATGCACCGTTACCCCCCTTACCTTCACTCCCCCTTCTCCTTCCCCACCAACACACGCAACCAGACTGGTGGGGCAAGGAGGACTACGAGGCAATAGAGGGTCTGAACCTGGTGGGCGTGCAGCGACTCAAGCTGGCGAAGCTGAGGGTATCCCTCTGTTCTCACCCCAGCTACCTCCCTTCTCCCCTCCCCCCTCTCCCCTATCCCCCACTCTTCCCCTAAACCCCTGTTTCACCACCCAACTAACCATACCAGACTGGTGGGGGAAGGAGGACTACGAGGCAATAGAGGGTCTGAACCTGGTGGGCGTGCAGCGACTCAAGCTGGGGGAGCTTGAGAATGATTCCCCTTCCCCCACGTTCCATCCTCGTCCCAACTCCCACACGCACCTTTTCACTCCCCTCGCCCCTCACCCCACACGCCAGACTGGTGGGGGAAGGAGGACTACGAGGCAATAGAGGGTCTGAACCTGGTGGGCGTGCAGCGATTCAAGCTGGCGGAGCTGGCAGATGCGACCCAGGGGTTCAAGACACTGTTGGGGGAGGGCGGATACGGACAGGTATGACCTGATGGGAGCTCAAAGGAGGGAGGGAGTGTGGGGCTGGTGAGAGAGGGTAGGGTGCGACCCAGGGGTTCAAGACACTGCTGGGGGAGGGCGGATACGGACAGGTGTGAACTGATTCGAACAGGTGTGAACTGATTCGAACAGGTGTGAATTGATGTGAACAGGTGTGAGCTGATATGAGCTCGAGGGAGGGAGTGTGGGGTTGGTGGTGAGAGAGGGTAGGGTGCGACCCAGGGGTTCAAGACACTGCTGGGGGAGGGAGGATACGGTACAGACAGGTACGTGTATGGGGGGAGGGGGAACCTGGGGAGGGGGGAGGGCGTGCAGGCAGATGCGACCCAGGGGTTCAAAACACTGCTGGGGAGGGCGGATGCGGACAGGTGCGAACTAACATGGGCAGGTTTAAAAGGCAGTCGCACATGCCTCCCTCGGCTGTCTCTCTGTGCACCATTTCCCACCCCGCCCCATCCTACCCCACCCCACCCCACCCCACACGAACAGGTGTACCACGGGCAGTTGCCATCCGGGGAGAAGGTGGCGGTCAAACGGGCCAAGCCAGGCGTGCAGGTGGGTTGAGAGCGGTGAGTTGAGTGTGCAGTTGGGTTGAGAGTGTAGGGCAGTGTGTGCGCCTGCTTACTTACTGCTTCCTTAATGCATGCGAGTGATATGAAAGCATGATGATGTAAAGTATTTTGTGAATTCTCGAAAATACCTTGCTGATCTGAAAGCATGGTGTTGTTGCGGAGTTTGGCGGCAACTCTGCTGGCCTCGCTATACTCCCTTCAACTTAACATTCCTAAACCACACCACACTCCTTTTAAACCTCCCTACATCGTTCTACACTGCTTTACACCACTCACCACCCCCAGGTGAACGGCGCTGAGTTCCGCAACGAGATAGAGCTGCTGTCAGCAGTGCGGCACCACAACCTGGTGCTGCTCAGGGGTTCTGCTGGCCATCTCAACTCCCTTCCACCGTCGTTATACCACACCATATTCCTTTGAAACCATTCCGCACCGTTCCACACCCCTCAAAACCACCAGGTGAACGGCGCTGAGTTCCGCAACGAGATAGAGCTGCTGTCAGCAGTGCGCCACCGCAATCTCGTGTTGCTGCGGGGCTTCTGTGTGGAAGCAGGGGAGCAGCTTCTGGTGTACGAATTCATCGAAAAGGGCACTTTGGAAGATATTTTAAGAGGTGAGAGGTTTGAGAGGTGAATGTGGCAATGATGCAACCTGGTGGTGCTGCGGGGCTTGTGTGTGGAGGCGGGGGAGCAGCTGCTGGTGTATGAATTCATTGAGAAGGGACCTCTGGAAGACATCCTAAGAGGTGAGAAGAGGTTCTGGAAAGGGCGTAGAGTGGTTTGGGGAGGTCAGAATCCAATCAGCGCTGGTGTGTAGAGTTGGTGCAACCTGGTGCTGCTGAGGGGCTTCTGTGTGGAGGCAGGAGAGCAGCTGCTGGTGTATGAGTTCATCGAAAAGGGGACTCTGGAAGATATATTGAGAGGTGAGGAGTGGTGTTCAAGGGGTGAAGAGTGGTGCTGAGAGGTGAAGAAGCTTTTGAATGTAGCAGTGATGCAACCTGGTGTATGAGTTCATTGAGAAGGGGGCGTTGGAGGACATTCGTAGAGGTGAGGAGAGGTGCAGAGTGGTGCCGAGCAGTGAGAGAAGGTGCTGTGGGTGGAAAGGTGGAACCTGGTACTTCTGTGTGGCTTCTGTGTGGCTTCTGTGTGGCTTCTGTGTGGAAGCAGGGGAGCAGCTGTTGGGGTATGAAGCTATCTCCCCGACCTTCTTGGCTCACCCTCTCTTTATCTCAACCTACTTCCCCCTGCCTCTCTCTGCACACCAGGCAAGTCCGATATGCACCTATCTTGGCAGCAGCGGCTGGACATCGCCTGTGGAGCAGCGAGGGGGTTTGCGTACCTGCACCATCAGATCAAGCCGCCTATCATTCACCGCGACGTTAAGGTGGGATGGAACAAGGGTGATGGGGGTGATGGAGGGGGTGTGCGATATGACTTTTGAGTCGACTAAAAGTCATTGCACGTGGGGCAGCGAGGGGGTTCGCGTACCTGCACCATCAGATCAAGCCGTCCATCATTCACCGCGATGTGAAGGTGGGTGAAAGGGATGGTGTGTGAGCGTGTGAGGGAGAATGTGTGTGCCTTTGCACGTCTGCCACCCTGCACCGCATCAGATGAAGCCACCACACCTGCAGAACGGCCAACAGACAGAAACGACGGACTCTGAAATCCCACTCTTAACACCTGCCCCCACCTTTCCCCGCCTCCCTCCACCTCATCCCACCTCACCCCACCCCATCTCTACCCACCTTACCCCATCCATTCCCACCCCACCGCACCCCGCTCCACCGCACTGCAGACGGCGAACATCCTGATCACAGCAGCGGGGGAGGCGAAGGTGGCGGACTTTGGGATCTCATTTGCCGCATCATCCCCCATCTCCCCACTGCTCTCACCCTCCTCACCCCGCCCCACACCACACCACTCCACCATACTCCACCGCATCCCACCACAGACGGCGAACATCCTGATCACAGCAGCAGGGGAGGCGAAGGTGGCGGACTTTGGGATCTCACTCTCATCATATGCCCCCATCTCTCCCCACCGCACCCCATCCATTGCCACCCCACCCCACCACAGACCGCAAACATTCTGATCACGGCAGCGGGGGAGGCGAAGGTGGCGGACTTTGGGATCTCCAAGGCGGTGATGGAGGGCGAGCAGCTGGACACACAGGTCAAGGGCACCGTGGTACGTGGTGGAGTGATTATATGAGTTGTGATTATAAAAGAGGGTGTCTATAACGGGTTGTGAGGTGTGTCTATAGACAGATGTGACTTTGGGATCTCCAAGGCGGTGATGGAAACCGAGCAGATGGACACTCAGGTCAAGGGCACCGTGGTGAGTGGTGTAGTGTGACTGTAAGAGGGGTCACTATAAGGGCTGCACCAATGCCACTCTATTTGCACTCTCCCCATCCTCTCTGTTTCTCCACCACTATCACATCCTTTCCAGGGATACCTAGACCCCGAGTAATACATGTCTGATCTCCTGACGGAGAAGAGCGATGTGCTCAGCTTCGGCATCTGGAGCTCAAACCGCCACTGAGCTGAGCCTCAATAATCCCATTTTCCCCCTCTCCCATCCTCGCCACATCCTTTCCAGGGATACCTAGACCCCGAGTAATACATGTCTGATCTCCTGACCAAAGAGAGTGACGTGCTCAGCTTCGGCATCGTGCTGCTGGAAATAGACATGGGGTGCCAATCCCTCTCCACTCCCCTCCTCCCCTTCCTCTCTTTTTCTCCCTCCCAGGGCTACCTGGACCCCGAGTACTACGTGTCAGACCTGCTCACAGAAAAGAGTGACGTGTTTAGCTTCCGCATCCTCCACACCACCCTACCTGTTTGAAGAAGTGTTTTGAGACGTCTCAAAACACTTCTTCAAACACGTGGCATCCTCCACACCACCCGCATCCTCCACACCACCCTACCTCCTCCACACCACCCTACCTCCTCCACACCACCCTACCTCCTCCACACCACCCTACCTCCTCCACACCACCCTACCTCCTCCACACCACCCTACCTCCTCCACACCACCCTACCTCCTCCACACCACCCTACCTCCTCCACACCACCCTACCTCCTCCACACCACCCTACCTCCTCCACACCACCCTACCTCCTCCACACCACCCTACCTCCTCCACACCACCCTACCTCCTCCACACCACCCTACCTCCTCCACACCACCCTACCTCCTCCACACCACCCTACCTCCTCCACACCACCCTACCTCCTCCACACCACCCTACCTCCTCCACACCACCCTACCTCCTCCACACCACCCTACCTCCTCCACACCACCCTACCTCCTCCACACCACCCTACCTCCTCCACACCACCCTACCTCCTTTCCCTCTCTCCCCCCATATGTTCAACCAACTCAGGGCTACCTAGACCCCGAGTACAACATGTCTGATCTCCTGACCGAGAAGTCTGACGTGTTCAGCTTCGGCATTGTGCTGCTTGAGATCGCCCCGGGGCTGCAGTGGCCAAACTCTCTCCACTCCGCCCTCTCCCCATCCTCTCTGTTTCTCCCACCCCCATCACATCCTCCCCAGGGCTACCTAGACCCCCAGTGCCACATGTCAGACCTGCTCACTGAAAAGAGCCACATGTTGAGCTTCCGCATCCTCCCTCTACCTTCTCTCCATCGCTTCTCTTCCCAACTCCCATGTGTTCACCCCCACCCAGGGCTACCTAGACCCCCAGTGCTACATGTCAGACCTGCTCACTGAAAAGAGCCGCGTGTTCAGCTTCCGCATCCTCCCTCTACCTTCCCTCCATCGCTTCTCTTCCCAACTCCCGTATGTTCACCCCCACCCAGGGCTACCTGGACCCCGAGTAATACATGTCTGACCTCCTGACGGAGAAGAGTGACGTGTTCAGCTTCAGCATCGTGCTGCTGAAAATAACCACGAGTTTCCAGCAAATCCTTCATTTCCTTTCTCCCCTTTTACATGTTCACCCACTCCCAGGGCTACCTGGACCCTGAGTACTACATGTCAGACTTGCTCACTGAGAAGAGCGACGTGTTCAGCTTCGGCATCGTGCTGCTGGAGATAGCCACGGGTCTCCGGCCAATCAGCGACAACCAGCACATCCGCCAACTGGTGATCAAACAAGTCATGGCGGGCGGCAGAGGCGCCACCAGCGTCATTGACCCTGTGCTGCTGAGTGCGGGAGGAGGAGTGATGGAGGGAGAAGGAGGGGGCGTGGAGGTGGTAGTGGGTGAAGCATGGCAATCCCAAGGGAGTAACCAAGGGGACACCAAGGGGAATGCACAAGGGGCCACCCAGGGCGGTATTCCCGAGGAGGTGGAGGCGACGTTCGAGTGGTTCCTGAAGCTGGGCATGCGGTGCAGCGCCAGGCTGTCGCAGGACCGCCCCACCATGCAACACGTGGCAGCTGAGCTGGACGCCATGCGGGCGAGGGTTATCCAGATTGCGAGGCTCCGGGGAGGAGGAGCCGGTGGTGCTGGCAATGATCCTGGCAGTGATGGTGGTGGTGGTGCTGGCAGTGGTGGTGGTGCTGCTGCTGCTGCTGCTGGTGCTGGTGCTGGTGCTGGTGCTGGTTCTAGCACTGGTGTTAGTACTGGTGCTACTAGCACTGCTTTTAGCACGGGTTCCGGTGCGACCAGTGAGGAGCGATTCTGGGAGGATATGGCAAGCGAAGGGGCACTGGTGCCAGGCTTCAATGATGATGATGATGAGGAGATGGAGTACGGTCAAGAGGTTTATGAAGAGATGATGCGAGAGGCACGTGAGGGACAGGGAAAGGAGGGAACTGGAGGGGTTTCTGGGAGTGTGGGCGGTGGAGGGTATAAGAGCAGCAGCAGTGAGGGTGCGTGGAGGGCCGGGGGTTCGACCACTGACTGGACGAGTGACAGTGCTCCGAGTAGGGAGATCTGATATGCGGCTTGGGAGGAGGAGGAGGAGGAGGAGGAGGAGGAGGAGGAGGTCTGCTTGGGAAATCTTGTTGGGCTGAGTGGAGCCCTAGGATAATTTTAACTAAGAGATCTCACCAGGCCTGGAAGTGAGGAGGACCAAGAGGCGGCCTGGGAGGAAGCGGCATGGTGTTACTGTGGCTGGAACTCGAGAAGCAGGACATTGAGGTGGTAAAGGAGGACAGTGAGTTTTGGCAGGAGTGTGGGGGGTGGAGAGTACACGACCAGCGACGATGAAGATTACAAAGGTCATGATGAAACTCTGTGTGCAGTGAAAGACCTGCATTAATAAGCATTGTTGTGAGTGACTCACCATAATTTGCTCTACGTGAGCAAGTATGCATTGAATACTCCCGTTTTTGCATTCTGTTTTTGTGTGTGTATGTGATGTGAGCCTTTGTTGTGTGGTTAATTGATGAACTCCTGCTTGTGCAAGTGCACATCAAACCGCACCCTTATTTTCCGATAAGCAAACCTTTTGGTTGATGGAATGGCGTAAATGGGCTGTCAGGATATTCCAACCAGTGTCATTTTTTACGTATAAATATGTCAGTTTTTAGATAACGCGGAGCTATTTATTTATTGCAAATCTGGGACTGTACTTGATCGTGTTAGAAACTTACGTGTTTCCACGGAACTCGCTGCACTTGGCGATACTTTTGAACTGGGGCATTTCCCACCAATTCCCGAACAGCGCGTCAGTCAGAAGTGATCGTTGCGCTTCGCTGAAAAGCAATTTAGGCACAATGTGGTGCAATGCGTTTCGATTCGGGTGTGGGCCTCACCGCTTTACACCGATCGTTATTCACCAATTTGCGAATGAAAACACGATGTGCGACGAAACCCTGCGCCACCCAGGTAATGCCCTCAGCAGAAATGGTAGGGGCAGGAGCAGCAGCAGCAGCAGCAGCAACAGCAGAAGCATCGTCCCCTCCCATTCACGTCATGCTTAGCGACGTCTAGAACTTGTTCACTTTTCAATGCGGAGACAACCGAAGTTAGTTGGCACGCGGCGTTAGGGTTATGTCCACAATGGTACGAAATTCTCGGATCGTAACGTAGTAAATTTCCTCCTCCCCTCCCGTTACTGCCGTTCCGATTCTCGTAAACTCGGTTTTCTCCACCCTCACCCTCCCTCTCTCCCGCTCCAATCCCCTCTTTATTAGTTGCTCGGATAATTCTTTGAGCCGAACCTGAAAACAGGAGTCGACTCGAAAATATTTTCCTCAGAACTCGCCTTTCCTCTAATTGCCGTCTTGCCTTTTGTGGACATAGCTTTCATTGCGACATCACCCCTCGTCTCCCCCTCCCATTCTCCCTTGCACCCTCACCCCTCGTCCCCGCGCCCATTCTCGCTTGCGACCTCACCCCTCGTCTCCCGCTCCCATTCTACCTTGCCTCGTTTGTCCCGATCCCATTTTACTCAGCAGCCTCAACTCTCCTTTCCCCATCTCATTCCCCTCTGCAACCTCACCCAATATCCCATCCCCCGCTGCAGCTTCACCCTTTGTCTCCCACCCTCCGCCTGCAGCTTCAACCCTAGTTTCCCGCTGCCCATCCCCCTGCAGCCTCACCCCTGGTCTCTGGTCCGAATCCCTCCTGCACCCTCACGACATGTACCTCCCACTCCCACCCCCTTCCTCCTTATGGATGACGTAAATGACAAAACCAGGCCGCTGGGGAAGGTACGGAAAGGATGCAGAGCACGTCCTTCAGCATGGTGAATGGTGGCGCCAAGTGGAGACACATGACATGAGTGACTTCTCTGAAAATGTGTAGTGCCCCCTGCAACCTCAAACCAGGCCCGGGAACATCAGGAAAGGGTGGAGAGCACGGTGAATGGTGGCGCCAAGAGGAGCCGCATGACTGATTCTTCCCACCCACTTTCTCCTTATGATGGCGGATATGACAAAACAGGCCGTTCAGGAGCATACGGAGAGGGTGGAGAGCACGTCCTTCAGCACGGTGAACGGTGGCGTCAAGAGGAGCCGCATGACTGCATACTCTGAATTCTCCGAAGACGCGGCCTTAGAAGCGAAAAACGCGGCGGATGAGGCGATCAGCCTCCTCTTCGCCGGCCTCTGCAACCCTGCGCGCCACGCCGATCACCCGCTCTGGCGCAACGCAGTGCAAGCCATCACACGTGCGGGAGGCAATTACGTCCCGCCCGATAGCCGCCACGTCGGTGGGTCCGGATTGAAGCAGTCCCGGGTATTGAACGAGCAGGGCCTGGAGGCGGTTGCTGCGAGCTGGAAGCGGCATGGCGTTACCCTTGCGATTGACACGGTGACCGACAAGCGCGGCCGGCCGCAAGCGAATGTGTGGCTCGTGAACGACTCGGGTAAAGTGTTCCTGGAGAGCATGGACTGCAGTATGAGCGATTGCAGTAAGGTCGAGTGCAGTAAGGAGGCCGAGATAGGCGACTACATTCGCAGAACCCTACGGCCATTTGTGGAGAAGGTTGGGCCTGAGAATATCGTCGCTCTCTGCATGGACGGGGAAAGTAGCTACACTGGCGAGAAAAGACTACGAGTGAGGAGAGGAGGGAATGCGACATGGGGCTGGAGAAAGAGGGCCAAGAAGAGGAGGCGATGAGAGAGAGGAGGGAAGGGAGAGTCTGGAGAGAGGGAGAGGAGTAGTTAGAGAGTGAGTGGGAGAAGAGGTAGGAGGAGGTGCAGAGAGCGAGGGAGAGGGCCGAGCCGATGATGAGAGGGAGAGAGGAGAGGAGGAGGGAGGTGAGGGAGCGTGGAAGGTCAACGGAGATGAGGAGGGAGGAGGTGCAGGAGGGATCCGCCTGGAGGGAGGGAGTGTGGGTGGGGATGCGCAAAGGAGTGGGAAGTTGAAGCAATGAGCAAGTCAGGAAGGCAGTGGGAGGTGAGGGAGCGTGGAAGGTCAACGGAGATGATGAGGGAGGAGGTGCAGGAGGGATCCGCCTGGAGGGAGGGAGTGCAGGACGAGAAGGGAGAGGGGGTGAGCGGAAGGAGTCGGACGGAGGGCGTCAGAAACATCTCAAAACATGCTGAGTGATAGAGCACGGACTCTGAAACTCGGAGAGAGGGAGTGGATCAGGGAAATTATGCGAGTAGTAACTCCGAAGCACCTAGAGAAGAGGAAAGATAAGTGGGAAGGGTCGTTGGTGGGGAGGGCGGGTGGGACGGTGGGGTTTTGACACAAATATGCCTTACCAGCTGCATCAAGGAGAGTACGCCTGCCTTTTGGGTCGACTCAAAGGTCACCTCTTTGACACAAATATGCCTTACCAGCAGCATGCCTTACCAGCAGCATGCCTTACCAGCAGCATGCCTTTCCAGCAGCATGCCTTACCAGCAGCATGCCTTACCAGCAGCATGCCTTACCAGCAGCATGCCTTACCAGCAGCATGCCTTACCAGCAGCATGCCTTACCAGCAGCATGCCTTACCAGCAGCATGCCTTACCAGCAGCATGCCTTACCAGCAGCATGCCTTACCAGCAGCATGCCTACCAGCAGCATGCCTTACCAGCAGCATGCCTTACCAGCAGCATGCCTTACCAGCATCATGCCTTACCAGCAGCATGCCTTACCAGCAGCATGCCTTACCAGCATCATGCCTTACCAGCATCATGCCAAGCTGAGGAAGCACAGCATGCACGCACCAGTGAGCCTGCCGGCACTTCTGCCAGCTGAGCGGCAGTCAGAGCTGCATGACGCTGGCGCGGCGTGTGAGGTAGCGGCAGGTACTGAAGGTGTGGTGTTTCTCGCGTGGAAAAGAGATCACATGGTACCCGAAAACACGTGCTTCTGATGATTAGCATTCTGTATGATTAGCATATATTGCGCTTCTAAAAGCAGTGAGAATCGCGCGTCGCGCGTTGATGTTCCGAATCTTACGAATTCGTTCTCTGGCAGCGTCAAGTCAGACGGGATCGTCCGACGACCACCAGCGTGCGCCCTTTCTCGCTGCCATCGCCGCGTAAGCCGCTTCCGCGTCGCACTCTTGTAACGAGTCCGCACCGACTACCCTTCCGTCATCGCGTATCCTTGTAACGGGGATAGCGCGTGCCATTATTGGAGCGGCGACTACGGCGCGAAGCTGTACAATCGCGAAAATTTCACTTTATGCGAATCTGCGCGGAGAGGAGATGAGCACCGACAAGGCATGGCGAGGCGTTTACGGACAGCCTCTAATAAACCTTCCAAATCGGAGCGATTTCGCTGCTAGTACTGATAGTAGTGACTGAACTCATGACCGCGCCGATATAAGTGACTACGCGGCGCGTTTCGAGGAAAGGATGCTCCTAACCGAAGCTACTAACTTTCCAATCTACCGAAGCTGCCGCAGCGTGATGGTCAAATCTACTAAAGCCGTTTCAGGGAAGTCTCGTAGCGACAATGGCGCGTTTGAGACAGGAGAGTTCAAATTCATTACGGTAATATCAAATTCAGTGCAATGATTTCAGTGAGAGGTCTCAGAATCACTGTCTGGTTTATTTAAATTAAACAAACAAAAAGTTCCATACTTACTACTGTTCCAATAATTACGGTAGCTGTCTATGTGGCTCTGTTTGTCTTGCGTACCTTCTGTCTCTGGTTCAGTGTGTATGGTTCTGTCCCTGGTTCTCTGTATGGTTCTGTCTGTCACACCCGAAAATGCACATCTGGTGCATCAATTGACAAAATAAATAACATGCTAGTACGTAGCACTAGATGTCTGCATATGCCTGAACTAAATCAACACCTATTGCAGCAATAGTTTGTTGGTAATTATCCATTCTAAGTTCCTAATGACTATCCAGATTTAATATTAAGTAATTGTACTATTGTATTACCCATGCACTGTAGGTGTGCATGGGGGGTTCCTCTTGGCCGCCAGGAGCAAGCTCCCAACGTTCACCCAAGCACCACGGTGAGGTGGGAACCATTGCTTAGGACCTGGGGGGGGAGACAGAACACAAGAGGAAACTGGATACTGCCCAGGGGCAGGTGAGAATTATTATGTGACCCTGTGGGGGGGAGGGAGACAGAACACAAAAGGATACTGGATACTGCCCAGGGGCAGGTGAGAATTATTATGTGACCCTGTGGGGGGGAGGGAGACAGAACACAAAAGGATACTGGATACTGACCAGGGGCAGGTGAGAATTATTATGTGACCCTGTGGGGGGGAGGGAGACAGAACACAAAAGGATACTGGATACTGCCCAGGGGCAGGTGAGAATTATTATGTGACCCTGTGGGGGCGAGGGAGACAGAACACAAAAGGATACTGGATACTGCCCAGGGACAGGAGGAGAATATTATGTGACCCTGTTGGGGGGGGAGACAGAACACAGAGCAAACTGCCCAAGGGCAAAAGAGTTTTGAGATGTCTCCCAAAATCCTGATTTTGCTCACTTCAGCAAAGCTGCAGTGAGGAGGGAGAGTTTTGAGAGTTTCGAGACGTCTTTCGAAACTCACAGAAGAGAGTGTTCCTACCCTGCTTCGCTGCAACCTGTGTTCCCTGCAACCTGCTTCAACCCCTGTTCTGCTTCGCTGCAACCTGTGTTCCCTGCAACCTGCTTCAACCCCTGTTCTGCTTCGCTGCAACCTGTGTTCACTGCAATCTGCTTCACCCCCTGCTTCACATCTGCACCATCTGCTTCACATCTGCACCATCTGCTTCACATCTGCACCATCTGCTTCACATCTGCACCATCTGCTTCACATCTGCACCATCTGCTTCACATCTGCACCATCTGCTTCACACCTACAACATCTGCTTCATCTCTTATGCTTTCCCCACAGCTGCTTCATCCCCTTCACAGCTGCTTCATCCCCTTCACAGCTGCTTCATCCCCTTCACAGCTGCTTCATCCCCTTCACAGCTGCTTCATCCCCTTCACAGCTGCTTCATCCCCTTCACAGCTGCTTCATCCCCTTCACAGCTGCTTCATCCCCTTCACAGCTGCTTCATCCCCTTCACAGCTGCTTCATCCCCTTCACAGCTGCTTCATCCCCTTCACAGCTGCTTCATCCCCTTCACAGCTGCTTCATCCCCTTCACAGCTGCTTCATCCCCTTCACAGCTGCTTCATCCCCTTCACAGCTGCTTCATCCCCTTCACAGCTGCTTCATCCCCTTCACAGCTGCTTCATCCCCTTCACAGCTGCTTCATCCCCTTCACAGCTGCTTCATCCCCTTTACAGCTACTTGGCAGCAATAGCTAGCAAAAGGTAGGTACAGCTCGCTGGCATCGCTGATGGCAGTCCAGCCATCTCCTCTGCCCGCCTTTAGCAGCCGTCTGCTCTCCATCTCCTCTGCTTGCCTGTAGCACCCATCTCCTCTGCTTGCCTGTAGCACCCATCTCCTCTGCTTGCCTGTAGCACCCATCTCCTCTGCTTGCCTGTAGCACCCATCTCCTCTGCTTGCCTGTAGCACCCTGTCCTCTGCTCGCCTGTAGCGGTGGTCTCCTCTGCTCGGCTCTACCACCCGTCTCCTCTGCTCGCCTGTAGCAGCGGTCTCCTCTGCTCGGCTCTACCACCCGTCTCCTCTGCTCGCCTGTAGCAGCGATCTCCTCTGCTGATCCGTCTGTGGAATGGGAGGAGAATGACTCAGATACAATGAGGGCAGCGCAAGGCACCGATTGCACCCAGAGCCAAGAAGGAACTCAGAGCAAATGCAAAACAAAGGCACCGAGATTAGAACAAACAAATCAACTCAAGTGAAAAAGAGAATCACCGTCGGCAGTGAACAGTTATCCACCACCGTGCTCCTTGGCTCTTCAACTCGCTTGCTCCTCAGCTCCTTTGCTCTTTGCTCTTCAATGCAGCACCACTCCCCCTCCACTGCAGCACCACTCCCCCTCCACTGCAGCACCACTCCCCCCCCACTGCAGCACCACTCCCCCTCCACTGCAGCACCACTCCCCCTCCACTGCAGCACCACTCCCCCTCCACTGCAGCACCACTCCCCCTCCACTGCAGCACCACTCCCCTCCACTGCAGCACCACTACCCCTCCACTGCAGCACCACTCCCCCTCCAGTGCAGCACCACTCCCCCTCCAGTGCAGCACCACTCCCCCTCCAGTGCAGCACCACTCCACCAATTAACAGCACCAGCAGCAGCACATGCAAGGGAGGTAGAAGCGAGGCAGGACAAGGCAGCAAAAGGTAGGTACAGCTTGCACCTTGCTGCTGCCAACTCTCGCCCCTTCTCTGCTCTATTCGCCTGCTCATCGCCTCTCCGGCAGTAACCTCCTCTCCCAGCAGGTGCCAGTCGTCCCCTCTGCTCCTCTCCCAGCAGGTGCCAGTCGTCCCCTCTTCTCCACCATCACTGTCTAGGTAGGCCGTGAACACTAGCCCCGTAGAATCTTATTCTACGTACTACGTCATCAGATTCAATAGTTAACAACTCTTGTAATGTGAAAGCAATTCCAAAAGCTTGAAATGTCGAGCATTCCATCTCTCTTGGTCTTTGACCATCACAATGGGACTTACCACAAAGAAGATGCTGTGTAACTAAGCCATCGGCCGATATAGCTTAGTTACACAGCAACCTCATGGTGGTAAGTCTCATTTTGGTGGTCAAAGGTTTGAAGAGATGGAATGCTGGGCATTACAAGCTTATGGAGTTGCTTACGCATAAAAAGAGATGTTAACTGTAAAATCTGATGACGTAGCAGGTAGAATCTGATCTCACGAGGTGAAGTGTTGTAGCCGGCTCAAGTGCTCCCACTGCTGCTCCTCTGCTCCTCTGCAGTAGCACACAGGAAGGGTGGCCTTCTCTTCTGCTGACTCTGCAGCTGCCACTGCTGCTACCACTGCTTGCATTCCCTTCTGCTGCCACGCCTGCTGAAACCAGTATTGTCACTGCGGCCCTCTCTTCTGCTCGCTGTCCCATCACTTCACAGCACCAGCAGCAGCACGCAGGGGGGAGGTAGGAGCGAGGAAGGTAGCAGCTGCCGTCCCATCACTTCACAGCACCAGCAGCAGCACGCGGGAGGGAGGTAGGAGCGAGGAAGGTAGCAGCTGCCATCCCATCACTTCACAGCACCAGCAGCAGCACGCAGGAGGCAGTAACAACTCGCAGCTTCCTGGTGTCAATTTCACAGCCGTTCCTGTGTGTCTTCTCTGCGCCGTGCCTTCTCCCGTCCATGCCTTCTCTCCTCCATGCCTTCTCTCCTCCATGCCTTCTCTCCTCCATGCCTTCTCTCCTCCATGCCTTCTCTCCTCCATGCCTTCTCTCCTCCATGCCTTCTCTCCTCCATGCCTTCTCTCCTCCATGCCTTCTCTCCTCCATGCCTTCTCTCCTCCGTGCGGCCAGCAGCGTTGGGGGGAATCGCAGCTGCGCGGTTCTCTTCTCCTCTGCTCCTCTGCTCCTTTGGCCTTCTCCCATTCCCTCCTCCGTGCCCTCTGCTCCATGTCTCTCCAATGCTCCATCTCCTTCCTCTTCTCCATCATCTCCTTTGCCTCTCCTTCCTCTTCTCCATCATCTCCTTTGCCTCTCCTTCCTCTCCTCTGCTGCTCCGTCTCCTGTGCTGCTGTGAAATGAGAAGATGCAGGCACAGGGCTGGTGAGCGCATAGCCCCGTTTGCACCCCGTCTACTCTGCTCCTCTAGAGTAGCACACGGGAGGGAGGCAGCATCATTTTCTCCCACTGCTGCTCCTCTGCTCCTCTGCAGTAGCACACGGGAAGGGTGGCCTTCTCTTCTGCTGACTCTGCTGCTGCCACCGCTGGTACCACTGCATGCATTCTCTTCTGCTGCCACGCCTGCTAAAACCAGTATTGTCACTGCGGGCCTCTCTTCTGCTCCCACTGCTGCTGCCACCGCTGCTGCCACTATTGGCCTTTTCTTCTGCTCGCTGTCCCATCACTTCACAGCACCAGCAGCAGCACGCGGGAGGGAGGTAGGAGTGAGGGAGGTAGCAGCTGCCATCCCATCACTTCACAGCACCAGCAGCAGCACGTGGGAGGCAGTAACAACTCGAAGCTTCCTAGTGTCGATTTCACAGCCGAGCCTGTGTGCCTTCTCCCCTCCGTGCCTTCTCCCCTCTGTGCCTTCTCTCCTCCATGCCTTCTCTCCTCCATGCCTTCTCTCCTCCATGCCTTCTCTCCTCCATGCCTTCTCTCCTCCATGCCTTCTCTCCTCCATGCCTTCTCTCCTCCATGCGGCCAGCAGCGTTGGGGAGAATCGCAGCTGTGCGGCTCTTCTCCTCTGCTCCTCTGCTCCTTTGGCCTTCTCCTATCCATGCCTTCTCTCCTCCGTGCTTCTGCTCCATGTCTCTCCAACGCTCCATGTCTCTCCAACGCTCCATGTCTCTCCAACGCTCCATGTCTCTCCAACGCTCCATGTCTCTCCAACGCTCCATGTCTCTCCAACACTCCATGTCTCTCCAACGCTCCATGTCTCTCCAACGCTCCATGTCTCTCCAACGCCTCCTCTGCTTCATCTCCTCCTCCACTGATGCATCTCCTCTGCTCCACATCCTGCAAAATGGGAAGAAAAAGTACGTGAGCTCATTGAACGAATTGCACCCAGAGGTTGCTCATTGTGCCAAGAAGTGATTCAGAACAAATGCGTGGCGAAAAAGGGGCCATTGGTCGAGAAAGGAGAGCCTCACCAGCAGTGGCAGGGGATTCTCCTTTGCTCCCCCTCCTCTGATTCTTCTCCTCTGCTCCTCCTCCTCTGATGCATCTCCTCTGCTCCTCCTCCTCTGATGCATCTCCTCTGTTCCGCCTTAGCTCCTCCCCCCTCTGATGAATCTCCTCTGCTCCATATCCTGCGGAATGGGAAAAGGAAGTGTGAGCTCATTGCACCAATTGCACCCAGTGGACACAACCAGTGCCAACAAGAGCTTTAGAACTATTGCAAAGCAAATGAGGCAAATCAGAAAACAGGAAATTTGATCCTCACCGAGAATTCTCCTTTGCCTCCTCTGCTCCTCGCTTCCGCTGCTCCTCTGCTGCTCCGTCCCCTCCCATGCATCTCCTGCGGAAAGTGAAGGAAGAAAAAGCCTATGAGCATCCAGTGATTGCACCCAGTGCCAACAAGTGATTCGAAATCAATGCCAACCGAACAAGGCAACGACCATCTATCCCAAAAAACAGGAAATCGAGAGCAGGAAAGAAGATTCTCACTGGCAGTGGCAATGGCCGGGAATCCTCCTTCGCCTCCTCTGCTCCGCTCCCAGCAGGTGCCAGTCGTCCCCTCTGCTCCTCTAGAGTAGCACACGGGAGGGAGGCAGCATCATTTTCTCCCACTGCTGCTCCTCTGCTCCTCTACAGTAGCACACAGGAAGGGTGGCCTTCTCTTGTGCTGACTCTGCTGCTGCCACTGCTGGTACCACTGCTTGCATTCCCTTCTGCTGCCACTGCTGGTACCACTGCTTGCATTCCCTTCTGCTGCCACTGCTGGTACCACTGCTTGCATTCCCTTCTGCTGCCACTGCTGGTACCACTGCTTGCATTCCCTTCTGCTGCCACGCCTGCTGAAACCAGTAATATCACTGCGGGCCTCTCTTCTGCTCCCACTGCTGCTGCCACCGCTGCTGCCACTGCTGGCCTCTCTTCTGCTCGCTGTCCCATCACTTCACAGCACCAGCAGCAGCACGCGGGAGGCAGTAACAGCTTGCAGCTTGCTGGTGTCGATTTCACAGCCGTTCCTGTGCGCCTTCTCCGCGCCGTGCCTTCTCTCCTCCATGCCTTCTCTCCTCCATGCCTTCTCCCCTCCATGCCTTCTCCCCTCCATGCCTTCTCTCCTCCGTGCCTTCTCCCCTCCATGCCTTCTCTCCTCCGTGCCTTCTGCTCCCCTGCTCCCCTGCTCCTTTGGCCTTCCCCCCTTCGTGCCTTCTCCTCCGTGCCCTCTGCTCCATGTCTCTCCAACGCTCCATCTCCTTCCTCTTCTCCATCTCCTTCGCCTCTCCTTCCTCTCCTCTGCTGCTCTGTCTCCTCTGCAACACCACCTCTTGTGAATCGGGAAGAGACAGGATCAGGGAAGATGAGCACACGGCACTGCTTGCACCTCATCCCAAGAAAGGACCCAGTCTCAAAAAGGGACTTCGAGCAAGTGCAAAACAAAAAAGACAGCAAGCATGCATTTGAACGGACAGAACAGATAAAGGAAGAAAGACAGAGGAACGTATTTACTCTTTGCTCCATCGCTCCTTTACTCCTCGTCTCCCCTGCTGCTCCTCAGCTGAGCCAACTCCTCTGCTTCTCCACCTCCTCTGCTCCACCTCTGCTTCATCTGCTTCTCCTCAATTGCATCTCCGCCTCCACAGATGCATCTCCTCCTCCTCCGATGCATCTCCTCTGCTCAAGTTCCTGTGGAATGGAAAGAGAAAGGTTGTGAGCTCATTGAACCAAATGCACCCTGTGGTTGCACACAAGAAAGTGAGAACAAGTGTGTAGCAGATCCTCACCGGCAGTGGCAGAGGATTCTCCTTCGCCTCCTCCTTTGCTCCTTCCATCTTTCGCACGCCTCCTCTCCTCAGCTGCTCCTCCTCCTCTGATGCATCTCCTCTGCTCCTCCTCCTCTGATGCATCTTCTCTGCTCCTCCTCCTCCTCTGATGCATCTCCTCTGCTCCTCCTCCTCTGATGCATCTCCTCTGCTCCTCCTCCTTTGATGCATCTTCTTTGCTCCTCCTCCTGTGATGCATATCTCTTCTCCTCCTCCTCCTCTGATGCATCTCCTCTGCTCCTCCTCCTCTGATGCATCTCCTCTGCTCCTCCTCCTCTGATGCATCTCCTCTGCTCCTCCTCCTCTGATGCATCTCCTCTGCTCCTCCTCCTCTGATGCATCTCCTCTGCTCCTCCTCCTCTGATGCATCTCCTCTGCTCCTCCTCCTCTGATGCATCTCCTCTGCTCCTCCTCCTCTGATGCATCTCCTCTGCTCCTCCTCCTCTGAATCATCTCCTCTTCGGCATCTCCTCTTCGGCATCTCCTGCGGAATAGGAGAAGAAAGTATGTGAGCTCATTGCGCCAATTGCACCCAGTGTTGCACACACACAGTGCCAACGACTGATTGAGAACAAACATGTAGCGAATAAGGCAACGACCATTGATCGAGAGCAGGAAAGGAGATCCTCACCGGCAGTGGCAGAGGATCCTGCTTTGCCTCCTCTGCTCCTTGGCTCTTCCGCTTCTGATGCATCTCCTCTTCTCCTCTCCCCCGCTGCTCCTCTCCTCTGCTGCGCCTCCGCTGTTCCTTTGTTGCTCCGTCCCCTCCGATGCATCTCCTGCGGAATGCAAAGGAGGAAAAAGCCTATGAGCACGCAATGATTGCACCCAGTGCCAAGAAGCGATTCGAAATTAAGGCAACGACCAAAGGATGCCAAGCGAACAAGGCAACGACCAAAGGATGAAGAGATCAAAGCCGGAAAGAAGATGCTCACCGGCAGTAGCAATGCCGGGGAATCCTTGTTCGCCTCTGCTGCTCCTCGCCGTCCCATCACTTCACAGCACCAGCAGCAGCACGCGGGAGGGAGGTAGGAGCGAGGAAGGTAGCAGCTGCCGTCCCATCACTTCACAGCACCAGCAGCAGCACGCGGGAGGGAGGTAGGAGCGAGGGAGGTAGCAGCTGCCGTCCCATCACTTCACAGCACCAGCAGCAGCACACGGGAGGGAGGTAGGAGCGAGGGAGGTAGCAGCTGCCGTCCCATCACTTCACAGCACCAGCAGCAGCACACGGGAGGGAGGTAGGAGCGAGGGAGGTAGCAGCTGCCGTCCCATCACTTCACAGCACCAGCAGCAGCACACGGGAGGGAGGTAGGAGCGAGGGAGGTAGCAGCTGCCGTCCCATCACTTCACAGCACCAGCAGCAGCACACGGGAGGGAGGTAGGAGCGAGGGAGGTAGCAGCTGCCGTCCCATCACTTCACAGCACCAGCAGCAGCACGTGGGAGGCAAGAACAGCTCGCCGCTGGCTTTGATTTCACAGCAGTGCCTGTGTGCCTTTTCCCCTCCGTGCCTTCTCTCCTTCCTCTCCTCTGCTGCGCCGTCTCCTCTGCAACACCACCTCCTCTGATGGATCTCCTCCTCCTCTGATGCATCTCCTCTGCTCCATGTCCTGCGGAATGGAAAGAGAAAGTCTGTGAGCTTATTGCACGAATTGCTCCCAGATGTTGCACCCAGTGCCGAGAAGTGATTCAGAACACATGCAAAGCGAATGAGGCAAAGACCAAGAAATAGAGAGCAGAAAGATTCTCACTGGCAGTGGCAATGGCAGAGAAACTTCCTTCTCCTCTGCTGCTCCTCGCCTCCTCTCCTCCTCGCCTCCTCTCCTCCTCGCCTCCTCTCCTCCTCGCCTCCTCTCCTCTTGAAGCCGTGTTGAAGTCTTGGGGCTGTCTGAAAGGGGAGGGAGGCAACAAACCACGGCATTAGTGCATGTGGAAAACAAGAAAACAGAAATGGACGAGCACTTACCGAGGGGAATGAAGGCGTGTTGAAGTCTTGGGGCTGTCTGAAAGGGGAGGGAGGCAACAAACCACGACATTAGTGCATGTGGAAAACAAGAAAACAGAAATGGACGAGCACTTACCGAGGGGAATGAAGGCGTGTTGAAGTCTTGGGGCTGTCTGAAAGGGGAGGGAGGCAACAAACCACGACATTAGTGCATGTGGAAAACAAGAAAACAGAAATGGACGAGCACTTACCGAGGGGAATGAAGGCGTGTTGAAGTCTTGGGGCTGTCTGAAAGGGGAGGGAGGCAACAAACCACGACATTAGTGCATGTGGAAAACAGGAAAGCAGAAATGGACGAGCACGTACCGAGGGGAATGAAGGCGTGTTGAAGTCTTGGGGCTGTCTGAAAGGGGAGGGAGGCAACAAACCACGACATTAGTGCATGTGGAAAACAGGAAAGCAGAAATGGACGAGCACGTACCGAGGGGAATGAAGGCGTGTTGAAGTCTTGGGGCTGTCTGAAAGGGGAGGGAGGCAACAAACCACGACATTAGTGCATGTGGAAAACAAGAAAGCAGAAATGGAAGATAACTCACTGAGGGGGCTGGAGCGTTCTTGATGTCTTGGTGACGGCTAAGACAAGAAGAAACACACATTACAACATTAGGCAAGAGACAAACAAGAAAGCAAAAAAGACTGCAGCTTCCAACGGGTCCTAGCTGCTGTGTCCCCGTGTTGCTCCCGCCTTGGTGTTGCCTCGCCCGTTCTTGCTGTACCTAGAAGAGGGGGCGACACAAAATTAATCCATGCCCCCTTGCTGGTGCGTCCCCCAGTTGGTCCCGCCTTGGTGTTGCCTCCAGATCTTGCTGTACCTAGAAGAGGGGCAGCACGAATTTAATTCTTTGCCCCCCAGCGGGCAAAGTACGCACCACACTCAAAGGTGCTGCTCCTCCTCCTTGTGTTGATCCTTTGCCCCCCAGGGGGCAAAGCGCCTCACTTGAAGGTGCTGCTCCTCCTCCTTGTGTTGATCCTTTGCCCCCCAGGGGGCAAAGCGCCTCACTTGAAGGTGCTGCTCCTCCTCCTCCTTGTGTTGATCCTTTGCCCCCCAGGGGGCAAAGCGCCTCACTTGAAGGTGCTGCTCCTCCTCCTCCTTGTGTTGATCCTTTGCCCCCCAGGGGGCAAAGCGCCTCACTTGAAGGTGCTGCTCCTCCTCCTCCTTGTGTTGATCCTTTGCCCCCCAGGGGGCAAAGCGCCTCACTTGAAGGTGCTGCTCCTCCTCCTCCTTGTGTTGATCCTTTGCCCCCCAGGGGGCAAAGCGCCTCACTTGAAGGTGCTGCTCCTCCTCCTCCTTGTGTTGATCCTTTGCCCCCCAGGGGGCAAAGCGCCTCACTTGAAGGTGCTGCTCCTCCTCCTCCTTGTGTTGATCCTTTGCCCCCCAGGGGGCAAAGCGCCTCACTTGAAGGTGCTGCTCCTCCTCCTCCTTGTGTTGATCCTTTGCCCCCCAGGGGGCAAAGCGCCTCACTTGAAGCTCCACTGCTGCCCGTCCTTGCTGCACCGGTCTTCTGCCCAGTCTGACCAACTGTGCAATTTTTCTCACTGCAACGCTTGCAGTGAGGAACATGCAAAAGAGTTTTGAGACATCGCCCAAAACCCTGGTTTTGCTCGCTTCAGCTAAGCTGCAGTGAGGAGGAAGAGAGAGACAGAGAGAGAGTGAGTTTCGAAACTCACAAGGGAGCGAGTTTTGAGATGTTTCTCAAAACTCACTCAAAGAAGAGAAGACAGGAGGAACGGAACACTGCAGTGCACTGCAGACACAACAAAACTGGATTTGAGGCGCCTCAAACCAGCAAACGAGATCCTCACACCTCAAACTCACTCTGACTCTCACTCTCACTCTGACCCTCACTCTCACTCTCACCCTCACTCTCACTCTCACCCTCGCTCTCCCCTCACTCTCCTCTCACCCTCGCTCTCTTCTCACTCTTCTCTCACTCTCGCTCCCCTCACGTCCTCTCTATGCTCCCCCTCAGCTGCTGCTGCTGCTACTGCTGCTGCCGCTGCTGCTGCTGCCGCCGCTGCTGCTGCTGCTGCCGCTGCTGCTGCTGCTGCCACCGCTGCTGCTGCCACCGCTGGTGTCACTGCTGGTCTTCTCTTCTGCTGCCAGCCACTGCTGCTGTCAGCTGTAGTGTCATTGCGGACCTCTCTCCTTCTCCCACCGCTGCTGCCACCGCTGGTGTCATTGCAGGTCTTCTCTTCTGCTGCCAGCCACTGCTGCTGTCAGCTGTAGTGTCATTGCGGACCTCTCTCCTTCTCCCACCGCTGCTGCCACCGCTGGTGTCATTGCAGGTCCTCCCTTCAGCTGCCAGCCACTGCTGCTGTCAGCTGTAGTGTCATTGCGGACCTCTCTCCTTCTCCCACCGCTGCTGCCACCGCTGGTGTCACTGCTGGTCTTCTCTTCTGCTGCCAGCCACTGCTGCTGTCAGCTGTAGTGTCATTGCGGACCTCTCTCCTTCTCCCACCGCTGCTGCCACCGCTGGTCTTCTCTTTTTCCTGCCAGCCACTGCTGCTGTCAGCTGTAGTGTCATTGCGGACCTCTCTCCTTCTCCCACCGCTGCTGCCACCGCTGGTCTTCCCTTTTGCTGCCAGCCACTGCTGCTGTCAGCTGTAGTGTCATTGCGGACCTCTCTCCTTCTCCCACCGCTGCTGCCACCGCTGGTGTTACTGCTGGTCTTCCCTTTTTGCTGCCAGCCACTGCTGCTGTCAGCTGTAGTGTCATTGCGGACCTCTCTCCTTCTCCCACCGCTGCTGCCACCGCTGGTGTCACTGCTGGTCTTCTCTTCTGCTGCCAGCCACTGCTGCTGCCAGCTGTAGTGTCATTGCGGGCCTCACTCCTGCTCCCACTGCCGCTGCCACCGCTGGTGTCACTAATTGCATCCCCTTCTTCTGCCACTGCTGCTGCCACCAGGTAATGTCACTGCGGGCCTCTCTCCTGCTCCCACTGCCGCTGCCACCGCTAGAACAACTGCTGGTCAACACAGCTTGTCGTGGTCCCATCACTCCACATCACAGCACCAGCAGCAGCACGCAGGAGGTAGTAGCAGCTCGCAGATTGCTCGTGTCCATTTCGTGTCCCCTCCGTGCCTTCCCTGCTGTAGCTCAGGGCAGCAATTGACTGGTCTCCCAACACCCAGCAGCAGCGACAGAAAAGTGTCGGGCAATCTTCTCGTGTCGCCACTTCTTCTGCCCCTGCCGCTGCCGCTCACACTGCTGCTTCTGCCACTGCCGCTCTCCTCCTGCTTCCACTGCTGCCACTGTCAATGGTGCTCCTGTTGCTGCTGCTCCCCCCACCCCAGACTAACGCCCTGCACAGTGCCAGAGAGTCGCAATCGCACAGGGAAGATCAATTAGTGAGTCGACAGAGCAAATTGACAGAGAAAAGAATATCGAATGCAAGGAGGAAAAAGGGCAGCAGAAAAGCGATGAAGAACACGACAGCTATTGAAACTACAAAGGCAGAAGAAAACTCGAATGAGGAGAGAGAAGGGAGAGGGGGGATTAGCAAGAAACGGGGGTGTTCTGTCATGGCTCCAAATACTTACTTGCTTATCCAGTCCCTGCTGCTCCAGCTGTCCCCAACGCAGCAGGTACTATCCAGTTGCTGCAGCTCCGTCTTCCCACCCACGCCTTAGCGTTGCCTCCCTGCACAGCACAGAGATCAGAGAGTCGCAGAAAAGGATAATCAGACAGAGCAAATCGACAGAGCAAATTGACAGAGTGAAGAAGACCGAATGCAAGGAGGAAAAGGGACAGCGGAAAAGCGACAAAGAAAACGAATGCCTTAAAAACACGTAAAGAGAGTGGAAAATGCGAATGAGGAGGAAGGTGGGAGGGCGAGGAGAAGAAAGGAAGCTCTCCAGTTACTTACATGCTTCTCAAGTCGCTGCTTCTCCAGTCGCTGCTTCTCCAGTCACTGCTTTTCCACTCGCCACTTCTCCAGTCGCTGCTGCCACTGCTCTCCTCCCCACAGCCAGCAGCAGCACCAGGAGGGTTTCAGCAGCTTCTCTTGCTGCTCTTCTTTCTGCTCTCCTCTCCTCCCCACAGCCAGAGCAGTTGCTCCTGTCGCTGCTGCTTCGACTTCCCAGTCACTGCACAGCGATTAGAGAGAGAAGGTTGATCAGAATAAAGACAAAGTGTAGCAGATTAGGTTGAAAGAGTAATTTGACACCGTTAACTGACAGAGTGAAAAAGAATGAATGAAAGGAGGAAGAAAGACAGCGGAAACACACCGAGGAGCACGAAAGCCAGAGAAACAATGAAGGAATAGGGAAACACGAATGAGGAGGGAAGGAGTGGGAGGAGAAGAAACGAATGGCGGTCTTTGTCACGGCTAGATGTACTAACTTGCTTCTCCAGTCATTGCTGCTCCAGTCGCTGCTTCTCCAGTCATTGTTGCTGTTCCAGTTGCCTCCACCGCAGCAGCACCTCTCCAGCTGCTGCGCCGCCTCCCCAGGCACGCCTCAGCGCCCCTGCACAAGGAACAGAGAGATGCCACGCGTACTGCAGAAAAGGTTAGGTGCTGGGTAGAGGCTACAAGCACAGCAAAACGACCAAGACAGCAGGAAATTGAACAATACGCAGAGCAAAACGACAAAGATAACAGGAAATGGCGGGAGGAGGAGGACCAAGGGCAGGAGGAGGAGGAGGAGGAGGAGGAGGAGGAGGAGGAGGAGGAGGAGGAGGAGGAGGAGGAGGAGGAGGAGGAGGAGGAGGAGGAGGAGGAGGAGGAGGAGGAGGAGGAGGAGGAGGAGGAGGAGGAGGAGGAGGAAGAGGAGGAAGAGGAGGAGGAAGAGGAGGAGGAAGGGAGGAGGAGGGAGGAAGCAGGAAGAAGAGGAGGAGGGACAGGAAGAGGAGGAGGGAGGAAGCAGGAAGAAGAGGAGGAGGAGGGACGGGAGAAGGAGAAGGGAGGAAGCAGGAAGAAGAGGAGGAGGAGGAAGGACGGGAGAAGGAGGAGGGAGGAAGCGGGAAGAAGGAGAGGAGGAGGAAGGCGGGAGGAGGAGGAGGAGGAGGAAGCAGGAAGAAGAGGAGGAGGCGGGAGGGTCGTTGCTGGCGAGGCTACTCCCACAAGCCACAGACCCATAGGGTTGCCCGGATGCACTTACACTGAGGGCAATTACCCCGAATTAACCGGATACACTTACGCTGGGGGATTTACCCTGTTGTCCTGAAGTACGGAAGAGCTTGCCCCGATGCACTTACGCTGGGGGCTTTGAAGTACCCAAGGGTTAACCGAATGCACTTACACTGGGGCCCGTGGCCCGACGTACCCAAAGGGGAGGGGGGGTGTTTACCGCAGTAGAAGTTTTGGGAGAATACCAGCAGTCGGGGGGGGATGGTCTGTGACCCGTTAGGAATCGCCTCAACCAGCAACGACAGAGGAGGAGAGGCGGGAGGAGAAGGAGATGGAGAAGGAGAAGGAGAAGGGGGAGGAGAATGAGAAGGAGCAGGAGGGGCAGAAGGAGAATGAGAAGGGAGGAGGAGGGGGAGAAGGAGGAGGGAGGAGGAGGAGGAGGAGGAGGAGGAGGAGGAGGAGGAGGAGGAGGAGGAGGAGGAGGAGGAGGAGGAGGAGGAGGAGGAGGAGGAGGAGGAGGAGGAGGAGGAATGGGACGCGGGGAACGGTTCAGGGAGCAAAAGTGGGAGACGAGGGCAAGAGGGAACTTAGCGGTTGTTGGAGAAGAGAAGAGCAGAGCAGCACCTCGCCACCTCCTTGGCAGCAGCGCTGCCTCCAACACAGCAGCACCGCCTCCAACACAGCAGCACCGCTCCAACACAGCAGCACCACCGCTCCAACACAGCAGCACCACCGCTCCAACACAGCAGCACCGCTCCAACACAGCAGCACCGCTCCAACACAGCAGCACCGCTTCAACACAGCAGCACCGCCTTTTACACAGAAGCACCGCCTCCAACACAGCAGCAACGCCAGTCAACGTCATGCTTCCATGGACGCAGCAGCAACGCGCCAGCACCAACGCCTGTGAGCCATCTCCTCTCGCCCGCACCAACGCAGCAGTCAGCATCATCTCTCGCTAGCTCTTCTCCCGCGGCTGTACGGACGCGGCAGCATCGCTCCAGCTCTTGGCGAGATAGGCTTCAGCGCAGACCAGGAAAGTAGCTCGCGCTCCTGCACGCACGGAGACAGTTCAAATCGCAACGAGTGTGTGAGATAATACGCACGCCATGATAGAAACGGAAACGAGATATACGCCATATTGAACGCAAACGAAACGCGAACGCCACGAAAGTAGAAAACTATCGACTGAGGAGCTTAACAAGCGTTTGGGGTTTGGACGAGAACTCACCGGCGTGCTCCTCTGTAAAAGCGGCGTTAACGTCGACGTATTCGCGTCGCACTAAAACGAATCGCATCGTCGTCTTCGTAGGAGTTTTCCGCCGTCGACTTCACGACGTCGCGAGCGTCGCACGGTCGTCGCGGGCTACTCCGCTTTCGCGAGCCTCGACGTAGCGACGAAGCTCCTCCTACTCCGCCGTCCATCTCGCCAAGCTCCTCCTAATCCACCGCCGTCCTACGGACTCGCGAGCTCTTCCGGGATCGATAAGAAGTAGTGGAAGCAACGGAGAAGCTTCTCCACCCTTTCGCGTCCGCGTCGACTTCACGAAGAGCGTCAAAATCTCTCCCGCCGTCGAAATCTCTCCCGCCGTCAAAATCTCTCCCGCCGCCGAAATCTCTCCCGCCGTCGAAATCTCTCCCGCCGTCAAAATCTCTCCCGCCGTCGAAATCCCTTTCGTCATTCACGCATTCGCGAACCCTACACGGATCTGCTCCTCCGTAAAGGCTTTATTCGTCACCGTCGTTCGTCGCTTCCTCCGTCGCGAACCGTCGCCAGCGCTTTTCGTCATCGTCAGCGTCGTCAGTCGCGCGATCCTCCATCAGAAGTCTTCATCAGCCGTCTCAAGCTGTAGTACCGTCGTCGTCACCCGCCTCAATCTCTAGTACCGTCGTCGTCAGGGTCGGACGTCCCGCGACTTCGCTAACGTCGCAAGCGCCGTCGGTATAGTAGTAGTAGTAGTAGTAGTAGCAACTGATGTTCGTAGTAACGTCGACGGCTTCAGGAGTTCCTCGTCGCGAATACTTTCTTCCTCCGCAGTGACAAACCTTCTCGTGAGCGGCTGCGGCGTTGGGTTCAGAGGCCGAGGGAAGCTACCCCGTAGTACGTTCGCGAGCGATGCAAGTCGCAAAGTCGCACAAGCAGCGTAGAGCAAGTCGCACAAGGATGGCACGGATTCGTGACCTTCAGGAACATTGTCGGAAAACATCTGACGTCGCTTCAGGTTGCTAGGTTTGTCGCGGCAAGTGGTTAAGAGCTCCACGCTGAGAATCGCAAGCATGAGAATCTCGTAGGACTTGGATCTCGCTACTCGCGAACTCCATTAGATTAATCTGCTCTACCAAGGAGCTTCGGTAAGGCTTCACGTCGCGTCCAGCATAAATCTTATACTAGCACTGACGATATCGATTCTTCTTACTATGCTCTACGATCCAGTCGGGCTCTAAGATTCTGCTACCATCCTCCTACTAGCGCGTATGATTTTCTTTCAAGAAACGAAGATTCTGCTACGATCCTCCTAAAAAAACTTAATCTTAACGCGCTTCCGGAAGAGACTATGTCACGGATGCTACGTCCACTGTACAGCAAGCTGCGGAAGCCATGGATTCGCGGATCATTGGAGTTAGCTAATGCAAAGAGATTCCTCTCCGAGACAAGCCTGCATGGCGAATGCCCGAGAGGGATGCACTGGAGGTTGACCAAGTGGGACAGAACTGGAATGGAAGTTCGGGTACGGTGAAAAGGATTGAAAAAGGTTACAGAGAGGTTAGACGGATTCAGGAAGGTGAGATGAGGTGAGGCAAGGTGAGGTGGGGTGATGGTAAAGATTGGGGTGGAGTGGAAGGGATACCCTGAACGGCAAGGAGCGGCAAGTCGAGTCGCCTCGGGAATTGCCCTCCCGTCCAACCAAGGCGGGGGAGGGGGGAGGGTTCCCCCCGTTTCGGCAAGCTCGAGGCCCAAGCCGCAGCAGAGTTCGCTGGCGCGTTGCGCTGACTGGCTGGAATCCGCGGATCGGTCTGCCGACGATCTGTGTTGAAGGCGGGGAAAGGCGAAAATATGATGAGTGAGCGAGATATGTTACACTCTGGATGCTGATGATCCGACGGCTAAGCACAGCTATCTTGGATGGCGAGATGTGGCGTGGATGGTACGCTGAGTTACCACCAATCAGATGTCTGTCCCGAGATCCTATGGATAGGTATGTCATGGCCGAGGTGAATTTGAAATGGTGGTGTCAGACGACGAATTGAGTCGCTTGTCAAGTCCCTCGTGATTCAGGCGGGATGGAGATTCCATACGCGTCTGGCTTTCACTAAAGAGAAAATTCAGTCGGTTACAGAAGTAAAGGTATGTTATTGATAAATACTCATTGCTATCATTTTGTCACACACCTGCCATTACACCTCACCTTTGGTCAAACATTTGAGATGATTGAACTCGCGTAAATACATAAAATAACTTGAGATTAGCTAGTATGAGAATTTGTTCTCCCAATTCTCATATTTTGCTTTGATATTCCTTTTCATCAACGTCCCGCATTATTGGAAGTCTAGTAAAACATCAGGCACCATGATTCTAGTCACTCCATGCACCACCACGTGTGCATCCGCGTAAAGGTCTGGCAGCACCACTTGTACACTCCCCTGCGCTCCCAACACTGGCTTGCCTTGACCAGCATGATACCCTCCCCTTCTACCTCCTCCATCTCCATCTCCTGAAACCCTAAAGCGGTGACTTACAAACGGGAAAGGTACATAACGAATCTCGAAACAGCAACTGCAGCGACCGCATTGAGGCAAAAAGCCGGAACGAGGTACAGAGAAAAGACAAACGATGCCACCCCGCACAGGTAGCAGACAAAAACCACCAGTTGCTGCAACACTGGTGGCTTGTAAAGAAGGGCGGGGGGGTTATGAGAGGAGCAGGGTGGTGCAGTGACTATGAGTAGTAGTGATGCTATGGAGGGCAGGATGTCTTCTAAAGGGGCCATTGATATTGATGCCTGAATGGGATAAGGGCAGGAGGGGGGAGGAGAGGAGTAAAGAGGGGAGGGGAGAGAAGAGAAGAGGAGGGAGATCCAGTGTGAGTAGGCGCGGTGGGAAATATCTTGAGGAGAAAGTGTACACTGAAGAGTTTACAAGAGCGTACACACTCTCACACACACTCACTCACATCCATGCACACAGGCATGTGTGCGTGCCTGTGGGAGGAGAAAGGTATTGGAAGGACTGGCTTTGGCATGTAATGAAGCAACGAGGGGAGGAATATGGAAGATGGCAGTGATAACCTGCGAAGGAGATGGTGAGAGTGTGTGTGGGTGCATGTGCGTGCGCATGTGAGCATACATGTGAGAACTGACCTTGGCGTGCAGTTGAGCAATGAAGGGAGGCAGGTGGAAGAGGGAAGTGACAAGCAGCAGGAGAGAATCAGCCACTAGGAGCTCTGATACTGAGCGGGAGGACCTGTGATTGGTGGAAAACAACAGGCAACGATAGTGGAAGGGGAAAATGCTAATTATCATGTGACTTTTGAGTTGACTCGAAAGCCGACCAGCAGGCACGATCATAACGGGAGAACATGCCGATTTTTCATGTGCATGCGATGGAACTAAACTTAAGTGGAAACTAAGAGCCGACCAACAGCAAACACATGCACACCTGCCTTCATCCATCTCACCTTGACTTGGCTTGAGATGCCCGTGCGATTTGAGCAGCAGCAGCGAGGAGGAGGGCGAGGAATGGGAAGACGAGGGCGAGAGGAAGGAGCAGGAAGAGGAAGAGGAGAGCAGGCCAAATTCCCTGTTGCTGGGAGTTGAGAATACGGGGATGGCAGGCATTGAAGAAACACCTAAGGATAGACTGGGAAAGAATGAGAATTGATAGAACTACTAGTCTGATAAATGTTTCAAGCATGGAGTTGAGATGATGCAGGAGTGGTCGAGAAAAAAACAAAAAAAAAAAACAAGTCTTGTGTGCATGAAACTGGTTTACTGTAACGTACCGTGCGAGTGTTTGTCCCATTATTTGTCTGTAGACCAGAGCGGGAGCCGGCGCAACAGGAGATAATGCTAAGAGTCACTTTTAGCAAAGCGACGAGGAAGCAGAGAGCAGTCGATGCAATCACAGCTGCTACGAAGAGTGACACGCTTGCTGATGTCAGAGTGGATAAAATACAGCTCAGCATGCATCGTGCTGATGCAAGGAGAGGTGAATATGACGTGGCATGGTGTGGTTGGTTCTGGAGGAAAGAGTTAAGTGTGTGAAGGAATGAGGTGAGGGTGGGAGAGAGTCGTGGAAGGGAGGGAAGTGAGAGGAGGAGAGGAGAGAGGAGGGAGTGGTAGAGAGGGAGAGGGCGAGAGGAGGAGGAGGAGGAAACAGAATGGGGCTGGGCTGCGGGAAATAATCCGTGTGTGGGGGGTGATGTTAGATGGTGTGAGCGAGAGAGAGGGGGAGTGAGGAGTGGGAGGAGTGAGAGAGGGAGTGTAGGAGAGAGAAGAGGATGAGTGAGGAGAGGAGGGAGCGTGAAACGGCGCTAGAGAAAGTGGGCCAGGAGGGGAAGAGGCGATGAGAGAGAGGAGAGAAGGGAGAGTGTGGAGCGAGGGAGCGGAGGAGTGGGAGAGCGAGAGAGAGAAGAGGTAGGAGGAAGTGCAGAGAGCGAGTGAGAGGGCTGAGCCGATGACGAGAGGGACGGAGGAGAGGAGGAGGGAGGTGAGGGAGCGAGGGAGGTCAACAGAGATGAGGAGGGAGGAGGGGCAGGAGGGGTCGACCTGGAGGGAGGGGGTGGGGGTGCGCAGGAGTGAGTGGTTGCGGGCAATGAGGAGGGGAGGAGAGTTCTGTGAAACTTCAAGGTTCAAGAATTGGGAACTTTGGGAAGGGATTTCGGCCCTTTTCGAGACTCTACAGTGATGGAATGGGGGTTTATGAAACTCTAAGAGCAGCAGTATTAGAAGGAAAGCATGCAGGACGTATTGTCTCAGAGGGTGACGGATTGGGAAAGGTGTTGAGAAGGTGGGGAGAAAGCGAGGAGGCAGGGGAGGGAGGGGGCGTGGGAAGGGAGAGGGTGTGGGGGGGTGGGGCGTGGGAGGGGTGTGGAGGGAGGAGCGGGTGTGGGAGGGACAGTTTGTGGGCGGGAGAGGGTTAGGGAGGGAGGGGCGTGGGACGGGGCGTCGGAGGGAGGGGACGTGGGAGGTAGGGGGTGTGGGTGGGGTTTTCACAGCATGCCTTACCAGCAGCAGCAAAGACAGTTCGTCCTCCCTGCCCCGATGCACCGCCCTGTCTGAGCCATCACTCAAGAAACCGCCACCATGACTTGGCGGGCTCTGAGTGGTCTCGAACTGAGGGTTACTGCATCGATGGGCACTCAGGGATTGGCGGGAAGTGCAGTGGTGGCAGGACGGGCGAGTGAGGTGGGGTGGCGGAGAGTCTAGCTCAAGAATAGTGGAGTGGTGAAAGGTATGGGTGGAGAGAATATTAAAGCTCCCTGCATTGTGGGTGCAGCTGCGCCTGTTGGTTTCACTGGCTGCCGCAGCTTCAGAGTCTGCGGAAGCTTCAGAAGCAGCAGAAGCAGCAGTGCCCGCAGTAGAGTCGCCAGCAGTCAGAATAGCAACAGCTGGATGGCAGCGGGCGGGATTTGGCTGGACTCCTGTGGGATGGGGGAGAGGAGATAGGGGAGAGGAGATGGGGGAGAGAGAAGAATTTTATCTATCAGCGTACATGCGAAGCTACTAGATCTAGAGCATGCTGAGTGACGGAGCAGTACTGAAGGACACTGGCGGATATGATAGCTTCATTCATTCAGTAACGGCACTAGTAATCACGGAGGTGGTACTCGAATGGCGGAGTTGCAGAAGATAGAGTCATAGAGCCAGTATGCATGCTGGTAGACACGTGGACTCTACCAGACTCTGCCCGCACAGCTTCACCCGTCCCCGACTGGACAGTAGGAAAAGTAATCAGCGAGAAGATGGCGGTTTTATATACAGAATAACAACCTATCTGGGACTGGTAGGATAAGAGGACGGTGGAACTATATACAGAGGGGGATCGGTGCTCGTGCAGAATGATGGATGAGAGGATGGCGGAGGACCGTACCAAGGGAGGAGATGGAGGTGGTTTGAGGTCGAGAGGGCAGCAAGCGGAGGTGGAGAGAGAGATGGGCAGCTGCTGGTGGGAGCGAGAAGACGGACAGAAGCGGCTGCGGCTGCTGCTGCTGCTGCTTCTGCTTCCGGTGGACTGAGATGCTTGATGACAGTGGCTGCATGCACGTAGACCGATGGAATTAACAAGGAGAATTAACTAGAGTTAACCATGACCAGCAGAGTTTATTAAGTGTTTTTCTCGGGGTTGGTGTTTTTCAATTATGACCTTGGATTCAAACTAGGTGTAGAGGCTGAAACGATTTTCGAGACGCCAGATTCTTACTATACGTTTGAATGCATACCATGTGTAGAGGCTGAAAGATTGAGAAGAGCAAGGATAGCAGGGAGAGAGATGTTGATGGAGAGGAGGGAATAGAGGAGGAAGTGGAGGAGGAGGAGGAGGAGGAGGAGGAGGAGGAGGAGGAGGAGGAGGAGGAGGAGGAGGAGGAGGAGGAGGAGGAGGAGGAGGAGGAGGAGGAGGAGGAGGTAGCGAGCGGAGGGTGGAGATTGAGTGGTGCCAATTCTACCGAGAGAAAGTGGTGAGGAGGGCGAGGTTTGTCCTGTGAAACAAGAGGTAGTGGAAATGCGGAGGCGCTTGTTTGTCATAGACAAGGGGTGCATAAGCGCAAAAAGGGTGCAAGAAAGGTGTCAGGGTGCCAGAATTTCCTTTCTTAATCGGTACGATGACTTTTGAGTCGACTCAGAAGGTGTCAGAGTGCCGGACTTTCCATTCTATCTCACGCGGATAAACAAACTCGCGAAGTCTGCGAATGGTATATTGCAGTAGGGGCACAGCAACGGTTGATTGGGTGAGTTATCAGGGTTCAAGAGAAGACCGTGTGGAAACGCCTCAAATGTGGGAACCCTTGGTGGTTACGCTGGGAATTGAACTTCGCACCTTGGTGTTGGTGATAACATTCACGTGCAGAGTGGCCTTGCTTACAGCACCAGCCCCTTCAGCTATCTCCAGAGGAAACATGAGCAGAGCAAGAGGAGATGGCTGGGGCACTTGACCTGTGACCTGCTGTGATGCTGGTGATACTGGCAGGGACTGGGACCGAGGAAATGAAAGAAAGGAGATGTAGGTGGGGCAAGGGCTGAGGCAACATGAGCAGGGCAAGAGGAGATGGCTGGGGCACTTGACCTGTGACCTGCTGTGATGCTGGTGATACTGGCAGGGACTGGGACCGAGGAAATGAAAGAAAGGAGATGTAGGTGGGGCAAGGGCTGAGGCAACATGAGCAGGGCAAGAGGAGATGGCTGGGGCACTTGACCTGTGACCTGCTGTGATGCTGGTGATACTGGCAGGGAATGGGAGGCAACGAAGATCAAGGTGAGGCAGGGTTGTTGTGAAAGCACGATGATTAGTCATGTCAAATCAGAAGCTTCAAAGCACGCCTTAGATACTGAACAATTCACCAAGTGTCCTACTTTTTCTTTCTCCTTTTGCCTTTAATTGATGACACGGGGCGGGATGATGCACTTAAATTCACTTACGAATGCACTGCTACTGGGTGGTGGGGGCAGAGGAACGAGCAGCCCTGTCAAATCATAAAACGACATGTCATCCTCTCCCCCTCCCTCTTGCTCCCCGTTCCCCTTCGTATCCTCTCCCTGCCTCCTCTCCTCCTGCGCTCTTATATCGAGGGGATCCTCTTCACGCCTCTCCAACGCAACCCCCTGCCATGTGCTTATAATGAGGGTGAGATTCAAGCCGTCGCATGGGAGCACATTCGATAGAAGAACCAGGGCACTGCTGCTGCGTGCTGTGTGGGGTTTTAGTGCTTCAATCTGCAAGGCAGCGTTTTGGGGAGGGGGAGGGGTAGGGGGCGTGGGGACAAAGCGTGAACAAGTTGCAGGAAGGAACAGTGATACTGTTTCAAAAAAAAAAGGCCGATTTGAGAGGAGAAAGAAAGGAGTGGGAGGGCGGGAGGGAGGAGAGGAGGGACAGGACCGGGCACATGGAAAGGTGGAAGGCTACTGATCAACGCTACAGGAAATACTACAGGGGGTAACCAAACCAAGCATCCAAGCTCACGGGTAGGTTGATGTGGAAGGAGAGCGAATCATGAGTGTGGGAAGCCCACGTGTGTACGAATGGGCCGAATCAAGCTGCGCTGATATGTGCCCGTCATTCTGCTGCTCTTGCTTCTGATTCTGCTGCTGCTTCTGCTGCTGCTTCTGCGGTTTCTGCTGCTGATTCTGCTGTTCTGTCTGTTGAGAGCTAGCCTCAGGAAGTGAATCTCCAGTGGCTGGCGACCCCAGCAACAAGGGCCGGGGAAGGAGAGGTGAAGCAGACAGGTGGCAGGAGATGATTGCACGGCGCGTGTTGGGGGAGGAGAAGGGTTGTGATGTGCGCGGGTCGACCAGTGAAAGAAGGGCGTGGGCAAGCTGTGGAAGATCAGGGGGTGAATGGAGAGGGTGGGGGAGGACAGGTGGCAGGAGATTATTGCACAGCGCGTATTGGGGGAGGAGAAGGGCTGAGACGTGCGTGGGTCAACCAGGGCTAGGAGGGCATGGGACAGCTGAGGGTGGGTAGGGTTGAAAGGAGAGGAAAACGAGGGTGGGGAAGGGGGGAAGAGTGAGGAGAGTGGTAAGAGAGGGAAGTTGGATGGAGCTGAGAAGGGCTGTGACGTGTGAGGGATGACCAGGGTTACAAGGGCATGGGAAAGCTGAGGACGGGCACCGCATACCACCACTCACCACCACTCACCTGAGCCACAGGCTGGTTGCACCACATACCACCACTCACCTGAGCCACGGGTTGGTTGCACCACACTGCCTGCTCGTGCCCTGCTGACAGCCACACGTGAGGGGATGTACTGAATGGGAGGTGCAGGGAGGTGGTATCTGGGGACGGGGGTACTGCTGTTGCCCATGAACGGACCTGGAGGGAGTGGGAAGGAGGGTGAGGGAAGGGGGGAAAGGGGAGGATGAAGGGGAATAAGAGCAAAGTTGAGGGGAGGTGCTGATTGGGAGGTGCAGGGAGGTGGTATTTGGGGACGGAGGTACTGCTGCCGCCCATGAACGGACCTGGAAGGGGAGGGGAGGAAGGTGAGGGGGGTGAGGGGGAGAGGAGGGCGGGGAAGTCATATGGGGGTGGCGGAATGGGCCAGAGGAGGGCGGAAAGCGTCGATAAGAATAAGAAGGGTGGGCGAGTAAAGTGTGCGCAGTGAGTGAAGTAAAGAGAGAGAGTGTGTGAGAGGCACATGGAGGAGAGAGAACAGGGAGCAATGGTGGAGCTATCACAAGCAGCAACTGCAGAGGAAAAGAGAGGAGAGTGCTGAAAATTGCAAAGGGCCAATCGGTGGATGGCGTTGGGTGCATATGTGTCTCTTATATCTGCACATCTGACATATGTGTGGGATGGTAAGGCAACCAGTGATAAGTTGACACGTGGCGCCAGCCAGGCCATTCTCACCTGCCAGTCACTTCGGCCAGCAGCAAGCGAGACAAGGAGCAGAGGGGAGGAGGGAGAGTGCTGGGAAGGGTGGCGGCTGAGGGAGTGGTAAAGCGCGAGCATGGATGGCTGCAGGGGGAGGGGGAAGAGGCTGGGGTCAACGGGGGAACGTGGGGGTGAAAAGGGGGGAAACGGGAGAAAATGGGGAGGAAAGGGAGAAACGGGAGAAAGTGGGAGAATAAGAGGGGACAAGGGGAGAAGCATACAGGACGAGCAGGAAGGAGACGGAAACAACGACGAAATGCACTTCTCCTTCCGTTTACATGGAGATGCGACCTACCTACCTGTGCGGTGTGGCAATGGTGATAATTGTCTGCACCAGTTTCTTTCTGTCCCACTCGCACTGCCCCCTCTCTTGCTCCCGTCCACCCCCACCTTCTCCTTGTGTTTCCTCCTTCCACGCACACTCCTTCACCTCTCCCTCGCACTCCATTTTCTCTTCCTGCTTCAAACCTTCTCCCCATGTGAGTCTCCTGTGGGCCAGGCGGGCGATTATCCCCCCCATAGAGTGACCCACTAGCAGCACAGAGGATGGGCGGGCAGGCGTGGACGGACAGGAAGAATTGTAGAGGGAGAGTATCTGAGGGGGTGGAGGGAGGGAGAAGGGAGAGAAGAGGTAGTAAATTGTGTGCATTTGCAGAACACGGGGGAATGAGCTGGAGGAGAGCTAGCATGTGCAAGCTCGACTCAGTGACATGCGCATATACCCACATGCAAGATCAAACGTGAGCACCCACCTGAGTGACAGCAGCAGCAACGAAGGCTGAATGTTTGAGCAGCAGAGCGCTGTGAAGAGCAGTCAGGTGCTCCCTTAGATCCACACGCACACATGTACAATCCTACCCGTGCACACGCATAACCACCCACATGCAAACATGCTTCAGCACTCACCTCATTGACGGCAGCAGCAACGAAGGCTGACTGCCGGAGAAGCAGAGCGCTGTGAAGAGCAGTCAGGTGCTCCCTTAGATCAACTGAGAACCACGCCAGGTGAGAAGGGTACGGTGCAGGTCTCACACATGCATACATGCTTCAGCACCCACCACATGTGTGGTCCAGGGTGCGGGTACGGCGCAGATCTCACTCATGCTTCAGCACTCACCTCATTGACGGCAGCAGCAACGAAGGCTGACTGCCGGAGAAGCAGAGCGCTGTGAAGAGCAGTCAGGTGCTCCCTTAGATCAACTGAGAACCACGCCAGGTGAGAAGGGTACGGTGCAGGTCTCACACATGCATACATGCTTCAGCACCCACCACATGTGTGGTCCAGGGTGCGGGTACGGCGCAGATCTCACTCATGCTTCAGCACTCACCTCATTGACGGCAGCAGCAACGAAGGCTGACTGCCGGAGAAGCAGAGCGCTGTGAAGAGCAGTCAGGTGCTCCCTTAGATCAACTGAGAACCACGCCAGGTGAGAAGGGTACGGTGCAGGTCTCACACATGCATACATGCTTCAGCACCCACCACATGTGTGGTCCAGGGTGCGGGTACGGCGCAGATCTCACTCATGCTTCAGCACTCACCTCATTGACGGCAGCAGCAACGAAGGCTGACTGCCGGAGAAGCAGAGCGCTGTGAAGAGCAGTCAGGTGCTCCCTTAGATCAACTGAGAACCACGCCAGGTGAGAAGGGTACGGTGCAGGTCTCACACATGCATACATGCTTCAGCACCCACCACATGTGTGGTCCAGGGTGCGGGTACGGCGCAGATCTCACTCATGCTTCAGCACTCACCTCATTGACGGCAGCAGCAACGAAGGCTGACTGCCGGAGAAGCAGAGCGCTGTGAAGAGCAGTCAGGTGCTCCCTTAGATCAACTGAGAACCACGCCAGGTGAGAAGGGTACGGTGCAGGTCTCACACATGCATACATGCTTCAGCACCCACCACATGTGTGGTCCAGGGTGCGGGTACGGCGCAGATCTCACTCATGCTTCAGCACTCACCTCATTGACGGCAGCAGCAACGAAGGCTGACTGCCGGAGAAGCAGAGCGCTGTGAAGAGCAGTCAGGTGCTCCCTTAGATCAACTGAGAACCACGCCAGGTGAGAAGGGTACGGTGCAGGTCTCACACATGCATACATGCTTCAGCACCCACCACATGTGTGGTCCAGGGTGCGGGTACGGCGCAGATCTCACTCATGCTTCAGCACTCACCTCATTGACGGCAGCAGCAACGAAGGCTGACTGCCGGAGAAGCAGAGCGCTGTGAAGAGCAGTCAGGTGCTCCCTTAGATCAACTGAGAACCACGCCAGGTGAGAAGGGTACGGTGCAGGTCTCACACATGCATACATGCTTCAGCACCCACCACATGTGTGGTCCAGGGTGCGGGTACGGCGCAGATCTCACTCATGCTTCAGCACTCACCTCATTGACGGCAGCAGCAACGAAGGCTGACTGCCGGAGAAGCAGAGCGCTGTGAAGAGCAGTCAGGTGCTCCCTTAGATCAACTGAGAACCACGCCAGGTGAGAAGGGTACGGTGCAGGTCTCACACATGCATACATGCTTCAGCACCCACCACATGTGTGGTCCAGGGTGCGGGTACGGCGCAGATCTCACTCATGCTTCAGCACTCACCTCATTGACGGCAGCAGCAACGAAGGCTGACTGCCGGAGAAGCAGAGCGCTGTGAAGAGCAGTCAGGTGCTCCCTTAGATCAACTGAGAACCACGCCAGGTGAGAAGGGTACGGTGCAGGTCTCACACATGCATACATGCTTCAGCACCCACCACATGTGTGGTCCAGGGTGCGGGTACGGCGCAGATCTCACTCATGCTTCAGCACTCACCTCATTGACGGCAGCAGCAACGAAGGCTGACTGCCGGAGAAGCAGAGCGCTGTGAAGAGCAGTCAGGTGCTCCCTTAGATCAACTGAGAACCACGCCAGGTGAGAAGGGTACGGTGCAGGTCTCACACATGCATACATGCTTCAGCACCCACCACATGTGTGGTCCAGGGTGCGGGTACGGCGCAGATCTCACTCATGCTTCAGCACTCACCTCATTGACGGCAGCAGCAACGAAGGCTGACTGCCGGAGAAGCAGAGCGCTGTGAAGAGCAGTCAGGTGCTCCCTTAGATCAACTGAGAACCACGCCAGGTGAGAAGGGTACGGTGCAGGTCTCACACATGCATACATGCTTCAGCACCCACCACATGTGTGGTCCAGGGTGCGGGTACGGCGCAGATCTCACTCATGCTTCAGCACTCACCTCATTGACGGCAGCAGCAACGAAGGCTGACTGCCGGAGAAGCAGAGCGCTGTGAAGAGCAGTCAGGTGCTCCCTTAGATCAACTGAGAACCACGCCAGGTGAGAAGGGTACGGTGCAGGTCTCACACATGCATACATGCTTCAGCACCCACCACATGTGTGGTCCAGGGTGCGGGTACGGCGCAGATCTCACTCATGCTTCAGCACTCACCTCATTGACGGCAGCAGCAACGAAGGCTGACTGCCGGAGAAGCAGAGCGCTGTGAAGAGCAGTCAGGTGCTCCCTTAGATCAACTGAGAACCACGCCAGGTGAGAAGGGTACGGTGCAGGTCTCACACATGCATACATGCTTCAGCACCCACCACATGTGTGGTCCAGGGTGCGGGTACGGCGCAGATCTCACTCATGCTTCAGCACTCACCTCATTGACGGCAGCAGCAACGAAGGCTGACTGCCGGAGAAGCAGAGCGCTGTGAAGAGCAGTCAGGTGCTCCCTTAGATCAACTGAGAACCACGCCAGGTGAGAAGGGTACGGTGCAGGTCTCACACATGCATACATGCTTCAGCACCCACCACATGTGTGGTCCAGGGTGCGGGTACGGCGCAGATCTCACTCATGCTTCAGCACTCACCTCATTGACGGCAGCAGCAACGAAGGCTGACTGCCGGAGAAGCAGAGCGCTGTGAAGAGCAGTCAGGTGCTCCCTTAGATCAACTGAGAACCACGCCAGGTGAGAAGGGTACGGTGCAGGTCTCACACATGCATACATGCTTCAGCACCCACCACATGTGTGGTCCAGGGTGCGGGTACGGCGCAGATCTCACTCATGCTTCAGCACTCACCTCATTGACGGCAGCAGCAACGAAGGCTGACTGCCGGAGAAGCAGAGCGCTGTGAAGAGCAGTCAGGTGCTCCCTTAGATCAACTGAGAACCACGCCAGGTGAGAAGGGTACGGTGCAGGTCTCACACATGCATACATGCTTCAGCACCCACCACATGTGTGGTCCAGGGTGCGGGTACGGCGCAGATCTCACTCATGCTTCAGCACTCACCTCATTGACGGCAGCAGCAACGAAGGCTGACTGCCGGAGAAGCAGAGCGCTGTGAAGAGCAGTCAGGTGCTCCCTTAGATCAACTGAGAACCACGCCAGGTGAGAAGGGTACGGTGCAGGTCTCACACATGCATACATGCTTCAGCACCCACCACATGTGTGGTCCAGGGTGCGGGTACGGCGCAGATCTCACTCATGCTTCAGCACTCACCTCATTGACGGCAGCAGCAACGAAGGCTGACTGCCGGAGAAGCAGAGCGCTGTGAAGAGCAGTCAGGTGCTCCCTTAGATCAACTGAGAACCACGCCAGGTGAGAAGGGTACGGTGCAGGTCTCACACATGCATACATGCTTCAGCACCCACCACATGTGTGGTCCAGGGTGCGGGTACGGCGCAGATCTCACTCATGCTTCAGCACTCACCTCATTGACGGCAGCAGCAACGAAGGCTGACTGCCGGAGAAGCAGAGCGCTGTGAAGAGCAGTCAGGTGCTCCCTTAGATCAACTGAGAACCACGCCAGGTGAGAAGGGTACGGTGCAGGTCTCACACATGCATACATGCTTCAGCACCCACCACATGTGTGGTCCAGGGTGCGGGTACGGCGCAGATCTCACTCATGCTTCAGCACTCACCTCATTGACGGCAGCAGCAACGAAGGCTGACTGCCGGAGAAGCAGAGCGCTGTGAAGAGCAGTCAGGTGCTCCCTTAGATCAACTGAGAACCACGCCAGAGAAGATGGGTATGGTTCAGGTCTCACACACGTATACACATGCACGCGTTCATGCACACACGCATGAACGCGTTCAGGTCTCACACATGCATACACATGCACGCGTTCATGCACACCCACACACACTTGCACACTCACCTCGTTGACAGCAGCAGCAACGAAGGCTGACTGCCGGAGAAGCAGAGCGCTGTGAAGAGCAGTCAGGTGCTCCCTTAGATTCACCGAGAACCACGCCATTGCAGCTGGGTATGCTGCTGATCTCCCCCCTCCCTTCCCTGATCCAGTTTCTCTTCCTGCTGCTGTTCCTGTTCCAACTCCTCTTGTTCCTCCTGCCTCTGCCCTTCCACTTGATTCTGCTGCGGCTGTGAGAATCTCCGTGTGTGGCTCTTCTCCACAGACGAAGCAGGGAGGGCTGCCCCTCCCTGTTTTGTGTTGAGCGTGAGAGGCGTGGTAGATGTGGTGCGAGACAGACGCCAGGGAGCGCACCTGCATGGAAAAGAGGGAAAAGAGAAGAGTAAGGGGAAAGAGAGGCAAGGAGGGCTGAAGCTTCAGCTGCGTTGAGCATGGGAGGCGTGGTAGATGTGGTGCGAGACAGACGCCAGGGAGCGCGCACCTGAACTAAAAAGGTCACAGAAAATTGGCGACAATATTTATGGGCGGGCATGATCATAATTGCCACAGTTCACGCAGATTCGGAGTGCTGGCATCCCGTCAGCATTACAGAGGTGGTTGGTGAGTGAAAGCGACTGAGCAAGACGAAGAGCATTGATATCAGAACCAGAACTACAGAGCCGGTACCTGCTTGTAGCAGCCCGCGTTCCCTGGGATGAAGAGCACGGGCACAGTCCCACAGAGGCTCCTCTTTGCCTCCTCTAAACTGCTGCTGCCTCCCCAGGCATGGCCCTCTCGATATAAGAACAAGCTGTACATAGGGTCTGGGATGGTGAAAAGGGAGGGACAAGTTTGGTAGGAGGCTCAGGGCCGAATAAGGAACGCAGATGGAGGCTGTTACAGAAACTGCTCTTCGTTTCGTCCATGCTGCTGCGTCTCAGAGAGCGGCTTAGTCATAGAGACGACTTCTAATGCGCTTCAACAGTCAAATTCTCACAACGAAAGCCCCCCGTGCCAACAATGCACATCACAACAAAATTGTTTTTTTTTTTTTTTTTTTCAAACCGTACTCACTTGAATCCAGTCCTTGTTGCTCCAAACTTCGGTTGTGCATGGGAATGGGAATGTAATCAGACCACATGTAGGTCATTGAACACTCCCTCTCTTTTGAGACTTCTTAAAGCCGAACTTACTTGAATCCAGTCCTTGTTCCTCCAGCGTTCGGTTGTGCATGGGAATGGGAATGTAATCAGGCCACATGTAAGTCATGGAGCATTTCCTCTCCATAGGCTCCCTCTCCCCCTCCCCTTCCCCCTTCCCCTCCCCATTCCCCTTCCCCGTCCTGTCCTCCCGACCCCCGTTTTCCTCCCCTACCACCGGTTCCCCCTTTTCCCCCCGGCTTCCCCAAGCGAGTGCGCTGAGTGTTCCCGGAGGCGCCACCCATCCGGCTACCGCTAAGGTGATAATAAGTAGCGCGGAAAGACACGTCAGCAGGACGGGAGCCGCGGAGGATCGGCGGATTCGCGCTGCAGGTGAGACTGGTTCCGCTGTCGCCGTTGTTTCTGGAGCTAAGGCCGATCGTTTTGCTGCTTCCGAAGCGCTGGAATCGGACGCTTCGGCGTTTGCGCCGTAACGGCCCTTCATGAGCCTGGTATGCTGATGAGACGGTGCGTAATGTCGTTCCGTTCGTGGGCGACCATGCCTCAATTCCCCAACGATGCAGACTAAATCATACCGACGCACAGTCGCCGGGCGATCTAAACTTGGCGGAGCAGGCGGTAGTTAAGTGACTGTAACTGGGTGACGTATTCGCTGTTTTGTTTGTTGTGTTTGCGAATGGCCCGTCGCATGTGTTCAACTTCACGACGGTCGCGAAGTTGGCTTGGTCGTGTTGCCGAAATGTGGCTAGTGCGCGAAATTCGTCACCCCCCCACCCCAACCTTCAAATTCGTCAACCGATCTGGTACGGGGGTTTGCCATCAAGCCGCAAAACACTCGGTTTACATGAGACCTTGGTTTTTAAAGCGACGGTGCACATTTGCCACCCGAAACCCTAAACCCTGGCGAGCTGTTACTGCGGAAGAAAAGTGTCCGCACGAAATCCAGGTTTTCGTCTGCCAACACTTTCGCGCTGGCAAGTCTGGTTCAGAAAAAAAACTTTTGAGCCTCCCGCTGGCAAATCTAGACCCTCTCTTTAAGATTTTCAAATGTGAATCATCGTTGTTCGGTTTAAAGCCCAAGGTCAGCATGGTTTTTGCCGAAATTACTGACGGGCTTTAAACGTGTTGGCGAAAGTCCAAAAAGTTCATTTCGAGAATATGCGCGGGGCGAAAGCGAGATCAGGCTGCGATGAGATTGTGTAGTCGTCACTCAACATCGTTTGGAGTGTGCGACAAACCAACCCAACTCGTGGGCGCCAACTGATAGGAAAAAACCTCGCGCATAACCTAGTCTTTGTGATAGCAGTAGCCTACGAGAAGAAAACATTTCGACAGCCCATCGCAGCATAAAATACGTAGGATCTAGGAACATTTCCCGCGCACACGAAGTTATTGTGGTCGGGATGGTGAGTGTTAAGGAATACTATGGAGAGCGTTACGACGGCGAGAGAGTTTCGGCTATGGGAATTGATGTTGTGCCAGTAATTCGGTAGCGTTTGGGTAGCGTTGGTCTCAAATGACTAAGTGAGAATTTGAGTAGAGATTGGACTTCACTAGGAAAATAGAATATATCAAACACAAACAAACACACATGCAAATATAGGCTACGGGAGAGTTGCACAAAGTTGCCGTGGCGCTGCGCAGTAACCCAACCCCACGAAACTGTCGTGTGGGTGGGTGAACGCGCCTCGGCCAATTCCCAACCCAACTCAGCAGCGCAAACCACTTCCGTGCACGCCACTCCAGCCAACACTGCAAGGAGTGGCGTGACTCTCAAAGAAGCACGCCCAACTCCCAAAGACCCACGCCATCCTGCACTGACTCCGCCGAGTTTGCTGCGGTAGCTCGCTGTCACCCACAGTCACTAGTGACTGCCACCGAACGCATGCGTCGGTGCCGAGTAGACTCAGTCGTTAGGCAATGACCTGCCAAGTCAAAGGTCATCGAGGGCCCTTGCTGTCGTAGGGCCCTCTAACAGAGTGAACCACCTCATTACGCCTGCCCACGCACCTCTGACTGGCTCAAGAAGTCGCGCCTCCCCTTCCCTCATCTAGCTCGTCCCCTCGACGCGCTTCCCATTGTCGCGTTCCCCCGTCCATCGTTGCGCCACCCCGCGTCGCGCCACCCATCCTATCGTCGCGCATCCTCTCGTGCATCGCCTCCCGTCGTTGCGTCTCCCCTTTCCGCCCCATGTCCCAATGTCACACCTCCCCTCGTTTCTGGGAGCCTCCCCTCATTGCGCCTCCGCTCGCCTCGCCGCGCCTCCGTTCGCCTCGTCGCGCCTCTGCTTGCCTCGCCGCACCTCCGCTCCCCTCGTCGCGCCTCCACTCGCCTCGCCGCGTGGGTGGATGCCTCGTCGCGCCTCCGCTCGCCTCGCCTCGCCGCGCCTCCGCTCCCCTCGTCGCGCCTCCGCTCGCCGCGCTGCGCCTCCCCTGCCATCAGCGCGCCAGCACCCTCGTCGCGCTGCCCCTCCTCGCGCCTCCTCTCCCGCTGCCCTTCTCCCACTTGCCCATCCCTTGCCCTCGCTTCCCTGCCACTCCATTCCATCTTGTTACCTTACACCTTATTTTGCCCTCTGCTTCCCCTCATTCCACCCTCTCTTTCCCTTCCCCTTCTTCCAATCATTTCTCCACCTGCTTCCCCTCATTTACTCCCCTGCCTCCTCTCGCTCTCCCCTCTGCTTCCCCTTGTTTCCCCCCTGCTTCCCCTAGTCTCCCTCGTGATTACCATATTTCTAAATTCCTCCTTCCCCTCATTTCCCCCTCTGCTCTCCTCGTTCTCCCTGTGCTTTCCCTCTTCCCCCCCCTCCTTCCCCTCATTTCCTTCCCTCCTTCCCCTCATTTCCCTCCCTCCTCCCCCTCATTTCCACCTTGATTCCCCTCATTTACCTTCTTGCTTCCCCTCATTTTCCTCCCTGGTTCTCCTGATTTCCCCCTTGATTCCACCTCATTTCCCACCCTGCTTTCCCTGTTTGTACCTGCTTCCCCTCATATCCACCCCTGCTACGCCTCATTGTCCCCTCTATTTCCCCTCTTTCCCCCCTTTGCTTCCCCTCACTCACCCCTTTGAACGACGCGAGGAAGCGTGTAACGGGAGGCAAGGAACCGTAGGCGTCGCGGGCAGGGGAAGGCGATGGGGAATCCTAAGACCAGCAAACATGCTTTACAGGGCAACCCTAATTCACCTATTGATAAGTCACTGAAAGAAACAGAGAATCGGAGTGACTCTTTGGGCGTGAATGCGGGTGAATTACGTAGGTATGCTTGACAATAAGTACCCGATGGTTTTCAAGTTCAGTTCAAGTGAACAGTGCTGCCTTGCCAGCTGACCCTCCGCTCGGTATGACTTTGAGTGTCGCTGGCCAATCACAGATCAATATCGTGAGAGAATGCTCCACTTCGGGTGGTAACATGGTAATTTGCGAATTCATATTCAGGAATCTTGAACTTGAAAACAGCCATGTGGAACTCGGGCTTTAACGGGGATTAAAATGGATGTAGCCGACTAGTGTATAAGGAAAACGCTGAAGCTGGTTGTCAGATTCGGTGTTGTCCTGCTGGTTCGCTGTACTGTTTAGCGAACTGTCGCGAGTCACAGCTGCGATGAGGCCTCCTCTGGGTCCACGTTTTCGCTGAACCACCAAAGTTCGCATGCGCCTGGGTGATTTCGCAAGCCCCCCCCGGCCCCCCAAGTGAAATGCACAAGAGTGCTGCTGGCTGTTTCGCACGCTCACCGCCACCACTTCCTGGGAAATTTATTGACAGAGCAGGGACGGATTCCGTCAAATGACTGCTGCGAAGCTGTAGCATGGGGAGCGCCATTCGAGTATACTACGTTGGCATCAGCAGATTCGCTTCAGGCGAAGGTTCTCCATGCTCGCTTTTACGCAAATCCATGTTTCCCCGCGTTTTAGGTCGTGGGTTGGGTTTGTTACGTTTACCGACGCATCGTCATCGTCGCGTGCAAGAACGGCAGACCTTCTGCCGGTCGGAAAGAACGTCGTTCCACAGATGCTCAGCTCAGTCCTGCCAGCAGCGTTTTCTTGTATCTCAGGCAAAAGAGCAGCGTCCACAAGTTGTCGCTAGTCCGTCCGACGGCGGTTCGCGCTGCGCCGTGACTCACGGCGGGCGAACGTGCTCGTTCAACGAGTCGGTCTGAGTGCTAGTACTCACACCGTCCTCCATCTCCGTCTCCGCCTTCCGCCGTCCGTCGTCCATCCTCCGCCTCCGACTTCCGCCTTCCGCCTTCCGCCGTCCGTCGTCCATCCTCCGCCTCCGACTTCCGCCTTCCGCCGTCCGCCGTCCGCCGTCCGTCGGACCTTTTCCGCCGCCTCCGTCTCCCTCCGCCCGTAATTCGTATTACGAGTAGCCCGAGAATGGTCCGCAGCGGTTCGATCACTGCTCACAGAACGATCATGATCACCCTCCCTCCAATGCCATAGGGTCAGTGACCCGCGTCGCTCTCCCCCTCTTTTGAGACTTCTCAGATCGCTTTTGAGTCGACTCAAAAGCAGACTTCTCAGATCGACTCCAGCATGCTCCACAACGGTCCGATCACTGCCACTGCTCAGAGAACGGCAATCACCACCGTCCCTCTCATGGCCCGCGTCGCGCGCCTCCTCCGCCGTCGCGCGACCGTTGCGATCCTCCTTCTCCTCATGACCGTTGCGCTCCCGGCGGCATGGCTCGTGAGAGCGTCGGTGAATCGCCCCGAGTCGGGGGAGGATTCGTTTCTGGAGGCCATGCGGACCTTGTATCAGGTGTGCCTATATCGGTGTGTTCTGATTCGACTCGAAACGCACCTGTTTTAAGTCCACTTCTGATTCAACTGTTTCTTTATAATCATGACCCAATACTCGTCCCACTTTAGTTGACTTGAGACAGAGAATCCCTTTCCCCTTTCCGCGTCCCGCCGTCTTGCTTCCCCCCTAAAGTCCTCCTCTTCCGATCCTTTCCCCAACCCCACCCCACCCTCTCCCCCCAACCGGCAATGGGACAGCGCCTATGGGCTGCAGGCGGAGAATAATCTCCCCCCCTCCGCCATCTCGCTTCCCCCATTTTTTCCACTCTTTCCCGCCTATCTCCCTCACCCACGCCCCTCCCTTTCCAACCCTCTCCCCCCAACCAGCACTGGGACAGCGCCTATGGGCTGCAGGCGGAAATTTATTCTCCTCCCTCCTCTGTTTCTCCCTCCCCCAACCAGCACTGGGACAGCGCCTACGGGCTGCAGGCGGAGAATCCCTTCCCCCCCTCCGCCATCTCGCTTCCCCCGGACGTTCCCCCCGCGCCCCACCTGGAGGACTGTGAGGCGCGCACAGCCTTCCGCCTATCCACCGAGAAATGGGGGGAGCGGGGGGAACCGCCCCACTGGGCTGTGCCCAACCCTGCATGCGGCAACGTGCCCCAACCCCCCTGGGTAAGCCCCAACCCGCCTGGTTGAGAGCTGGGTCCTCCGCGTGCAGTGCGGTTCGGTGCTGTGCGGTGTGGTGCTGTACTGTGCTGTGCTGCTCTCGTCTGTCACATGTTTCTATGTCAGCCGCGTTTCACAATGGTAGTACATTGTTCGCGGGATTGTGTCAGGAACGACAATTCAGGTAACGAGTAAGATGCCCCCCCGTGTTTATCCACAGACCCTTGCCTCGAATCCTCGCTGCCAACCTTGCAGCACTGCTCAAAGCTTATAAGGAGGGTTAACTGTATTTCATTCCTTTCCTCTTCCCCGTCCTGTATTTCACTCCTTTTCCCTTTACCCCTCTTCCCTATCCTGTATTTTACTCCCACCCCTTGCCCCCCACCCCTGGTGCAGATCCGAGGCTCCGATGCTGGCAACCAGGATTTAGTGTATTTCATCCCCCCCCCTTGCCCACCTCCCCTCATGCAGATCCGAGGCTCCGATGCGGCCAACCTGGCAGGCACCCGGCAAGCACAAGCGGACATATGGCGACAGCAGTTCCCTGGCAGGCAGTGTGTGGGGCGGCGGGTGATGGTGGTGGAGTGGCTGAGCATGGGGTGGCACGGGATAGGGTCGCAGCTGCACGTGATGGGCGCTGTGCTCAGCGCCGCCGTGCGCCACAACCGCACTCTCGTGCTCGTGCCCGGCTCGCTGCCCCACGCCAACCATGACGAGTGCGACAGTGAGTGGGTGATTGAATGGCACGCTGCCCCAGGCCAACCACCACGAGTGCGACAGTGAGTGGGTGATTGAATGGCACGCTGCCCCAGGCCAACCACCACGAGTGCGACAGTGAGTGGGTGATTGAATGGCACGCTGCCCCAGGCCAACCACCACGAGTGCGAGAGTGAGTGGGTGATTGAATGGCACGCTGCCCCAGGCCAACCACCACGAGTGCGAGAGTGAGTGGGTGATTGAATGGCACGCTGCCCCAGGCCAACCACCACGAGTGCGAGAGTGAGTGGGGGAGTGGGTGAGTGGGTGAAGAGTGAGGGAGCGAGTGAGGGAGTGTGTGAGTGAATGGGTGAGGGAGCGAGGGAGTGAGTGATTTTAGTGAGTGAGTGAGTGTGTGACTGAGTGAATGAATGAGTGTGAGAGGATCGCTACTTCTTCCGGTTTTCCTCCAAGGAGTGTGAGACACGCAGACGTGTCTGACTCGTATTGCGCGTGTGCTCCTCTTGCTCTCTGATCACTCAGAGCTGGGCCACCAAGGGTCACTGGAGTGTTACTTCTTCCGGTTTTCCTCCAAGGAGTGTGAGGAGATCGCTCTTAAGGCGCATCCCCATGCACACACCGCACGCACAGATACACATCTCTGACTTTCTTTGCACGTGTGTTCCCCCTGCCCTTTCTTCCCTCCCAGAGCTGGGCCACCGGGGGTCACTCGAATGCTACTTCTTTTGGTTCTCGTCCAAAGAGTGTGAGGAGATTGCTGTGAAGGCACACTCAGTTCTCAGCCGTCTCAACTTACATCCGGTTTGCATTGCGTTGTGCCTCCTCCCATTTGCCCTGTCTTAGAGCTGGGCCACCGGGGATCACTAGAGTGCTACTTCTTCCGGTTCTCGTCCAAAGAGTGTGAGGAGATCGCTGTGAAGGCACATCAGGCCTGGAAGGCTGCTGAGGAGAGGAAGCAGCGAGCTGCTGCCGAGGAAAAGGAGAGGGAAGGGAAGGAGGAGGAAGAGAAGGAGAAGGGAGCAGAAGGAGGGAAAACTGGAAAGGGTGGTGAGAGGAGGCTGCTGCAAGCAGCAAGCAGCACTGGGGACTCAAAGGTGTATCATCAAAACAGCACTGAAACGCATAGTTCCGATGATGCTCCTGTGAGGAGACTCAGAAACGGTGCTGACGGTGCAACTGATGGTGATAGGACGGATGGTGATGGGGAGGGGACTGCAGGGAATGTGACAAACGAGGATGTGATTGTAGCGCAGCCGTGTGACAGTGTGGAGTGCGTGGCGTCTGATGCTCTCGTGATCTTTCCAACACTGCCGGGGTTTGGTGTGGATCAAGGCTCGGAGGTCATATCACAGCTCAATGCCACTGCTGCAGAGTGAGTGAGTGAATGGTGCATGTGCGCATGTGATCTCATGATATTCACACTGCTGGGGGGGGGGGGGGGTGTGGATCAAGGCTTGGAGGTCATATCACAGCTCAATGCCACTGCTGCAGAGTGAGTGAGTGAATGGTGCATGTGTGCATGCATGTGTGGATGCATGTGATCTTCGCTCTGCTGCCAAGGTTTGGTGATCAAGGCTCGGAGGTCATATCACAGCTCAATGCCACTGCAGCAGAGTGAGTTGTGCCTGTGTGACAAAGGACGAAGCGATTGTAGCGCAGCCGTGTGACAGTGTGGAACGTGTGGCATCTAATGCTCTCGTGATATTCTCACCACTGCCATGGTTTGGTGTGATCAAGGGTCGTATGTTATCATCGCCCAGCTCAATGCCACCGCAGACGAGTGAGTGGCGCTGCCGCCACATGTGTGGGGTGGGGACATGGTGTGTAGGGGACACACTGTAGGGGACACACTGTAGGGGACACGAGCTGGTTTTTGAGAATTCTCAAAAACCAGCTTGTAGGGGTCCCTTCCTGCCCCCACTAGAGTGCACTCCGCTCCTCCTCCCTCCCCTGCTCCTCGTGTGCAGGCTGTGGGGCAAGGCGTATCTGAAGAGCCCTCTTCCTAACGAGGTGATGGGGCGCATGGGTGAGCAACACAGGGGGGGCCTTGCCCCACTCCAGTGCACTCCGCTCCTCCCTCCCCTGCTCCCCACACACATGCAGGCTGTGGGGGGACGCATATCTGAGAAGCCCTCTTCCCAACGAGGTGATGGGGCGTATGGGCGAGCACTCCAAGTTCCTAAAGAAGGTGAGCGAGTAGGGGTCTCTCTTTGTAAGAGGAAAGAAGCGCACCTGAGCAGCCCTCTCCACTGCACCCTCCCCCTGCCCAACGAGGTGATGGGGCAGATGGGCGAGCACTCCAAGTTCCTAAAGAAGGTGAGCTGACTTTTGTTGGGTCGGCTCAGTACAAGGTGCTGAGGCATGTGGGCTAGAGCTCCAAGAATTTAGCCAAGCTCGCTGCTGGGATATTGAGCTCATTTCATTGTCGCAACAGCCTTCTCCCTCTACAATTTCTGCACAATTTCTCCCCCTTCACCCCTCCCCCACTTCACCACAGGCGCACTGGTGGCGGGCCCAAGCAACGCGCTTCATGCTGCGGTGGCCGTCGGCCTACCTGTGCCACATCATCAACCGCGAGCGCCACCACATGTACGGCATGCACGTGGCCAGGCAGGTCGTGGCGTCCCGCTTGGACCAAACAAGCCTGCTGGGAGAGTTTGAAAGGAGTGACAGGCTTCTTAGAGAGCAGCAAACGGGGGAAAGCGGCGAGCGCATGCACGTAGCACGGCAGGTCGTGGCGTCCCGCATGGACCAACAAAGCCTACTGGGAGAGTTTGGGAGAAATGGGAGAGTCTCTGAGGAGCAGCAGAGGGTTGGCAAGAGGAGCAGCGAACCCCTGGAGGGTCGGCCAGAACTTGGGAGGAGTGGACAGATTCCTGAGGAGCAACAGGAGGTTGAGCAAAGAGGTGGAGAGGAGATTGCGCGGAGGAGGAGGTTGAAGGAGAGTGAGGTTAAGCAGGGGAAGGAGGTTGGGAGATGGTGGGAGTTTGAACAGCAAGGTCCGCCGGAACTTGAGCCCTCCTTCTCCTCCTCCTCCTCCTCCTCCTCCTCCTCCTCCTCCTCCTCCTCCTCCTCCTCCTCCTCCTCCTCCTCCTCCTCCTCCTCCTCCTCCTCCTCCTCCTCCTCCTCCCTCCTCCTCCTCCTCCTCCTCCTCCTCCTCCTCCTCCTCCTCCTCCTCCTCCTCCTCCTCCTCCTCCTCCTCCTCCTCCTCCTCCTCCTCCTCACCCTCCTCCTCCTCCTTTCCCCCTCCCTCCTCGTACTCTAGTTCTGAGTCGCCCCAACCCCCTGGTGCTGCTGCTTCTTCGGCTCCCGCTGCTGCTTCTTCTACTCCTGTTGCTGCTTCTTCTACTCCTGTTGCTGCTTCTTCTACTCCTGTCGCTGCTTCTTCTACTCCTGTTGCTGCTTCTTCTACTCCTGTTGCTGCTTCTTCTACTCCTGTCGCTGCTTCTTCTACTCCTGTTGCTGCTTCTTCTACTCCTGTTGCTGCTTCTTCTACTCCTGTTGCTGCTTCTTCTACTCCTGTTGCTGCTTCTTCTACTCCTGTTGCTGCTTCTTCTGCTCCTGAAGCAGTGAGGCATAGAGGCTGTGGCTTGGAAACGTGTGCATGGCCTAAGATGGGGTACCAGGGCTGCAGCTTAGCTCATGGCACTGCTGCTGCTGATACCAGCAGCAGCAACAGTGGCGGAGGGTTAGGAGATTTGGAAGGGGAGCGGTATGGGTGGGATCCTTATCTTGCCAACTACGTGGGGGTGGGAGGGGAGCCGTATATCCCGCGGCCGATAGTGAGCGTGCATGTGCGGCAGGGTGACAAGGCACATGAGATGCAGCTGTTCTCCTTCTATTCAGTCATGTTCATGGCTAACCGGATCAGGCGGGAGAACCCTGGTGTGCGCTACGTGTGGCTCAGCACTGAAATGCAGGTGAGGGGGGGGGGGGGGGGTGTGTGGGAGTGAGGGCAGCCAGATGCAGCTGTTCTCCTTCTATGCAGTCATGTTCATGGCTAACCGGATCAGGCGGGAGAATCCCACCGTGCGATACGTGTGGCTCAGCACTGAGATACAGGGGAGAGGGGGGAAGGAGGGTGCAGGGGAGTGGGGGGAGGGTGGGAAACATGCAGGTGCGAGGGGAAGTTGTATGAGGATACATCACACACACACACATGTGAGAGGGAGAGAACCATAAAACACTTCACATAATTCATTATATATTTATTCTCGTACTTTTCCTGGCATTATTCTGCAGAGTGTTGTGGATCAGTCGAGTCGCTTCACCGATTGGACTTTCTTTTACTCAAAAATTCCAAGGCAAGGGGCTGGAACGAGAATGGCAGAATACACGGAGATGTTTGGCCTCGCGCGCACGGTGGGAATCAGTTTCGCGAACCTGCTTATCGCTTCGGAGTGCGATTTTTTTGCTGGTGTACTGGCTTCGAATTGGAATAGGATGATTAATGAGCTTAAGAACACTAATGGACGCTTGTATAGTGGGTATGTGTCCGTAAATAATGGGGAGTGGTGAAATGGTTTGTTGCTTATTGCATGACAACGTTTGAGGCGCCTAAAAAATTGCAAGACAGTGTTGCAGGGAGGGAAGGGACACTAGAGAGTGGCTAATACTGTAGAGCCATGCCCCACTGCCATTCCCCTCTGCTCTTTGCTCCATTCTCCCCCATCTCCCCTAGTCTTCACCCCGCTGTCAGCTCTTCTCCCCTAAGCTCCGAAATTAGCTCGCCTTTTCTGTTCTCTGTGTGCGTGCTTGACACGGCAGGCACTCCCCCTCTGCGCTCTCTTCTGAAGCAGCCTTCACCACAGCAGGACCACTAGGCCCGTATAAAAGGTCGATCCGAAAGGAAGGAGGCAATGCTGATGCTGCTGTTGCTGCTACTGCTGGTGCTGCTGATGTTGATGCTGATGGTGCTGGTACCGATGCTGGCCCTGTTGCTGCTGGCGTTGCTGGTGATGCTCTATGCGCTGTTGCTTGAGCTGATCTTGCTGCTTCTGCTGGCAGTGCCACTTCCCCCGGCGCTTCGGTTCCTGCTGCTCCTGCTGCTGGTATATCTGATGCGGGTTTACCTTCTGCTGCTGCTGCTGCTGCTGCTGCTGCAGCAGCTGGTGTGGTGGCAGCAGCCTGCTTCGCTTTCAAGTCCCCAACAGCATCTGCTTCCAAGGCAACTCTGGGAGAAACAGTGGCCTGAAGCACAAACAGTTGCCACTTGGCATCTGATTGAAGGTTGTACAGGAGAGTGCTCCTGCCGCCTGCAAGGGTTTAGAAACAAACATACGAGGGAGTGAACGAGGGATTGACGACCGACTGACTGACTGACTGGCTGACGGAATGACTGACAAACTGTCCAACTGACTGATATGACCAACCAACCGACTGACTGACTGCTTGACAGATGCACAAACGGACTGACTGACCGACTAACAGAAGGAATGTCTGACGGACTGACGATTTGACAAATTAACTAACAAGCTGATTGACTGACTGACTAACTAACTAACCGTGCGTCCTGATCGCGCGGAGATGAAACAGCGCTGAGCCCTGCGGTCCCTCCACAGGAAACGTCGCGGAAGCTGCGCGTCCGCCATGAGACGTACCGATAGTGGCACTGTACCAGGGGCCTCTCCTCAACGGCGATCCAATCGCTGCCTTTAGCTGCTCGTTTTGATTTGCCACGTTCAATGCCTCACTGTCCTGACAGCGACAAAGGGCGCAGCATAGCAGTACTTCAGACGCTTCAACAAAGGCCTTGACGATAAGGAGCCGTTGATCCCACTACAGCTGACATAGCTGGCGATCTTACAAACAAAAGGGCACGATCGGTGATCCTCAGGTTAAGGAATATGACTAAAGATCCTTCTGTACGAAGAGGGCATTATCGACGGACATACGGCTAAAAAGGTGTACACTAAACGCGGGGACATGATCGACCCTGCGGCTAAGAGGGCATAACAGATGATCCAACGGTCACCTGCTGCATCGGTAGAAGAGCAGCGCATCGTCCGCGACGCTGTAAGTAACGCCGAGCCAAACAATGACCACAGATGATCCAACAGCTAAGAGGACATGATAGATGATCCAACGGCTACCTGCTGCATCGGTAGAAGAGCAGCGCATCGTCCGCGACGCTGTACGTAACGCCGAGCGTCGCACCGGCAAGAATCGCAGCTCCTGCGATCCGCGGCCAAGGCCACCTCGATCTTGCCGCGCTTCGCAGAGGCTTACTGGCGGCCATGGGGAGACGAGATCGTCGCGGTTGACGTCACCGTTAAAGTGGACGCTGACGTGACGTTGACGGCGACGTTCGCTACTCGTGCTTGAAGCGAGGACGCAAGAGGCGACGCCGTCGTTGCTGGTCGGAATGACGAGACGAGGGAAACGCGATCGTGGCGACATGAACCAGCGTAGTCCTGACAACAACATACAACCGGAGTTCATTCCGTGAGGGTCACGAGAGCGGTTGAGCACGGTAACGAGCACTCTGGAGCGGTGTACTTGCTCAACCGCTGTAAACCGTCACCCACCAGCCTGGATACCCACACATGCGCTCTCGAACCGTGGTGATGAACTTACCCTGCTTATGATTTTATAGATAAAAAGGGTTAGTAAGAGCTACTAAAGCTAAAGTTAGTATAAGATTATATGCAGTTGGTATGGCAGGGGTTTTGATATTCACCACCTGATGGATGGTGCCATACAATGTTTGTGCATCATATGCAACACTTTTCACCTCCAAATCAGGAGAACCAGCCCATATAATGAATGAAGATTGCAATAACGAGGATAATGATGGAGGCCAGAAGTACTGGCCGTTGCAGCAACCAACGCACCGCCGCCTGAAACCTTGCTGCAGCTGTTTGTGCCTTTTGAGCGAACTTCATCTGCAAATGTGACAAAAAATAGTGGGGTGGCGAGGGGTTTCGCGGGGTGGTAGAGAAGTAGTGAAGTACGAATAGTCGAGCAAACCTTATGCACATTTCACTGCTGAAGCAAATGTGTAAATCGAGCATGCCTCACTTGCAGCGCGAGAAAGGGAGATGCAAGAACATGGCCGATCCAGATCCCCCCACATGCTCTGCCCCATGCACTCCCCATCTGATGTCACCTCTCATCTGATGTCACCTGCTCACATCTGATGTTACTTCACCATCTAATGTCACAGAAACATGCCACCTTCACCCCTCTCACCATCGTAAACAGTCCCCCCATCTTACCACAGTGGTCAGCCTCTCAGGCCCCACCTTTTGCGTGATGCACTTGCTTCCTCTGCCTGCTCCACTGCTTCATGCGCACTTACCACCTTTCAATGCCAGACACGCACCCTACACCACCACTTACCACCGGAGCCAGCCGCTCAGGGCCCAAGCCCTTGCATCATGCGCTTGGCCTGCTCTGCCTGCTCCACGGACATGCTCTGCCCCACCCAGATGAGCACCGCCGCACCATACACTCCCTAATCAATGCCACACACAGTAACCACACCCCCTTCTTACCACCGTAGCCAGCCGCTCAGGTCCCAGCCCTTGCATCATGCGCTTGGCCTGCTCTGCCTGCTCCACCGACATGCTCTGCCCCATGCGCGAGCTCATAGCTGCAATGTCCTCTGCACTCAGCTGCTGCATGATGTCACTCATCAGCTGGAGGCGGGTAGGGTTGGGTGGAATGCGGTGGGGTGGGGTGGATTAGGGTGGGGAGGGGAGCCCCATGCATGAGCTCATGGCTGCGATGTCCTCTGCACTCAGCTGCTGCATCATGTCACTCATCAGCTGGAGGCGGGTAGGGTTGGGTGGAATGCGGTGGGGTGGGGTGGATTAGGGTGGGGAGGGGAGCCCCATGCATGAGCTCATGGCTGCGATGTCCTCTGCACTCAGCTGCTGCATCATGTCACTCATCAGCTGGAGGCGGGTAGGGTTGGGTGGAATGCGGTGGATTAGGGTGGGGTGGATTAGGGTGGGGAGGGGAGCCCCATGCATGAGCTCATGGCTGCGATGTCCTCTGCACTCAGCTGCTGCATCATGTCGCTCATCAGCTGGAGAAGAGGTGGGAGGGGGCCGGTGCGGCAGGCGGAGTGGGGAGATGAGGGTATAGTACAGGTCGGTAGGTAGGGACAGAGGGGCAGAGGAGCCAGAGGTGCAATAGAGGGACCAGCTCACGTTTTGAGTCATCTCAAAACACGGCTTATTTCATGCGGAGAGGAACGAGCTTATGGCTGCAATATCCTCTGCGCCAGGCAGCCAGGCAGCAGGCCGTACCTTCACAGAATAAGGTTAGTTCCACAGCCGCTCCAGCAGCTTTTGAGGCACCTCACAAGTCGTAAGCTGACGACGCAGCAATGCAGAAAGGCAGCAAGCAGGCCTTACCTTCACAGTGGAAGGGTCGTTCAACAGCCGCTCTGCTCCTGGAGCTGATTTTTTAATCGACTATAAAATCCTTCAAGGAAATGTTCTCTGCACTCTGCTGCTGCAGCATGCAAGCCGCACCTTAACAGTGGAAGGGTCATTCAACAGCCGCTCCTGCAGCTGCATCGGGTCCAATCCCCCGCCGACACCTGGCGCCGGCATCCCAGCCGCTCCCATTCCCCCTCCACTGAACCCCCCCGCTCCTGCTGCTCCCCCTGCTGCCTCCGCTTCTCTCCCAAATCCTGGAGGCATGCCATACGTGGTCTCTGTAACAGCAGCAGGAGCAGCAGGGGCAGCAGGAGCAGCATTGGCTGTGCTTCTGCTGCTCGCACTCCCCGTTATGGGAGTCAGAACAGGATCTGAATCATCACTGCCGCTCCCTCTCCTGCCACAGCCGCCACTGCTGCCAACACCACCAGCTGCCCTTCCTGCCCCCGCTCCACCAGCCGCCCCTGCTCCCCCGGTTCCCCCCACACCCCCTGCCCCTGCCCCACCAGCAGCCGGCCCCCCCGCTTGGCTAAAGGTAGAGGCAAGGCGCATCATCTTTTGGAGGTCTTCCGGGGACATGGAGCCGACTAGCTGAGCTGCAGTGCGCGCCATTTCGGGGGACAAGGCACCGCCACTCAGAGCTGCCACTGCCGCTGGATCCATGCTCGTCATCATCGCCTGCATGTTGCTGAGGGGGTGTGTGTTGGGCGGGGGAGGGGGGACGGGGGAGGGCGGGGGGAGGGCGGAGGGCGGGGGGGGCAGGATGGGGAGAAAAAGGGGGGAGGAGAGGACTGGGGAGTGAGGGGAAAGGGGGGAGGTGTGCAGGCAGGGCAAGGCAAGGCGCATCATTCATCTTGTGCAGGTCTTCCGGGGACATGGAGCCGACGAGCTGCGCTGCAGTGCGCGCCATTTCGGGGGACAAGGCACCGCTACTCAGCGCTGCCACTGCTGCTGGATCCATGCTCGTCATCATCGCCTGCATGTTGCTGGAGTGGTGGCAGAGAGGTCAGGAGACATGGTGGGCACCTTTGGAGACGAATCACTGAATCATAAAAAGGAATCAAAGTAAGAATTCAAGGCTCACCGCACGAGAGCAGGGTCGGTGGCGGAGAGGTCAGGAGACATGGTGGGGACCGAGGGAGGGATGAACAGCAGATTGCTGCCCACTGCTGCTGCCGCTGCTGGTGCTGGTGCTGCTAGTTGCACTTTGCCACTGATGCTGCTGCTGGCACGACAAGGCATGAGGGTTGCATGACTCACCGCACGAGAGCAGGGTCGGTGGCAGAGAGGTCAGGACACATGGTGGGGACCGAGGGAGGGATGAACAGCGGATTGCTGCCCACTGCTGCTGCCGGTGCTGGCGCTGCTGGTTGTGCTTCTGACGCCGATGCTGCTGCTCCTGATGCAGTGGACTCAGCAGGGGACGCAGCAGGAGCGTCGTCTCCCTCATCAATGTCCTCCAGAGAAACTGCAGCAGGAGGGGAGGGGCGGGTCCGGGGGAGAACACAAGCAGCAGGGTGTGGGCCGAGCAGAAAGGGAGGCAGCCCAGGCCCCAGCCAGGGAGGCAGCAGGGGCGTCGACGCCCTCATCTATGTCCTCCGGAGAAACTGCAGCAGCGGGGGAAGCACAGGCAGGCAAGAAGGCGGGGGAAGGAAACGAACAGGGTGCGGGGATTGAGAATGAGAGGGAGGGGTTGAGAATGAGAGGGAGGGAATTTGTGCAGTGTCATTGGGAATGAAAGGGATTGAGAGGGAGGGATTTTGTGCAGTGTCATTGGGACGTGCACATAGGAAACCCCTTGCAGGCAAACAGCCACCATCGCCTACGGAGTATGTTGCAGGAAAGATGGAGCGGATTTGTGATATGGAAGGATGATGGTTGGTGGAGGGAAAGGAAGAAGGTGGGGGTGGGGTGAGAGCGGGAGGAGGGAAAAAAGTTGATTAGAGAAAAGGAGACTAGACAGGAGGAGAGGAGTAAAATTGGGTGAGAGGGGAACAAGTGCACTAGTCAAATATATACATCACCCTGCCTGCACTACCAACCAGCATACCTTTCTTCTTTGTAGCATCCAGTGCTGCTTTGGTTTCTCTGGATGCATGAATACAAAGGAAGGGACGTATACATAAGGGAAGGAAGAAAAGAGAGAATAAGTAAACAACACAATGCATTGGCGGAGGGAGAAAGAAAAAGGTGAGTGGGAACTCAAGCTAACTTGCTGCACTTCCCCCCTTGTGATCTCACATCCCTTCATCTCTTGCCGAGTGCATGCTTACTTGAATGCTTGCTTGCATGCTTGCTTGGATGCTTGCGTTCATGCCTGCGTTCATGCCTTATACAGATGCGAATGAGGAAACAAGGATTGCTCAGTGCTTGCAGCCCACCTGAGCACGCCTGCCAGTGTTTCATTTCATTATCTGGGGAGATCTGCGCCGCTCTGATATGTTTCAAGAATGCAGTTAGCGTGCTCCGAAAGGTCTCAAAATTTCAATGCTCACAGCCAGAGCCAGGCAGCCAAGGTGACTTTTGAGTCGACCCAAAAGTCATGCAATTAGCGTGCTCCGACAAGTCTCAAAATTACAATTCTCACAGCCAGAGCCAGGCAGCCAGCCCACCCCACCTGAGCACGCCTGCCAGTGTTTCGTCATCTGGTGAGATCTGCGCCGCTCTAGACAGGTCTGCCACTGCTTCCTGCACAGAAAAGCAGCAGCAAATAAAAAACAGAGGCAACTATGAGGCATCGTGGTGCTATCTGTGTTGCTGAACACGGAGGAAGCACGGAGGACCTCCGCGTATCTGTGTTGCTAAACAGGTCTGCTACAGCCTCCTACACGGAGGAAGCAAACAGAGAGTTTTGAAACTGATTTACCATCTGACTGGGAATGCCATCCCACATTTGACGGGGGTGCAATTTCTGAACAGGTGATGCCTTTACTCTGCTCTCTCGGAATTATAAACCCTGCACTTACTTCTATCCCAAATTCCTGAACCCTGCACTTACTTCTATCCCAAAATCCTGAACCCTGCACTTACTTCTATCCCATAAATCTGAACCCTGCACTTACTTCTATCCCATAAATCTGAACCCTGCACTTACTTCTATCCCATAAATCTGAACCCTGCACTTACTTTCAGCTGCCCAAGCTCCTTGTAGGCCAATCCTCGTCTGTATAGCGCCTTGAGGTTAGACCCATCTTCAGAAATCACCTGGGTAAATAGTCACAAACAAAGACAACAAATGGTGTACAGCGTTGAGGTAGAGTAAATTACCACGTCAGATACGACAAAACTGAAGGACGGGAGGGGGACGGCCAAGTTTACCTGACTTTCACGCCCACCTGAGAGCCAACAGAGGCTCATAGCCAGCAAGGATTGACCTGAGAGGCAACAGAAACCCACCTGAGAGATGACATAGACTCACCTGAGTGCCAACAGAGACAGCATGGGCAAAGGCGTTGGTCTTGAGGTGACAAGACATGAGGTTGACTGCACATGTGCGCCGCAGGGAAACTGCTGCTGGGGACGAATGCATGGCTAGGTTGTCCCGCGCCTGTGAAAAACCAGGGAAGCATGAGGAATGGAGGTGGTGTTGAGGTGGCAAGACGTGAGGTTGGCTGCACAAGTGCGACGCAGCGACATGCTGCTGGGGACGAGTGCATGGCTAGGTTGTCCCGTGCCTGGGAAGAAATGAAGGGGAGAGAAGGGGAGAGCAAGCAGAGAGCAAGCAGAGAGCACGGGGAGAGTGGGACATCAAAAAGAAAGGAGGTGATGCTGGGGTGGCAGGACATGAGATTGACTGCACTGCACATGTGTGAAGCAGGGACACCGCTGCTGGGGATGAGTGCTTTGCGAGGTTGTCCCATGCCTTTGAACAGGACCATCATCCCTCTGAGTCCCTCTCAATCCCTTTGCCCTGAACAATACACATATTCCCCTGGAACTTCGCCTACCTTCCACCACTCTCTCCTTCCACATACACACCTACTCTTTTGAACTCCCCTGCTGCTGCTGAACCTGGCTGTCACCCCTCTGAGTCCCTTGAACAATACACACACTTCCCTAGCTCTTCCCACAACCCCGCTTCTCTCCATGCCACATACACACATACCCTGTTATACTTCTCTGCAGCTTCTGAGTACTTTCCCATCCCATGCAGCTTGTTACCCTGCACGTACACACACATGTGGGAGGCAGGAAGGGAGATGGAAAGCGTGTGAGAGCGAGGGGCGGAAGCGGATGAGGTGCATCAGGAGATGTGCTGAACCTTTGCCATCCCATGCAGCTTGTTGCCCTGCACACGCCCTCATGGAGGAGGGGAGGAAGAGAGGTGGAAAGAGTGTGAGAGCGAGGGGCAAAAGCGGTTGAGGTGGGAGGGAGGAACAGCCGGTAGAGAAGCAACCACCCTGCTGCTGCCCCTTTTCCCCTGCCCCTGCCCCTCCTCCCGCTGCTGCTTTCCAGAGCCACTCACCTCATTCTTGAGCATCGTTGCAGCGTTCAGCTCATACTGCTGCCTCAAGCTCATATAAGAAGCCACATCCGGCAACTCCCCCCACTGCTCCTCCTCCTCCTCCTCCTCCTCCTCCTGCTGCTGTTTCTCAAAGCACCCAAAAAGAGACCAGTCCAGAATTCCAGAGCCACTCACCTCATTCTTGAGCATCGTTGCCGCGTTCAGCTCGTACTGTTGCCTCTGGCTCATATAAGAAGCCACGTCCGGCAACCCCCCTGCTCCTCCTCCTCCTGCTGCTGTTTCTCAAAGCACCCAAAAAGAGACCAGTCCAGAATTCCAGAGCCACTCACCTCATTCTTGAGCATCGTTGCAGCGTTCAGTTCGTACTGCTGCCTCTGGCTCATATAAGAAGCCACGTCCGGCAACCCCCCTGCTCCTCCTCCTCCCAATCCTCCTCCCCCTCCTCCCGCTGCTGCCCCTGGGATCCCCCCAGCTGCACCGGCGCTGCCCATGGCGGAGGCGATCTGCTGCGGGCTGAGGTGCTTCATCTGCTCGGCTGCCCGCCGCATGTCCTCTGGGGTCATGCGCCCCATCTGCTCCGTGGCCAGCCGAATCATGTCCGGCGTCATCATCTGCATGGGAGGGGAGGGAGGGAGGGGGTGGAGGAAAGGTCTATTTGTGAGGTGCCTAGACTCCTCTGGGGTCATGCGCCCCATCTGCTCCGTGGCCAGGCGAATCATGTCCGGCGTCATCATCTGACCAGTAATGGAGGAAAGGAGGGGGTGGAGGAGGGGGCGAAAGATTGAAGAAGAAGACTGCTTCACCCATCTGCTCCGTGGCCAGGCGAATCAAGTCCGGCGTCATCGTGTGTATGAGAGTGGGTGGAAGGGTGGAGGGAGAGGTGCAGGAAAGAGTGCGAGATTGGGTTGGTGGGAGTGAGCGGATGTGAAGTGGGAGATATGCGTCCCATCTGCTCCGTGGCCAGCCGGATCCATGTCCGGGGTCATCATCTGCATGGGAGGGGACACATGGAGGGAATTGGGAAGGGATTGAGATATGGCATCAACAATAGACTCCTCCGGTGTCATGCGCCCCATCTGCTCCGTGGCCAGCCGGATCCATGTCTGGCGTCATTAGCTGCATGGGAAGGCACTGGGGAGGCTCGAAACGAGATTTTCAGAGTCGACAAAAAGCAGGCACACACGCGGTGCTCACCTGCTGCATGCGCTGAATGTCTTGAGGCGACATGCGACTCATCTGCTCCTGCGCCAGGCGGACAATCCCCAGTCCAGGTGTGTTCTGAGTCCACCAAAAGCAAGCACACACGAGAGTCTCACCTGCTGCATGCGCTGAATGTCCCACGAATCTCACCTGCTGCATGCGCTGAATGTCTTGAGGCGACATGCGACTCATCTGCTCCTGCGCCAGGCGAACCATCTCCGGATCCATGGCCGCCGGAGGAATCATCGCTACCGCCTACTCGCGTCGCTTCACGAATCCTGGCCGGCCGGCTACGCCTCGCTGAATCCCGGCCGGCTGGCTAGTTCTGGCTGCACGAATCCTGCCCGGCCGGCTACGGCTGGCTGCGCTGGACGTCAAGCCGCGAGATGAATGCTGCAGTGACGGTCTGAAAGTGTTTGTGAGAGGTAACACTCTGAATAAGCGACGCTTCGAAGGATTTACGACGCGGCTAGCCTGTTCTGGGCGACGCTTTCATTGCGCCGAAAAGCTATCGCGAAACGAAGCGATGTAAACTCGCGGTAACAACTTCGCAAAACAGAATTCAGTGATATCAGCTGTTGGATACGGACAAATATCACGAGCTTAAAAATTGAGACGTACGAGCGACTAGCTGCTGGGTAGTGAAGCTATTATTGATCTTCGTGTAGTTAAATCGACAAGAAGTGTTGAGCGTGTGGCAGCTGAAAGGAGCAAAAGAATCAAGATACTTCGGACTACCCAAATCCAGTCCAACCGACGGCCATTGGGACTGCATCGCGAACCTCGAAAACGCCGCTGACTTCATTTCTGGCAACAAGCGTTGAATACCGATCTGGAAAATGCGGCGATATCAGCTCAAGCACCTGTCAGAAGCTGGCAGAAGCTGGACTCGCTTTAGTACGATACGAGGAAAGAATTTGTTAGGTACAGTGAGGGGTACTTCTCATCTCACAACAGAAGATGTGGGGAGATTATTCTTTCTGTTTTTTATTGACATGCAACGCATCGAACATCCTCGAACGTACAACCAATATCGCGTATGGATAGAAAGAGGAAAAGGGAAAGAGGGAGAAGGAAAAGGGAAAGAAAGACACCAGAAACAACTCAAACGCAACACCCATAAAAAGCCCCATAAAAATACTCCATAAAGAAAAAACCCAACCAGGATCCCCTACCAGACGTCCCATCTCGCACCCCATTCCCCCTCGCCCCCCCCCTTCACCCTCCAAGTGTCAGAATGAAGAATGGATGATGCATTGATGTTGGTTGGGGTACAAATAGCTAACCCTAAGTTTTGTACCTCCTAAGACAAACCTCACTATAGGCTACAACATTTGACACACCCCCATAGCCTAAGTGAGGGGTGTCTAGCAAAACCAAACGAGTACGGTCACAAGACCAGTCCAAGAAACGAAGCTCAGGGTGGATCACAACGTCACCACACAGTCTGAGCACAAACAACAGTGGCCACAAGGCCAGTCCAAGAAGTAACAGAGATATATAGAAAGCAAAGTAAACAGTACACTCAAGTCTAAGCAACACGAGAACCAGTGTCAACAAGGCCTAACTGCACACAGCACCTCTGGTGGTCACAAGGCGGAAGCGCCTTGGTGAAGATGTCTGCAGTGTTGGCCTCGGACTCCACAAACTCAAAGCGAGCCTGTCCACGCCTCTGCAACTCTCGCAGAAGAAAGTACCTGACGTGAATGTGCTTCACTCTGCTCTCCAGTCGTGGCTCTCGACAAAGGAGAATAGACGCCTTGTTGTCAGTGAACAAGGTCGGTGCAGAGCTCGGCCGCTCACCAAGGTCGGTGAGCAAGAAGGTCAACCAACGCAGCTCTTGTGCCGCCATGGCACCAGCGTAGATCTCAGCCTCAGCTGTAGAGGTCGAGACCGAAGAGGAGCGCGTGGACCGCCAGGAAACAGCTCCAGAACCCAGGCTGAAACAGTACCCCTGAGTAGACCTGTGAGTCTCAGCGTCGTCAGCGTAAGAGGAGTCACAGTGACCAGTAAGTACGACAGACTGCTGCCCTCCAAGAACTAGCCCCACGCCTGATGTCGTCGCTAGGTACTTCGCCACCCTCACAGCTGCTGTCCAGTGAACAGGACGGTGTCTCCCTGGCGCAACAAAGCGCGCAAGAACGCTGAGAGGGAAGGCGAGGTCCGGGCGAGTACAAGTCATCAGGTACATGAGGCAACCCACAAGCTCTGCGTAGGGACCACTAGGCTCGAACGGCTCGTCAGGAAAGGGTCCAGTGAGTCTGTGGTCAACAGCAAGAGGTGTGCGCTGTACTGTGGAGTGCTAAAGCCCGAACCGCTGAAGGACCTGCTGCACCATGTGTGACTGTGAAAGTGTAATGGTGCGAGCAGCTCTGTCCCTGGTGATCTGCAGGCCAAGGTAGTGGCGCAGCTCACCAAGATCAGTGCAGGTGTGTCTCTTCTGCAGTTCGGACTTCACGTGTGCCAAAGCAACCCTGTCAGGGGTGGCGAAAACAAGGTCGTCAACGTAGACCAGAACAAAGAAAGGTGTGGGGCCACGACGAACGAACAGCGACGGGTCAGCAGAAGAAGGCTGGAACCCAAGGTCAGACAGGGTAGAACGCAGGGTGTCGTGCCACTCACGAGGAGCCTGACGAAGACCGTAAACCGGTCGCCTCAGCCTCCACTGGGTCCCAGGAGGGAAAGAGCCAGTGAAGGCAGAGGGACGACGCAACCAGACCTCCTCGTGAAGACTGCCCTGAAGGAAAGCAGTAGAGAAGTCGAGAGAGTGTAACTCGTAGTCTCTCTGTGCTGCTACGTGTAGTAACACCCGAAGAGTGGTCATCTTCGGGGTGGGCGCGAAGGTCTGAAAGAAGTCAACTCCCTCGCGCTGACTGAAACCTCTAGCCACGTAGCGCGCCTTGAAGACCGGAGGAGATCCCGGTGGCCGCTTCACCCTGTAGATCCACATGCCGTCGACTACGTTCGCCCCCGGAGGGGGAACCTCATCGACGTAGGTGCCTGTGGATCTGTAGGAGGCCATCTCTGCGTCCATGGCAGCTCTCCACTGAGAGGCCCAAGGCCCTGACACTGCCTCAGCGTAAGTGCGAGGAGTCGGAATGTCAAGGGCGTCGGGGTCACCCTCAGGGGCGAGGAGCATGGCACAGAGATGAGGGGAAGCGGCCGCCAGGAACTCTAGCTCAAACTGCCTGTCCTCTAGGGCGTCACAGCCAAGGGCAGACACACCCCCGACGGCCAGAGGACTGGAAGGAGGAGCAGCCACAAGAGCGGTGGCGAAGTCAAGGCGGCGGGTAGAGGCAAACTCAGTGACTGCGGCAGTAAGAGCGGACACAGAGGACACAGAGGCACGAGGGTGGGTAACAAGAGAGGCGAGAACACGAGAGAGAACAGGACGGTACGAGCGGTAGTAGTCAGTGACAGGAGAAGGAAGCGACACAGTGAGGGCCGACTCAGGAGGAGACGGAAGCACAGACGGAGACGGACGAGGTGGACGAGAACAAAGGAAGGCTGTACGAAGGTCAGTGAAGGGAACAGGAGACGAGGGACGAGCACGAGGGGAGCGACGAGAGGCCCAAGTCTGAGAAGGAGGAGGAGACAACGAAGACTGAGAACGAGGGAAAACAGCGGGAGAGGGGTCAGGAGGAGGAAGCGGAGGACCAGAGACGGGAGGAGAGGGGGAGGAGGAAGGAGAGGGAGACGGGAGACCAAGGGTCCGAAGACCCGAGACAGGAGGAGGAGACGGCAGCAGCTGCTGCTGCTGCTGCTGCGGCTGCTGCGGCTGCTGCTGCTCCAGCGGCTGCTGCCCCTGCTGCTGCTCCTGCTGCTGTCGCTCCTGCTCCTCGAGCCGCTGCAACTCTCTCTCCTCTCTCTCCAACTCCAGCTGCTCCTCACGAGCACGGCGAACACGAGCCTGGAACCTGGTCGGGTAGGGGTGGGGGGAAGGAGTAGTGTCCGGGGCAGCGGCAGCCCCAGAGTCGACCTCCGAAGCACCAAGCACACCACCCCCAGAGGCAGCACCAACACCAGCTCCAGACCCAGGCTCACCAGAACCTGAAGGAGGCGCACCCTCACCCCCAGACGCAGCACCCCCAGACTCCGCACCAGCACCCCCAGACTCCGCACGACCAGTACCAGCCCCCGGAAGACAAGAGTCCTCTGCAACCCGCGGCTCAGCTCCAACTCCAGCACCCCCAGAACCAGAGACCTGTACAGGGACAGTCGCAGGACCAACCTCCCGAGAGGGAGCACCTGCAGGAGGCGGCGAGGAAGACTGTGGGGAGGGAGGCTGTACAGGGGGGGCTACCGAAGGGGGAGGGCTAGCCTGAGACACACCAGACGGGGCTGGACCAGGGGGGGGAGGCTGTACCGGGGGAGCAGGCGGGGGAGCGGCTGTCAGGAAGAGGGGGGGAGGAGGAACCGGGAGACCTCGACTGGGGTACCTGACGTAGTACGGGGTGGACTCCTCGAAACGGACGTCACGGGAGTCAAAGAACCGGTGAGAGGGAGGGTGGTAAAAGGTGAAGTCAGAGGAGTCCTCAGGGAAACCAAGGAAGACACAAGGAACGGCGCGAGGCGAGAGCTTGTCCGCGGAGGTGTCGCGGACAAGAGCCAAGCACCCCCAGACACGAAACCTCGACGCGACACCAGGGGACCCTGTCCAAAGACTGGTCGGTGAAGCCTCCGGCCGAGAGACGCGTGGCCAGAGGTTCAGCTGGTGCGCGGCGTACCTGACTGCGTATGGCCACAGGAAATGGGGGGCACGGGCGTGAGTCAAGGAGGTGCGGGCAATCTCCATGACCAGGCCTATGCGACGCTCAGCAACCCCATTCTGCTGTGGGGACTCCGGAAGCGTCCAGGACTGACGAATGCCCTGTTCGCGACAGAATCCAGCGAGAATGCCGGAGCGAAACTCGCCCCCGCGGTCGGAGTGGAGACAGCTGACACGACGACCACGAGTGTCCTGGGTGGTAAGCAACCACCTGATCAGCGTAGAAGTCACCTCAGACTTCCTTGCCAGGGGGAACACTGTGGTGTAGCGGGAGTAGTCGTCAACGACCACCAAAAAGAAACGCTCACGCTCAGGGCCAGGGCGAGGAGAAGGGCCCCAGACGTCCAAGTGCAGCGTCTCAAAAGGCTCGGTGGCCGGACGAAGGGAGGAGGAGTGAGGGGTGGCACGCAGCCTACCCTCGACGCAAGGACCGCACGGTGGTGCAAGGGACGGCGGCAGCGACGGCAAGACACGCGGGAGACCTAAGACCAGACGCTGACTAGACATAGCACGCAGACGTGGAAGAGAAGGGTGTCCCATCCGGTGGTGCCACAGAACGGTGGGGTGGGCAAGCGACCGACAGGAGCAAGACGCAGCGACTGGACTGGACGCGACAACCTGAGGGGACGGAACCACCTGGTGAGACGCAGGGAGGAGACTAGGGGGAGGGACAGGAACTGGGAGGAGTGGCTGCTGCGACGGCGGCCGCTGTGGCTGCGGCTGCGGCTGCTGCCGCTGCTGCTGCTGCGGCTGCTGCTGCTGCTGCTGCTGCGGCTGCTGCTGCTGCTGCAGTCGCTGCTGAGCGCGCGGGCCAGTGTGAAGAGTGTAGAGACCGGAGCCCGGCTCAGCAGCAAAAGTGGCGAGGGGCTGGTAAGAGTCCCCGTCAACACACACCGCAGTCTCTCCAGAAGGCTCAAACCACACACCCACGTGCTGACTCACGAGGGGTCGCACGCCCACCAAGTTCCGGGAGAACGAGGGGACGTGAAACCCAGTGAGAGACCCAGAAGGAGCAGCCGGACACGGCAAGGTGGTAGTGTGACGCGCGGTGACTGGTCCCGAAGTGGGATCAGCCAGCGCCACAGAAACAGGCGCAGGAAGAGGCGTAAGTGTCGTGCTGTCACGAAAGAAGCAGTGAGAGGCTCCAGAGTCCAGCGTGAACGACAGCGAACCGTCCTCTGAGGTAGCCGCTGGACTAGAGTCTACACAAGAACCTACACTAGCAACAGGCAACTGAGCAAGGCTAGCACCTAAGCTAACAACACCAGAGTAAGCAGAGTCAGAAACACTAGAGTCAACAACAGCATACATAGCATGGGGAGTACCAATCAGATCAACTAACTGCTCAGCAGACATGCCCCACAGAGCGGAGCCGTAGAGCTGAACAAGAGGCAGCCAGTCAGGGGCAGGAGCACCAACCCCGTAGACCAAACGAACCGTGTCAGTGAGCTGAGCAAAGCACTGACCAGGGGGGTGAAACCGGCCACAAGGGTGGCCACGACGAGGGCCTGTCAGAACCTGGTAGGTGCAGGGAGTGTAAGCAGCACCACGCTGGGTCTGACGCAGCCCCGACCCTGGAGCCAGCTGCTGCCGCTGCTGCTGCTGAGGCTGCTGGGAGGAGAGGGGCTGCTGGTGCTGCAGAAGCTGCTGCTGACGCTGAGCCTGGTACCACGCCGCTGCTCCACCAACCGGGGCAGGAAGTACAGGAGGCGACTGACGAACTCGGGCGTCGCCACCACTAGCAGGCGCAGTGGAGTCACCAGTCACTGCACGAGGCGCCTCTCCAGGCCCTGAACCTCCACCGCCGCCAGGCGCAACGCCACCTCCACTACCTCCGCCTCCACCTCCACTACCACCACCAGAACCGCCTTTCTTGCCACTCCTACCGCGGGACCGCGACGCAGTCGTAACAGCAGCTGCAGTCGCGTCAGTAGCGGCAGTGGCAAGTGAGGCAGTAAAGGTGGGTAACTGCGGGACTGTGCACCCGTGGAAGAGTGGGGGGGGCACAGCACCAGAGGCAGCGGCTACCGAGCGAAGGTTGCTCTCGACGTCCTTGAGTGTAGACTCAAGGACATCGACGGTGAGCTCACTAGGGTGCTTCAGCAGAAGCGCGTCGCGAACGGAGGCAAGGCGGTCAGGGAGGCTAGTGGCGATGAAATAGATAGTAATCGCCATAGGGGGAGGAAGCAGTGCAAGCTGTGCCTCAGTGCAAGCAGCGCGGTAACTAGCGTCGAGCGAGCGGAGGTGAGCGATCAAGTCAGCAGAGCGCTCAAACGAGGCGAGATCAGGAAACAGGAACGGGAGGAAAAGACGGCCAAGAGAGACAGTAGCGGGAGTAGAGTAGCGGGCCTTAATCGCAGTGAGGTACGCAGCAGCGGTGCGAACCTGAGTGAAGTGGACCTCCTCTGACTCAGGGAGGAGGCTGCTGAGTGCGATGCAGGCCGCAGCGTCACGCGACGTCCAAGCCGTCCTGTCAGCGCGCTGACGGGCAAAGCGAGCCGTAGCAGCATCGTCAGGGGCAGGACCTAAAGCGGCAGGCTCGGGGGGCTCGGGGAGGTCACCAGTAGCGTGCGACCAGAGGGTCTCGCCCCCCTGGACTTGACTCTCTAACAGACGGCGAGCGCGAAGAAGCCAGACGGAAAAGTCAAGAGGTCTACCGTCAGCGTCGAAACGAAGAACTCGCGGAGTCGCCATAGCGAGAACTAACGCGAACGAGCAGGCGAGTAACAGCAGGAGGTAAGAGGCAAATTAGGGTTCAGGTGGGGGGGGGGGGGGACTTAGTCGCAGCGGAAGAACGGGCTAGGGCGACGGGCCAGGGCGTAGGGTCGACGGGACGGGGGAAAGGGCGGGCGCGATGCGACGGGGCAGGGCGACGCGACGGGGCAGGGCGACGGGACGGGGAAGGGCGACGCGACGGGGCAGGGCGACGCGACGGGGCAGGGCGACGGGACGGGGAAGGGCGACGCGACGGGGCAGGGCGACGCGACGGGGCAGGGCGACGCGACGGGGCAGGGCGACGGGACGGGGCAGGGCGACGCGACGGGGCAGGGCGACGGGACGGGGCAGGGCGACGTGACGGGGGGAAAGGGCGCGACGCGACGGGGGGAAAGGGGGGCGACTCGACGGGGGGAAAGAGCGCGACGCGACGGGGGGAAAAGGGGGGCGCGACTCGGCTGGGGGGAAAGAGCGCGACGCGACGGGGGGAAAGGGACGCGACGAGGGGGAAAGGGCGGGCAGGACGCGACGCTAGGAGTGGCGCTAGGCGCGGCACTACGCGCGGTAACAACGGAACCGGGACGAATGAGAGCTAGGATCAGGCTCGGGAGGCTCGAACGGAGAACGGAGGAACGGGATCCCACAGGATCCTAACCTAACTGATACCATGTCAGAATGAAGAATGGATGATGCATTGATGTTGGTTGGGGTACAAATAGCTAACCCTAAGTTTTGTACCCCCTAAGACAAACCTCACTATAGGCTACAACATTTGACACCAAGTTACATTTGCACATCCACCATGTAGGGGGCCTCCACCCAAAGAGGCCCGCCCTCCACCTCGACATCGTCCCTCTCCCGATCCACCAAGTCCACATTCAACCCCCCCATGGAAGACGCCGCCCGAAGCAGGATGACACGAGCTTGCGCCCGTTGTAACGCCACTCCGATGAGCGCCTTCAGAGACCCCAAAAGGTAAGCCGAGAACGAAGTGTCATCCTCCCGACAAGCCTCTCGTGACACAGCTAGCCCCACGTGCGCGTCCCCCTGCTGTCGAAGCCACCGCCGGAAGCGACCGCCGAGACACCCCCACGTCTCCACTATCAAAGGGGTGAACTGCACGCCTCGGTTCCGTGCAAGAAGAGGCGCGTAATCCCCCGTTTTGCGACGCTCCCACACCTTTACCGCCACGCCTATAGACCGCCCGCACTGCCCTAGCAGAGATGGAGACAGTGATAGAATGTCAACATGAACAAATTCATGGTAAAGCATGGCATGACAACATTCGTATTAAGATAAATCAAATCACCACTCATCGTTGTTTAACGACGCATACCCACTGTACAAGCGTCCATTGGTGTTCTTGAGCTCGTTGATCATCCTATTCCAATTCGAAGCGAGGACGCCAACAAAATCATCGCATTCCGAGGCAATCAAAAGGTTTGCAAAGCTTATTCCCACCGTGCGCGCCAGGCCAAACTTTTCAGTGTAATCGGACATTCTCGTTCCAGCCCCTTGCCTTGGAACCTCAGAGTAAAAGAAAGTCCAGTCTGTGAAGCGACTCGATTGATCCACAACACTCTGCAGAACAGCCACATGCAACACGGAGCAAGAACATGTTAACACATGTTCATAAACATGGGTATGTTTACCTGCATCTGGGTGCTACAACTCCCTTCTCGCTCTTTCACCTCTATCTTGCTGTTAAACTCCCCTCTCTCCCCCTCTCACCTCCATTGTGGTGCACCTCTTCCCTCCCCCTCCCCCCCCACCCCACCCCTCCCTCTCCCTCTCACCTGCATCTCGGTGCTGGGCCAAGCGTATCGCACGGCAAGGAACCCCCGCCGCACCCGATTAGCCATGAACAAGACTACATAGAACGAAATCAGTCTGTGCCTCCCCACCTGCAAGATTTCCAACCTCTCCCCTGCGCCCCCCTCTCCCCCTCACCTGCATCTCGGTGCTGAGCCAAGCATATCGCACGTTGGGGAACCCCCGCCGCACCCGGTTAGCCATGAACATGACAGCATAGAAGGAGAACAGCTGCATCTCAAACCCCTTGTCGCCCTGCCGCACATGCACGCTCACTATCGGCCGCGGGATATACGGTTCCCCTCCCACCCCCTCGTAGTTCGCAAGATAAGGATCCCAGCCGTACCGCTCCCCTTCCAAATCTCCTAACCCTCCGCTTCCGCTTCTGCTGCTGCTGCTGCGGCTGCGATTAGCAGCAGTGGCGTTCCCTAAGGTACAGCCCTGATACCCCAACTTGGGCCAGGCAACTGTCTCCAAGCCAAGACCTCTTTGGCTCAAGACACTCCCACGGGAGCGAATCATATCCCCTCTTTCTTGGCTGGTAACCACACTTCCTCCGTTTTGGTTGGCTTTTTCGGAACCGATTGCATGAGAAGAAGAAGGTAACGACGTCTGAGAAGCAGGGGGATAGATGAAGACAGCCCTAGGTCGAGCTCCTCTTGCTGTTCAAACTTCCTCCACCGGCCAATGTCCTTCAGGCCGTCAATCCCCATCTCCTTCATCCTCCTCCTCACCCCCCTCTCCCTCCTCCCAACCGCCGTCCTTCCAACACCACCGCCCTCTCTCCCTCCCTCAACCCCACCCCGTTTCACTCTCCTCCTCCTCGTCCTCCTCCCACCCTCCCTCCCGCCCCACCTGTAGAAACGCTTCAAAGTCTTCTGAGGAAACGCAGAGGGCTTGTCTTTCCCCCACGACTCTCCCAGCGTGCCTCCTTGGCCTATCTCGGTAGCCAGCAGCTGCCGCTCTTCAAAGAACCTGCCTCTTCCCCCAAACCCTTTGATATCCTCAGTAGACTTGTTGCTTCCCCAGGACTCCGCCAGCATGCTATTTTGGTCCATGCGGGACGCCACGACCTGCCGTGCCACGTGCATGCCGTACACGTGGTGGCGCTCGCGGTTGATGATGTGGCACAGGTAGGCCGACGGCCACCTCAGCATGAAGCGCGTTGCCTGGGCCCGCCACCAGTGCGCCTGGTGGGGGAAGTGAAAGAGAACGTATTAGCAGAAGGACGGCAGCATGCATAAGCATGCAGAGAACTTGACAGAATGATGGCTCCCTCCCTACACCAGTGTGCCTGGCAGGGTAGGGACGGTGCACAAGCAAACTCTTACAGTAGCACGCGGCACATTTTGTTCGGGAGTGGGTGCAAAGAAAATGCTCCTTTGCCTCTGCTGCCCTGCAGCAAAGCTGCTCACCTTGTTGATAAGCTTATAGTCCGCATTCATGCACACATTAACCCGAACGACTTTTGCGACGTCTCAAAAGTCTGCAGCAAAGCTGTTCACCTTGTTGAGAAGCTTATAGTCCGCATTCATGCACACATTAACCCGAACGTCACGTTGTTTTGAGTCGAACCAAAAGCAACCTCGTATTGAACAGAGGCCACCTCACCTTTTTGAGGAACTTGGAGTTCTTGCTCAAACGCCCCATCACCTCGTTGGGCAGAGGGCTCTTCAGATACGCCTTGCCCCACAGCCTGCAAAACGGAAACAGGGGACGGAGGAGCGGAGTGCATTACTGTGGGGGCAAGGACTCCTCGAGCCTGTGCCTGCTCATACGCCCCATCACCTCGTTGGGCAGAGGGCTCTTCAGATACGCCTTGCCCCAGAGCCTGCACAGGCACAGCAGAATGAAGAGCCGGGACGGGAGCAATGAGCCTCCATCCCGGAAATGAATCTCGACCCTCCATCCACACCACATGAAACTCTGGAATTCTTGACAGCGTGCTCTTGCAGCGGAAGCGTTGATATGGGAGACTCCTCGCGAAACTCTGGTATCCTACTGCGCCCACCCTCCCCCCACCCCCCCCCCCCCCCCCCTCTCTCCCCCCCCCCCTCCTTCCACACACATGCGTCACTCACTCTGCAGCGGAAGCGTTGAGCTGAGAAATAAAGTTGGACCCTCCATCCACTCCAAACCCCGGCGTTGCTGGGAGGTGCAGAAGAGCTTCTGAGTCCAGACACCGCACGCTGTAACACGAACTCGTTATAATCACGCAGGTGCACATGCGTCACCATCACTCACTCTGCGGCGGAAGCATTGAGCTGAGAAATAAAGTTGGACCCTCCATCCACACCAAACCCCGGCGTTGCTGGGAAGATTACTAGAGCATCCGAGCCCAGACACCCCACTCCATCACACGGCTCCGCTACAATCACATCCTCATTTGTCACGTCCCCCTCAGTCTCCTCGTTATAATCACCAGTATCATCAGCACCATCAGATGTACTACTATCAGTACCAGAATCATCAGCATTCCCAGTCTTAATTGCTGCTTTCAAAAGCCTCCTTCCAACACCACTTCTAACTTGCCCCCCTCCGTGCTCCTGAGAATCTCCCTCTCCGCCTTCTCCTCCTTCTCCTTTTCCTCCTTCTCTGTCTCCTCTTCCTCCTAGCTCCCGTTCCGCATCCTTCGTCTCCTTAGCAGCAGCCTGCTGCCTCCTCTCCTCAGCATCCTTCCAAGCCTGATGCGCCTTAAGAGCAATTTCCTCACACTCCTTGGAGGAGAATCGGAAGAAGTAGCAGTCGAGGGACCCTCGGTGACCCAGCTCTGAGAGAAGGTGAACGGGATGAGAAACACACGCAATGCAATGCAATTCAGGGATGTGTGTGTGGTGGGAGGGAGGGGAAAGAGAGAGGGTGGGTTGGGTGGGGAAGAGATAGGGGAGCTTGTGTGTGTCTCGTGCATATTAGCTCACAAGCCACTCTTTCTCGAATTCCTCACGGCCAACCTGAACCCTACCCCATGCCACTCTCCGTTTACTAACTCAATCAACCACTCGCTCACTCACTCACTCACTCACTCACTCACTCACTCACTCACTCACTCACTCACTCGATCACTCACTCGATCACTCACTCCTTTAGTGACTCACCCACTGACTCCCCCACTCACTGTCGCACTCGTCATGGTTGGCCTGGGGCAGCGAGCCGGGCACGAGCACGAGAGTGCGGTTGTGGCGCACGGCGGCACTGAGCACAGCGCCCATCACGTGCAGCTGCGACCCTATCCCGTGCCACCCCATGCTCAGCCACTCCACCACCATCACCCGCCGCCCCACACACTGCCTGCCAGGGAACTGCTGTCGCCATATGTCCGCTTGTGCTTGCCGGGTGCCTGCCAGGTTGGCCGCATCAGAGCCTCGGATCTGGAGAAGGGGTGGGGGAGTGAAACACACTTAATCGTTATCCGTATTGCTTGGCTGAAACAATCCTGAAAAGAAAACGCGTTACGACTGCAAAGCACAGCTAATAAATAGATCAGTGAACAGACAACGGGGCACAGCACCGCACCGCACAGCACATGGTTGCATGTAGCTCTCACCCAGGGGGGTTGGGGCACGTTGCCGCAGGCAGGGTTGGGCACAGCCCAGTGGGGCGGTTCCCCCGCTCCCCCCATTTCTCCGTGGACAGGCGGAAGGCTGTGCGCGCCTCACAGTCCTCCAGGTGGGGCGCGGGGGGGACGCCCGGGGGAAGCGAGATAGCAGATGGGGGGAATGTATTCTCCGCCTGCAGCCCGTAAGCGCTGTCCCAGTGCTGGTTGGGAGGGGTGGGAGGGATGAGAATGACCGGGGGACAAGAGGCGGAAGATTAGTGAGGAGGAGAAAAACAGTGGGAAAAAGAGATGGACGGGGGTAAGAAGGAGTTCTCCGCCTACAGCCCGTATGTGTTGGTTCCGCATATGTTGAAAGGGATAATAAACGGGGGTGGTGGTGGAGAGGAGACTCCCTCTCTTCCAGGATGTATGTGCTTGCTGGCTGTGACGCAGGGGTGCGATATAAGCATACCTGATACAAGTCCCGCGCGGCCTCCAGAAACGGATCTTCCTCGGGGGGCTGAACCGGATCCGCCGCTCTCACGAGTAGTGCGAAGAGCGCAACGGTCATGAGCAGTACAGGGATCGCAATGGTCACGGGGAGGAGGGTCATGGTCACACGAGCCGCGATCGTACTGCGACGGACCATATTCCTTGGCTACGAAGGATGTTACGAATAGGTATTTTCGACGTCTCAAAATGTCAATGTACTGTGATGGATATTTATATCTGGCTACGACGAACCGTAACGTTGCGAAGAGTACCAATCCAGCCGACCACTTCCGCAGCGCGCGCGGCTAGACGAGGAGCTCAGCTACAAATTCCTGGGTTCAGCAAACAGAACCCTGCGATAGAAATGCATTTTCGAAATAGTGAGCATACTGTTTGGCGGATGCATTGGAAAGCAAAACGTCTATCAGCACTCCTTCAGCGCCAGAAAGCATGGAAAGAACATGCTTGTGAAGCAAATCTACCTAAGTCACGAAATTAATTTTCTCCGAAGGCGCATTTCATGGTCTGTCGCGAATCGTCGCACTAACTAGGTTCTAGGAATGTCCGTTGATGGCAAAGGGCTATGATCTGATCTGCCAAGCAGGTGATGTGAATCTAGTCACCTGATGCGTTACAATGGAGTCTTGGGTAGACGAACTGTACTGGATTCCGTCTGACAGAGACGAAAAGATGCTCCTACAGTACATGTTTCACATCTACACCTGCCGACGAGCCGCATCTAGGGATTGCCGAAAACGGCACTTGCTCCCGCGTGTAGCTGGACACCCTTCCGCTCCGTTTGCGTCTGCCGCGAACGAATTCACCTCGCGAATCTTCGATACTAGAATAAACGCGCAGACTAAGGCTCCGCGATCCTGCACGAATTATGATGAATCTGTTACTGACCTGGGTGCACATCGCGAACAATCGCTACGAGCCGAAAGTATCAAGCAGTCTCAGCAGAACAGCTGTGAACCTGAGGGAAATGGCGTTTCACATGAAATAAACAGCCAGCATGCTTAGTATGGTGCCTGTATAACCACAGGCACTATTATTCCAGAGCCCCGTCACCTGCACACTGTATCTTATAAATCTATCACAGAAGTATGAAGCCTAAAAAAAGATCTTCCATATAATGCGCCAATGGCTTGGTGCCTGTAACCTTCTGACCCCCCTGACTTCCCCACAACCTCACAACCTCACAACCTTCCTCCTCCCTCCCTCCCTCCTCCACTCTCTTCCTCGCTCTCCTCCATCCCTATTCCACTCTCTCCACCTCATCCTCTCCCTTCTTCCAATCTCTCCGCCTCAATCTCTCCCTTCTTCCACTCTCTCCCCTCAATCTCTCCCGAAATTCCACTCTCTCCCCTCAATCTCTCCCTTCTTCCGCTCTCTCCCCCTCAATCACTCCCTTCTTCCACTCTCTCCCCCTCAATTTCTCCCTTCTTCCATTCTCCCCCCCTCAGTCTCTCCCTTCTTCCACTCTCTCCCCAACCCACTCCCTGTTCCAACCACCAACGGCGCCTCTTGAATCTTCACAGGATCGTCTCCCAATATCTCATGTCCGGCAGAAATCGGCATCAGGCAAGAGGACGAAAGGGTGAGGCTCAGTTCGCCGACCAGCAGGAACGTGCCATCCACAGCAGCTATAGGAGCACCAGGTAGCGGCCCAGCCACACTCCGTTGAAGCAGGCACCGCCTTTTCGGGGCAGGTTGCGGGTCAGATAAAATGTTTTGAGAAGAACCGGGGAGACTGCTGCCAGGGAAGTTAGTTGGGATGTCCTGGGAAGAATGGTGGACAGGATATGCCTCTGTTGCCCTGTGTTGCTGTTGCTTGTGCAGCTGCTGCTGCTGCTGCCTCTGCTCCAACCCTCCTTCCCTATGCCCATGCTCCATCCCCAACCCTTCTCCTTCCCTCTGCCTCTGCTCCACCCCTCCTTCACTCTGTCTCCTGGCCTGCTTTGCTCCCAGCAATCGCATCAGCCGTGAAGCCAACAGCGACCGGTTGTGTGCTTTATGTGTTGCCTCCCGGGCTGTTGCAGGCACACTCTGGAGATTCTGAAGATTCTGGGAATTCTGAGGATTCCGAGGACTTTCAGAAGGTGCCTCCCGGGTTATTGCAGGTTCTGCCTCTCGGGTTGTTGCTGCAGGTATGCTTTCAGGATTTTGGGAACGCGCCTCTAGTGTCTCCTCGTGTAATGCTCGTGCTGCGACCTGTGCCTCCACAGTTGAGAAAGGATGGTTTCGAACCGCTGCGACCTGTGCCTCCACAGGACAAGGCGTATTCTGAGAGACTTCAAGACGCATTTGTGTTGCCGCAGTTTGAGAGTTCTCAAAGTATGCCTCTTGTGTAGGCTCCTGTTTCGGTGTTATGTACACCTGCTCTCCTTTAAAAGCGGGAGAGAAAGCTGGGGTATGTGTGGGTTCGAAAAGGGAGAGTGAGAGAGTGGATAGGGGGAGGTGAGAGGTGGATGGCTCAGGAGGGGGTGACGCATGAGTCTGCTCAAAGGGGGAGAGAGAGAGTGGATGAGATAAGGGGAGGTGAGAGTTAGATGGTGGGGGAAGTGGGGATGATTTTTGAGTTGGGTTTAAGGGGGATTGTGAGAACGAAGAAGGTAGAGGGAGGTTAGGGTTAGACGGTAGAGGGGAAGTCGACTTTTGAGGAGACGCAAAAGGGGAGAGTGAGAACGAGGATGAGGGAAGGTGAGAGTTTAACGGCGGGGGAAACGGGGGAGATGGCTGGCGAGGTTGAGAGGGACTAGGGGCAGTGTGGGCGAGGGAGAGAGAGAGAGCAGGAGGAGGTGAGTGTGGTGTGGGGGAATGATTGTAGTCTGTGGATTGGGGTATTGTTGAATGCTTGGCCAGTGGGAGGAGAGGAGAGGGAGTTAAAGTGGAGGGAGGGGATGCACGAGGAGGAAGAGGTGAGGAGGGAGGAAGGAATGAGGAGGGAGGAAGGAGTGAGGAGGGATGAAGGGGTGAGGAGGAATGGGGAAAGGCATTCCCGTTTAGTTGGGAGCTGAAAGGATGCTGGGGTTGGTGAGAAGGTGGAGGAAGATCCGGGAACAGAGTGTTGGCTGCTGCTGCTGCTGCTGCTGCTGCTGCTGCTGCTGCTGCTGCTGCTGCTGCTGCTGCTGCTGCTGCTGCTGCTGCTGGTGGCGGTGGTGCTGTTGCTGCTGCTGCTCGTTCTGCTGCTGCTGGTACCGATGCTGACAACCCCAGATGCATCCCCTTCAGTCTCCATTCCACATCGTTGCATGCTCTCTCCTCTCCCTCTTCCTCCTCTTCTCGCTTCTCCCCGCTCTCTTCCCCCCTTATTTCCATCTTCACAGTAGGATTCTGAGACGGCAAGGCGGTTGCTTGTAGTGTGGCTGGCAGTAGCGCTGCCGGCTGTAACATTTCTGGCTGTAGCGCTGCTGGCTGTATCACTGCTGTCTGTAGCATAGTCTGCTGCTGCAGTGTTGCTGCTTGTAGTATGTCCGGCTGTAGCATTGCCGGCTGTAGCGAAAGTGGCTGTGCCCTAAAATTCCTTTGATTATGCTCCAATCCCCCACCCCCTAACCCATCTACCTCCATGCCTCCAGTTGGGGTTTGGAGATTTTCAACAGCCTGTTTCTGAGGGATTTTAAAATCCTCCATGCCTCCAGAAGATTTTTTAGAAATCTCAAAAGAGGACATGCCTCCCTCCTCTATTCTTCTCACTCCCCCCTTTTCACTCCATTCCTCCAATCTCTCTCCTCCTCCCCTCCTTTTCCCCTCCTCTCTCCCCTCCCTCCTTCCTTTACCAGCGCTTCTGCTTTCCCCATCGCCCTCTTCCCCATTACCCCTCTCCCTTTCTCCCTTTTTGCTCTCGCTCCTTCCCCCTCTGCTCTGCTGCTCCTTCCCTCTGCTCCCGCTCTCCCTCTCTCTGCTCCCCACCTCCCCCACTCCGCTCTCCCCTCTGCTCACCCCCGCTCCGCTCTCCCCTCTGCTCACCCCCGCTCCGCTCTCCCCTCTGCTCACCCCCGCTCCGCTCTCGCTCCGCCCCCCCTGCTTCAGGGACTGAATATACCTCAGGAGCACGTTCGATCGCCCACTATACCCTCCCCTCCCCACACTCCCACCACCACCCGCACTACCACCACTCCCAGCACTACCGACACTCCCAGCACTGCCCGGCCTTCCGTTCCCCTTGCCCTCTGCCCCGCCTCGCCCCATCTCCTCCTTCCGCCGGGCTGTTGAGTTCCAGTGGTTCTTAACACTGTTGTCTGTTCTTCCCGGTAATAATCTCGCAATTTCAGCCCATCTGTTCCCCAGCCGCTTGTGTGCTTCCACGAATGCTCGCTCCTCCTCCTCTGTCCACGCCTCCTGCGATTACAACACAGGCCACGCAGGAAAGGCAGGACGAATGTAGAAGAATGGGGAAGAATGGCAAAGAACAGGAAAGAATGGAGAAGAATGGGGAAGAATGGCAAAGAACAGGAAAGAATGGAGAAGAATGGGGAAGAATGGCAAAGAACAGGAAAGAATGGAGAAGAATGGGGAAGAATGGGAATTTACGGAAAGAACCGAGAAGGATGGTAACGAAGGAAGAATGGGGAAGGAAGGCGAAGAGTGGGGAATAAAGGAGAAGAATGGGGAAGAATGGGGACGGAAGGAGTAGAATGGGAAAAAACCACGCATCACGCCCACTCAGTGCGCTGCTACTATTTTTGAGGCACCTCAAGAACCACGCACCACGCCCATTCAGTGCGCTGCTACTGCCATGCACCCCATGGCTCCGACTCCGCCCATTGCTATGGCTCACTCCCTCACTCCTCCATTCACGTTATAGTCACCTTCTTGATGCCCCGCTTTAGATGGTTGTGCCACCGCTCCCGGCACTGCTTCCCCGCGCGCCCATTCAAGTGCGCTGCTATGGCCGTCCACCCCTTGGCTCCGCCTCTTTCCACCAACTGCCGCAATAGTGCGTCCTCCTCCTGAGATGGAGGGATGTGGCGTATAAAGTGTTTTTTCATAAAAACGCAGAGGGACAAGAGGGAGGATCAATCAATGGATTGCTGTTACAGCCGCCCCTTGGCTCCGCCCAAATAAAACGCTGCAAGGCGTGACTGACGGATGGGAGAATGCAGAGATTCATAAAATTAGGGTTTGCGGTCAGAAGTTTTGGTGACTCACAAATGCTCGGCCGCTCTCATTTTTCCCTCTCGCTTTCTCCCTCTCACAAACACCCTTCACACTCTCCCTCTCAGAAACTCCATTCACACTCCCTCTCACAAACTTCGTACTCTCTTCCTCTCACGAACTTCCTTCACACTCTTCCTCTTCCTCTCACAAACTCCCTCTCACACTCTCCACCTGGAACGCTCCATCTCACACTCTCCCTCTCTCACTCGCACACTCTTGACATTCTCCCTCTCACATTCTTCACACTCTCCCTGACACACTCTCCACTCTCTCCTTCTCACACTCGTCACGCTCTCCCTACTTTAGCCCACTCCCCCTCGCTTTGCTCAACGCACGCCTAGTACATCCCACCACGTTCCACTCTCCTTCACCACATTCCACCCTGCCGTACCATTTCAACTCACCCTCACCCCACTGCACTCCTCCCAAAATCAACACCAGCCCTCCTACAGTACCACTCAAAATCCCGCCTCACCACATTCCACCCCTTCTCACCGGAGTCCATTGCCCTTTGGCATTCGTGCTCGCTTTCTGCTGCTGCCCCTCTGCCTCCAAATCCCCCTCCCCCTCCCCTTCCCCATCCCCGTCCCCGTCCCCGTATCCCCCATCCTCCGCTCCGCCCCATCCCCCCCGCAAATCTTCCGCGCTTTGTCCCCCCCCAGATCTACCGACTGTTGCACTGGGGGCGCCGCCAGTTGCGCGGGATTTCCACAGGGGCGGCGTCGCCGCCGCCGCCGCCGGGGCGCCGAAAATTCCGCCAAATCCGCCGCCGCCAGTCGGCGCCGCGCCGTCATAGGCAGCTGACGACCCGGAAGCAGCAGTTACGCTAGCGGCAGGGGGAAAAAAAGGAAGCACTGCGCGGCTTGCGCCAACCGCCGGCAGAACCGGCGGAACGGGGGACGCCGCCACCCCCGCCGCCGCGGTGAATAGGAAGCTCCTAATTTGGTGCTGCGACAAGTTTTCCTGTTGCGCTGCGTTGCCTTGTGGCTGCGGTGGATGCACCGGCAGCGGCGGCGGCGGCGCCGTCTGTTGATGGTTGTGAAACATGAGCAAGCTCTCTTGTTGTCTACACCCCAGCGCCAGAGTATTCTTAATAGCGCACGCGCCGCGATATCCGCCGTCAAACGCGGAGCTTCCCGTGAAGTTCAACTTTGCTCCGCCGTCGCGGCACGGCTCCTGGGATGGCGGCGTTTTGAGCTCTCGAAGCGCGATTGCCGCTCCTGTAGCGCTGACCATAGCGCGGAGAAATGGTCCCACAGTTTTTCCAATTGTAGCAGCGAGAAACTTTTAGACGCCTCACAAAGCAATGTGTGTTCCTGTGGTGCTGACCATAACGCGGAAAAACAGTCCCCACCAATTATTCCGGTTAGCAGAACTTTCTTGAAGAAGATCGCTTCAGGATCAATCAAAGACCAACAACTGGCAAAAAAGAAAAGTTCAAAGGCCACTTTAAAACATCTCAGACGCCTTTGAAGTTGCTCGATTTTTTAGAATTCCAAAAATCGCTTGTTAGCAGGTTGGCCTTCAAGAGCTGACGTCACTCAGGTCCAACAACGGGTGAGAAGAAGGCTCAGAGTTGCAAAAAGAAAACTGTCGCAGCGTCTGGCTCGGACCATAGCGTAGAGAGTTTCCGTGAAGATAATACCGACCGACCGACGGTATCGGCGCATAGGTATTGTCTAGCATGACTTGGTTTGCGTCGCGACGGCCCAGCGTGGATGACAGATGGCATGAAACTGGTAACGCGATGTATCTGTGCTTTGATGCTTGTGGAAGAACGTGAATTGGTGATGGCGTTTGCTCCAAAGCCCTGCCTGTGGGTGACGGACAACGAGACGACGACAATTCCAAGGCATGAGCATGACATGACAATTTCCAGGCTTGACGATTTGACAACTTCTAGGCCCACTGTTCATGCCGCTTGGTAGGTGGCTTGCATTTGTGCTTTGCATGGTCCGTCCCAGTTGTGCTGCTGTACGATTTCGACTTCGGTTCATGTGTTCACTTCATGTGGTACTCTACGGTTCGAGGCGGTAAAACGTTTCGAAGTACAGTATTGAAAGACTAAACGTAGTACACAAGATGCCCAACCCCTGCACGCGAAATTGCCTCGCACGTTCCAGAAACCTTGCACACGAAGGTTTTTTCCCGGGCAGTTGCACCCACGTTACAAGCACGTCAACCAATACGAACCACAGAAACAGAAGAGACCGAAGTCAAACAGTCAACGGTGAGTTACAAAATTTTGCTATAAGCCCTTTTTGCCCGATGCGAATTGACGAAACCTCCACGAAATGCATGAATCACTTAAGCGCCCCCTTCACAAGGCAACCTTGGGTTAGTCAAACGGACATCGTGTGTAGTGCGTTCTGTTCGACAACCACTTGATTCTGTGGCTGGTTCGAAAGCCCTTCCTGGGGCCCCGTTCGTCGTAGGCGGCTAGACGAACCAAGCGCGGTGGTCGAAATGGAAGGTCTTTTTTAGGGCGTGTTCCACGATTTCTCTTTCTGTTCAAATTCTGCGGTGAAGAAATTTTCTGTGCGTTTTAGAACGGTTTTTCTGCTCAACCGCTTTGAACCGTAACCAACCAGTCTGAACAGTAGTGATTCGGGCTCAAAACGAACTCTTGGGACACGCCTTCCATCCATCGTCAATTCTGTACTGTACTGCTCGCGTCACATCTGTACCCCCCCCAGCCAGTCACATTCTGTTCGAAGGCAGACCCGACGCAACCCACACCTCACCACCACCTTGCCCTTGATGGCTCCACATTGGGTAAGATCAGGCGCCGCGAGCTTCTCAAATGAAACAGAACACGTACTGCACCTTGGTGAAAAGAATACAGTACTGGTTACACAGAACGGAACGGCATGCGGAACAACCCCCCCCCAAAAAGCCCATCTTCCTTGGGACTACGGACGGCTAGGTGGTTCGTGCTGGCTGGTGCAATGCAAACTAGGGGCACACACTGTACATCTACTGAACTGTAATGATATCTTTTGTCTCTGGGCCAGCAGCATTCTCACGACATCTTTTGTACAGATACTGGACAGTACTGTATGGAATGAAATGCAAGTGACTGAGGGAATCTGTTCTGCCTTTGCAAACTGCACTCCCTGTCGTCACATTAGCCAAATCTTGGGGTGTTTGTGCGTTGCCGACTGCTGGAACACCTCCACCCGCTAAAATGGTTGTTTGATTACAAGAGACAGCGAAAAAAGGGCTGGCTACTCCTAGCCTGAGCATAATATATATTCCATTTATACTACGTCAAAAGCAAGCAGTCCTTGCTTGCCCCTACTCCAAATGGCTAGATGTTCCCTGTCTGATCATGACGTATATCATCACAAATATATACCAGCCCTTGCATCCTACTCACATGGCTGGCTACTTGTTTCCGCGCATAGGGCACTTAGAATCTAGACAATATGACAGCCCTTGCGCCCCCTACTTCAAGTGGCTGGTTATATCTAGACGACGCATAATATACGAGTCTTCAATGGACGGGAGCACAGGAGACGGAAATTGTGCATGGCCTACTGATGGAATCAATATCTCTTCTAATCGTTTCAAACATTTCCTGGCTCTTCCGATAAATTCCTCTTGACAACTGCAACAGGAAAGGAAATAAAATATATATCAGTCAAGTGCTGTGAGGTTCTCCTGGTTAAGAGGAATGGTGGTGGGAGAGAAGGAAAATCAGAGAAGGTCAACAGTTCCTGCAGGGAGGAGAATTTAGGGGCTTGAATATGGGGTTGTATCGGGCAAAGGGGAGAGGGGGGGAGAGGGAAGGGGAGGAGCAGGGAGGAGAGGGGGGGCTCACAGCTTGCGAACGAATTACCGTCTAATGTACGAAGGAGAGAAGAAAACATGATTGGATGCAAGGCGGATAGACACTACTGACAATGTCACGAGCTCACACAGTGTGAACAAAGCAACCAACTTCTGCAAATGGACTTGAATACCTGAACACTGAAACGTCTTCATCACAGATCACCGACCTTTTGCAAATGGAGTTGAATACTGAGGCGTCTCAATAACAGAACACACCCCTCTTGCGAATCGACTTCAAGACTTAAACATATGAACAATGCGATGTCTTCATCACAGAGCACCCACCTTCTCCGGATGGACTTGAATCTTTTAACATGCGAGTGCAGCAGCTGCTCTGGGGAAGGACATAATTCCCATGCGGTCCCATCGATCTCTCCCCGTCCGTCACCTTGTTCATACTGTTCATTGCGCTCTCTCCTCCTCTTGTTCGCTCTCTCCTGCTCCTCATTACCATCAACATGCCCCATCCCTTCCTCTTTTTCCTTCTCATCCGCCACCACTCCCGCTTCCTTCTTCCCCTCCTCCTCCCATTCCTTGCCAGCGCTCCTGTCCAGTCTCCGCGATTGTTGAGTCTCCATACGTTCTTCACTCTGTTGACTCAGTTGACTCTGTTGACTTTCCTGCTTCTTCTGCAGCCATCTCTCCAGCTCCCCACTAGGCTGCACGTTCCCCCCACGTGCAGAAGATCCACGTTGTAACTGAAAAAGAGGTGACGCTTCCCGTTGCGATTCTCTTTCCGCTGCAGCACCCGTGATTCTTAGTGCGTCCCCCTCCATCGCTTCACTTTCACGTCGCTCTACTCCTAACCCTCTTCTTGCAGCTGCTGCTTCGTCTCCTGCTAAAATCCCTCCTGCGGTTTCTGCTGCTGGTGCTTCTGCTCCTGTTCCTCCCGCTGCCGGCGCTGCTGCTGCGCGTACTGCCGGCGCTTGTGCTGGCGTTGATGCCATCCCCGCAGCAGCTGCTGACGGCATGTGCAAGAGCTGCCGTCCCGTTGGATGTCGAGACGAGTGCGACATCAACGGCCCAGATGCAACCAGAGGCGACGAAGCATTTTCAGGAAACCCAGAACCGTCCGCTGCTCTAGTACCGCCGGGTAAGCTTGCTCCTTGAATCCTCTCGCGACAAAGGCGATAGAGAGAAAGCGGTTCGACGTGCGACACCGCGGCCGGCTGTGGGATCGTGTCCTCGTGATATTGTCGCCATTGCTGCGGCAGTGGCGGATGCTGCTGCTCTCGCTGCTGCTCGTGCTGCCAATCCTTCTGCGGTTGGTGATGAAGCTCATTCGACATCCCGGAGCGCGATGTGTCAGCTGAGGGAGATGGCAAGAACTGCTGGAACACCAAGGCGGAATGTGTAGGGTTGCTGCTGCCGCCGCTGCTGCTGCTGGTGCTGCTGCTGCTGCTGCTGCTGCTGCTGCTGCTGCTGCTGACGATGGTCCCCTTCAGAGGCCCTCTCACAGCAGTTATGCTGACTCACGCATAATCTGAGCGGGCTGTTGGACCCAGCAGGGAGAAGCTGAGAGGAGGTAGCGAACAGGATACTAGGAGGCGATTTAGGTTGAGGGATGGTATAAAAGATGTTCGAAATGGTGAGAAGTGATTGAGGAACAATTTAGCGTAGTGAGGTGTGGTTGAGCTCGTTTCACGTAGTCAACGATGTGGTATGGAGAACGGTGTAGGGAAATTTAGGGTTCCATTAGCTGAAATGTGGGAGAGACTAGACAAAACACGACATAAGCAAACAAAACCAGAAGTCACTCTTACGAGAGCAGATGCTGCACTATCGGAGAAAATGTAACACAATCTGAGCGAAGATTGCAACGGGAAGTGCGCTAACATTTGGAGAGCGTTGCGGGGCTCGAGCTGCGCGAACAACTGTTCAGGTGCCTGATGATTTCGTGTGCTGAACTCCTTCCTTTTTGCCTACAGTGGCGGTGGTGCTGTGCTGTAAAGCTCGCGTTGCCGGCGTTCGCGCTGCTTCACAACTTCACAAACACTGCAGCACCTGCCGGGTGCCGCTGAGCCACCCACCTTCCAAGCCAAACAGTGCGCGCAAAAGTCAACCCCGATTCCCTCCAAACCCGAACCTCAACCATTGGTCCACACCTGCTCGACTACGCTGCCGAGTTTCCCAAACCGCCCTCTTCTGTCAATTGGCCTGTCCAACTGCACTCCATAACGTTTATCACTCCACCCAGCCCACCTGAACCCATGAATATGCTCATAAAACTAGTCCGCCCGGGATAAGAAGAAACATCCTAAAACAACATCTTATTGGTTCGCAATCTACCCAACCTGTCAAGCCGCGTACTGACGAAGGTTTGGGACACACGTTCGTTGTACTGTTCTGCACAAATGCTGCCTAGTTCGTGTCTTGTTCGACACACCGACCAGGTAACCTCCACACAGGGCACATTTATCAGGGTGAATAACTATTATAAACTAAAAATCCGAGCTGTTGTTCAATGCTCGGATTTTTACGAGCGGGCCCTGACGAAATCCGTGCAGTTCCAGGACTGACCCTGACGAGCTAGAAGTACTTGGAGCTTTTGATTTTACAACAGTCAGGCTCCAAGGGAAAATAATTTGAGGGTCATCAAGAAGATTTCTGACTAGCCCTTCCCGGAGAGAATTTTCAGCACACCCTGCGTTTCCAGGGCAGTTTTCCAAGTTGTCCATTTTGTCCTAGTTTGCGAGGCCGTTTCGTCCGAGCTTTCGTCGGAGCTCCACCATTTCGCTACTCCCACGCCCGCCACAGCTCACTCGCTTCGTGAGAATCCTTGCCAGCTCTGGTGGGTTTCTGCTCTCGTGCGGTTGCCGTTCGCGCGCTTCAGAAACCGGTACACGATTGAGCGTGAGGTCGTGTCCGTAGGGATGACATGTCAAATGGGCAGTGTCAATTTGGCATTTTGACACTCAGCCAACATTGTTGGCAGGGTGTCAAGAAATTGCAGGTTGCCAGCCAATACATATCGTCGGACACTTCCTGTTTTGGCACAATCATACCTACAAACGAGAGAAGAGAGTCGCAGCTGCATATCTCGCGACCAGGCATTGTCCAATCAGCAAACACCTTCCCCTATCATCTTTCCTTCGATTCGTTCAATGCCTATTGACCCACAAATGACTAGTTCTCCAACCAATAGCATTGCGTCGCTGATGTTCGCACATGCGCTTCGACTTGACACTACAACTACAGTATTTGACACTCTAGCTCGAAAGCGCTTCGGGTTGACACGCTCTTGTTGACATGTCATCCCTACGGACACGAACTGAGAAGCACGATTTCGATTGTGTTGATAACAGACACATCTGGTTCAGCCTAAATCTTCACGCTCCCTCTCTTGAAGCTCCCTGCGCCTTGCTCGAGTTTCTCGAGTTAGAGTGTCTGTGAAGGTGGAAGAGTGCTGCCGGATTTCCATCTTCTGGCGAGATCCGGTACAAGCGGCCTGCCTCTTATCAAAAGGGAAGATATCTCTTTTTTGCCGCCTCACAGCAGCCAGGTTTGCCGCCGCCTCACCCGTCTTCCAGCGAATGTTATCCCCGCCTCGCGCGTCCGCCCTCGTTGCTTCAGCCGCGATTGCCGGCGGCGGTTGCTTCTCGTTGAGTTTGGGAGGAAGTTGAAGGTCCTTTCTAGGTCGGACCTACGTCGCCAGCGAGATTTGAAACGTCTCAAAAATCGTCTACGTCGCCAGCGAGACGGTGCACATTGCGCGAAAACCTTTTTCGAGTCGATTCTAAGGACCGCTCGCTACCCCCTGTTGAGACTTAGGAGGAACAGGAACAGGAACGGTCGGATCTGTGTTATTTTTTTGCTAAATTAGCCAAACAAAGGAGCTTCAATCTGACTAGCGTGACACGTGACAGTACTGACCGCCATTGTAAGGTCCGGAAACCGCTCACGCGACTCGCAGCTTTGCTCAATACCTCCAGCACCACTCGTCGCGACTCCGTGGGTTATCAAAGGTTTTGAGTCGTCACGGCTTTGGGTCAAGCAAAGCTCCCGTACCGCGGCCCGTAACGGCTCCAGCCATGGCTGCTACAGCGCGGCGCCAACCCTCCGTTGTTGTCGTCTTTTCTCGTACTACGCGTACGTTCTCCCCCCACCCCCAACGTAGTACGTTCTCCCCCCGCCGCCGCAACCCTCTCTCTCCGCGTGCAGTGCCCCTCGCCGCTCTCCGCACGGCCGCTTTTTCTTGGGATGGGATAATCGTTGATGCACCGCAAAGCGAGTTTCTATTCCTTCGCTTTCGTTCCGTTTCCTTTCCGTTCAGCCTTACGTCGCTCTGCCCGCGTGCAGTCCTCCTTGCTTCTCTCCTCCCGGCCGCTATTGCGCGAGATGATACAACCTTCGAGGCGCCTCCGTTTTCTTTCAGTCCTCTTTCCGTTTTCTTTCCATTTTCTTTACGTTTCCCCTTCCCTTAAACCGCTCTGCCCGCGCGCAGTGCTCCTCGCTGCCCTCCTCCCGGCCGCCCTCGCGCGCACGCTTCTTCCCGACAACGTCTATATTGCCGACGATGACGTCATCGGTGAGTTCCCAAGGGCTTTTTCCGACACCAAGGGAGCACTCGAGCTTTTTTCAAACGCACAATCAGCCCATTCCCTATTTTCTGTGCTTGAATAGGAAAAAAGGCCTTGGGTTATGTTCTGAAAGAAGGCTTGTTTCCTGCTTGATGTTCCCGGCCCCTTTCGCCTCGGTCTCTATTCTCGGTTCACTCCCCCTCTCCCCATTTCCATTTCTCCATTCTCCTCGCTGCTTCCTCTCTCCCAGCTTTATCTCATGGGTTTCTCTCAACCACCTTCATGGGTTTGCTTCCCTTCGGAATTCCGAAAGCTAATCCCCTTTCACAACTGGTCATGCGGTCTAGCCTTCACTCTCTTCATTATTATACCCTTTCCTGTTTGTTTTGCATTCTTGTTCACTCTTTCCACTCCTTTCAACCGTACCCTTCCACCATCTCATATTGCGAGGTGATCCTCGGCTCGCCATCAGCCCGGCTCAAACCGTCTAGCCCTCACACTCCTTCACACCCCTCCACACTCCTTCACACTCCTCCCCCCCCTCTTCACACCCCTCTACTCTTCTCTTTCTCTCCACTCTTCTCCGTGCCAGGCTCATACTGCGAGGTGATCCTCGGCGCGCCATCAGACCCCTTCTCATCGGTCGACGTCTGTCTCAAGGTGCACCGGTGAGTGCTTTGAAAACCTCCCCTCCCCTTTTCCTCCCCTCCCCTTCCCTCCACTCCCCTCCCCTCCCCTCCCCTCCCGTCCCCTCCCGTCCCCTCCCCTCCCGTCCCCTCCCGTCCCGTTCCCTCCCGTCCCCTCCCCTCTCATCCCCTCCCCTCTCCACCCCTCCCCTCCCCTCCCCTCTCCTCTTCTCCCCTCCCCTCCCCTCCCCTCCCCTCCCCTCCCCTCCCCTCCCCTCCCCTCCCCTCCCCTTCCCTTCCCTTCCCTTCCCTTCCCTTCCCTTCCCTTCCCTTCCCTTCCCTTCCCTTCCCTTCCCTTCCCTTCCCTTCCCTCCCCTCCCCCCCCTCCCCTTTCCTGCACCCCAACTACATTCTCCCCACATTCCTCTACCGTTCCCCTACTTTCCCCTACCATTCCCTGCCTTTTTCCACCAATCTCTACCTTCTCCTGACTTGGCCTCTCCTTTCCCGATTCTTTCCCCCTTTTTTTCCCCATATTTTCTCCGCTGCTCTTTTCCGCACCCCCTATTCCAGGCACCCCACCCACCGCAACACCATAAGCCACATGGACTTTGTAGCCCAAATCGAAGGGGTAACTTCGGCTTCCACCCCCTCCTCGCCCACCATCTCCCTGACCGACTCCCATACAGTCACAGTCCCCTGCAGTCACTATGAATCCGAGCCTTATCCTTATGTTGAGGGCAGCTTACTGTACCGATGCCAGGAAAGCCTCTCAAAGACTGATCAGCGTGTGATTATAGAGGGGTTTGCCAAGAGCCCGTTTCCTATTGTCACATTAAAGGTGGGGGAAACGCCTGTTAGAGTCACATTGGCGCATTCCCTTGCTTACTACTAATGTGTTTACTGTACCTGGGTGTAGTGTGGTGGTTACGGGTACTGCTGTGCTCTCTGTGTGCTGCTGCTGCTGCTGTTGCTGCTGCTGCTGCTGCTGCACCCTGGGGAACTGGTAGGTTGGGTACTGCTGTGTCTTTGTGCATGGGTTGAGAGCTGCTGTTGCACCCCGGGGGTACTGGTAGGTTGTGCTGTGATGTCTCAGTGAGTGTGTTTGTATCATGCATTTATTCAAACTGAATCAGATGCTTCAATGGTTATTGGATTCCTGTACAGAGGGAGGCGCTCATAAATCTCACAAGTAACTTTAGAATGTTCTGCAATAGTGACTTGAACTCCAATACCCTGTAGGGGGTCCAACTGTTACATTTCCAGTTGATGCTTCGTGCCTCGGGGGGCAGTTGTCGAAATAGTAGCTAGAACAAGGAGCCATAGCTAGGGTTTACCTAGCTAGGCAAGAGAGAATTAGGCAAAAGAGGGTTTGACTAGAAAGAAGGGAGGTACAAATAGCAAGCCCTAAAAGGGTTTACTCACTATTGAGTACCCCACTACAGACTAGACAAGCATTATATTCTGACACACCCCCATAGTCAAAGTGGGGTATAATCAGCACAGCAAGCAGTCATAGTGCAAGTTCACAAGGACAAGCAAAGCTAGAGGCATTCACAAAGGGCAAGTGAGGAGGAGGAGGCGAGACTGTAAGAGTGTTAGAGTAGCTAGGCAAGGTTGAAGTTGACTATCGAGGAGTTTGTCAAACTTACCGGAATATAACATTGATTATTTAGGCTGTAGTGGGTTAGACTCTAGAGAGTATAGGTTTTCTACTTGTATCTCTCTTTCTCCTAGTCAAAACCATCATCTCGATCTTCACATGGTATCAGAGCGAAGGTCTCGGGTTCGATTCCCGGTGTGTGCACTTCGGGCATCCCAGTGCGGGGGGGTGTCAGAGGTCCACTGGAAATCCCCGATGATCCTAGGGAAGGGTTACAGGCACGTCAGCCTGGGGGGTTATGGGCGCACTCACCCGCTATGTAAACAAGCCCTTTTATCCCAGTGGTTAGTGACTGGGATTCTGACATGGTATCAGAGCATGGTTTCCTACAAAGGGCCCACCTTCTGAATTTTTTTGTTTTAGCTGCCCGAGGCGCGCTTTGCGCCCTGCCCGAAAATTTCGCGGCCCCTCTTAGGCCCTTCGCGGCCCCTCTTAAGGCCCCTTCGCGGCCCCCTCTTAGGCTCTTCGCGGCCCCCTCTTAGGCCCTTCGCGGCCCCCTCTTAAGGCCACTTCGCGGCCCCTTCGCGACCCCGTCGCGGCCCCGTCGCGACCTCTTCGCGACCCCGTCGTGGCCCCGTCGCGGCCCCGTCGCGACCTCTTCGCGACCCCGTCGTGGCCCCGTCGCGACCCCGTCGCGACCTCTTCGCGACCCCGTCGCGGCCCCGTCGCGACCCCTTCGCGACCCCGTCGCGACCCCGTCGCGACCCCTTCGCGACCCCGTCGCGGCCCCTTCGCGACCCCGTCGCGGCCCCTCCACGGCCCTTCGTGGCCCCCTTTGCGGCCCCTTCGAGGCCTCCTCACGGCCCCTTGCGGCCCCTTCGCAGCCCCCTGCGCGGCGTCGCCTCTGGCCCCTGGAGCAGCCGCCCCTGCAGCAGCCGCCCCTGGCCCCTGGAGCAGCTGCCCCTGCAGCAGCCGCCCCTGGCCCCTGGAGCAGCCGCCCCTGGCCCCTGGAGCAGCCGCCCCTGCAGCAGCCGCCCCTGGCCCCTGGAGCAGCCGCCCCTGCAGCAGCCGCCCCTGGCCCCTGCAGCAGCCGCCCCTGCAGCAGCCGCCCCTGCCCCTGGAGCAGCCGCCCCTGCAGCAGCCGCCCCTGGCCCCTGGAGCAGCCGCCCCTGCAGCAGCCGCCCCTGGCCACTGGAGCAGCCGCCCCTGCAGCAGCCGCCCCTGGCCCCTGGAGCAGCCGCCCCTGCAGCTGCCGCCCCTGGCCATTGGAGCAGCCGCCCCTGCAGCAGCCGCCCCTGCCCCTGGAGCAGCCGCCCCTGCAGCAGCCGCCCCTGGACCTCTGTAGCCGCCCCTGGCCCCTGGAGCAGCCGCCCCTGCAGCAGCCGCCCCTGGCCCCTGGAGCAGCCGCCCCTGGAGCAGCTGCCCCCTGCAGCTGCCGCGGAGCCCTCGCCCTGCAGTGGTGCCGGCCTTGCCGTTGCCATCGTCGTACGCCTGCCCTTCTTGCCACTGGTGAGCACTGTCCTGCCTGTACTGCTGTTACTGCTGCTCCTGCTGCTACTGCTCTTTCTACTACTACTGCTGCTAGTACTGCTACTGCTGCTCCTGCTGCTACTGCTGCTCGTGCTGCTCCTACTGCTACTGCGCTTTCTACTGCTACTGCTGCTCCTGGCGTGGCCAGATGCAGCTCCAGCGCCGTCCGCGTGAGTCCCTCACGCCGCAACAGCTTTGTGAATGGTACGCTCGTTGGGGTTGTCGGGGTGGCCGTAGTGGGAGTCGTCCTGGAGTGAGTAGTTCCGGAGCTTCTTGTAGTGGCCAGGTGCAGCTGCAGCGTCGTGTGCGCGCGGTCCCGTCGCCCCCGCAGCTTCATGAGTGGTACGCTCAGCGTGGAGGGTCACGGGGTTCTGCTCGCTGCCCGTACGTCATTCGCACTGGTGCTAGGACTGACCAGCCTTGCGGGACGTTTGGTCACATAGAGTCCCGCTGCTTTGCCCGTCTGAGCGACGCCTGGCGTACAGAGTTTGGCGACGCGGCTGAGCTCCCCGACTGGGTGGAGCTGCTACGGCAGAGGGTAGATGTCTATGCTCTTGACTATGATGCTATCCTCACTGCCATGTATGCATTGCCTACTAGTGATGCCGGTGACTGTTCCCTGAGTGTTCCGCCCGACCCGGGCGGTGCAGCTGCTGCTCTAGGTGCTAGTGAGTCTGCTGCTCCAGGTGCTGGTGAGTCTGCTCTCTCAGGTACCACGTCTGCTCCGGCGTCGCACACTTTCACCCTTGACTCGGGTGCTTCCCGCTCCTTCTTTCGAGACCGCACCACTCTCACGCCGCTCAGTCGGCCGGTTGCGGTCTCCCTGGCAGACCCCTCTGGGGGTCCTGTTCTTGCCCACTACTCCACTGTACTACCGTGTCCAGCGGTCCCGTCTGGCTCCCTGTCGGGTCTTTACCTCCCCTCGTTCTCTACGAACTTGGTGGCAGGTGCTGACCTACAGGATGGGGGGGTTGACCAGTTCACCCCTGCGCGTCAGCGGGTGACCCACTGCACGTGTGCGGACACGGGCCGACACTTGGCCACGTTTACTCGTCGGCCGGGGTCGAGCCTGTACACCCTGACTACCGAGTCTCCTCCGGTTGCTGTGCCTGGTCAGGTAGCTGCGTCGGGTCAGGTGTTTGCTGCAGCGTCTCGGTCTGGTCCTGAGTCTGCCCCCTGCTCGTGTCGCCTCCTGTCCCACGAGACTCTTCTCTGGCACCACCGTCTTGGTCACCCCTCCCTGCCTCGTCTCCGAGGCATGGCCTCTCGTGTCCTGGTCTCTGGTCTCCCCCGGTCTCTCCCTCCCCTCCCTCCGGGACCCGCCCCTACCTGCGTTCCCTGCGTCGAGGGGCGGCAGCGTGCCGCTCCTCACTCCTCCGAGTTTCCGCCGACAGAGGCTCCGCTGCAGACTCTTCACATGGACGTGTGGGGCCCAGCCCGCGTCCGTGGACAGGGTCACGAGCGCTACTTCCTGCTGGTGGTTGACGACTACTCGCGTTACACCACAGTCTTCCCCTTGCGCCACAAGGATAAGGTCACTGAGGTGTTGATCGACTGGATCCGCGCTGCTCGTCTCCAGCTCAGGAAGAGTTTCGGCTCGGACTTTCCTGTTCTGCGTCTGCACTCTGACCGAGGTGGAGAGTTTTCCTCCGGCCCTCTGCGAGCCTTCTGTCGTGCGAGGGGCATCCGCCAGACGTTCACGCTTCCGGCCTCTCCACAGCAAAATGGGATTGCTGAGCGCCGCATTGGCATGGTCATGGATGTCGCTCGCACGTCCATGATCCATGCGGCTGCTCCCCATTTTCTGTGGCCGTTTGCGGTTCAGTACGCGGCGCGTCAGATCAACCTTCAGCCCCGGGTCTCCATGCTGGACACCTCCCCCACCCTAAGGTGGGCGGGGCAGGTTGGCGATGCGTCTGCGTTTCGTGTCTGGGGATCTCGGGCTTTTGTCCGAGACTTGTCTACGGACAAGCTGTCCTCCCGTGCTGTTCCCTGCGTCTTCCTTGGCTTCCCCCCTGACGCGCCTGGTTGGCAGTTTTACCACCCCACCTCGCGCCGTGTTCTGTCCTCCCAGGACGTCACGTTTGACGAGTCGGTTCCGTACTACCGTCTCTTCCCCTACCGCGCTGCCCCCCTTCCCCCCCCGCCGCTCTTCCTTACGCCAGGTCCCCCCCCGGTAGACCCCCTCCCCCCTCAGGGTCCTGCTCCTTCAGGTGTGTCTCAGGTAGACCCCCCCCCCTTGGCTGAGCCTTTGGAGGTCACTTCCGACACCTCTGGCCCACTTGAGGGGGGTGACGCTGCTGCTGCTGCCCCGGCGGCCTACCACCACGCACCACGCTTGGAGACCCCTCCGGGGTTCCCTCCGCGACCTTCTTCGCCGCCTCTGCAGCCGGTTCCTGTTGACTCTGGTGCTGTTGGGGGTGGTGCTCCTGGAGGTGCTGCGTCTGGGGGTGCGGAGTCTGGGGGTGCTGCGCTTGCGCGTGAGGAGACTGGGGGTCCTGCGCCTGAGGGTACTGTAACTGGGGGTACTGAGCCTGTGTGTGCAGGGTCTGGGGGTGCTGAGACTGGAGGGTCTGGGGGTGCTGAGTCTGGAGGTGAGACGCTTGAGGGTACTGGGACTGCTGGTGCGCGGCCTACTTGGAGTGGCCGCCTTCGTCCGCGTGTGCCTCTCACCCCTCAGCAGCTGCACGACTGGTACGGTCGCCGTCAGCGTCGCGCTGCTGGAGCCCGGGGCTCTGCTGCTGGAGGTACTGGAGCTGCTG